TTTTATTAATTGTATTATTATCGCCCGTCTTTTATTTTTTACCAAATTTCTTACAAATTAAGCATTTGTCAAGTTGTCATTATCTATTTGATATAGACTGCCTGTCAATCTTGGCATTTGTTGAATAGCAGAGATATGGGTAGTGCAAGAGCAGGGGCAGCACTGTTATATATCATCATAGATGTTATTTCATTAATGTTCCCAGCTTTGGTTTTAAGTGATTGAATTATGAATATAATGTCTGTTGGGCTGACTGGTAAAAGGAGTAGAGAATTAGTATAGCTGCCTGTGAGATATGTAGTAACATGTATCTGGGTCTCTGAGCTTTTGCTGGGAAGGTTTGCACCCATTGATGAAAAGATTTAGTTGCAATATGTAAGTCTGTTGCAAGTGGGTAACCATCTTTGGAGAGTTTTATCTGCTTGTTATGTGATTGTTGTTTAGACCCTAGGATGTTAGAGACGGCTTTCTATGTAATTTTCATATTTCCTTTTGCTTCTTTAAATCTATTCTCATAAAAGGAAGCTTTGGTTCTTCGTATTATATTGGTAAACATTGATGATTTTTTGTTTTCATGGTTACAGTGGTGGTTTTGGTATGGTACGACAGCGGCGTACCATACCACAACCACCACTGTAACCATTAGAATAAAAAATATATATTGACATACATACTGTATGTGTTTACATTCCTTGGCAGGGTATCTAAAAGAGTTTAGACATTCTCTCTGCAGTCAAACCATCTACAGTACAACCAACATTGTTTTAATAATCGATCGTTACTTTCGTATAAGTTTTTTTTTTAAATAATATCAATAAAATAGTTTTTGACTTTTTCATCCATAGGGCTGTAAACCCGTGGTCCCCCCCCCCCCATGTCCCCACCGTTCCATAAATCTTGGTGAATAATCGGATGTGATTCTTTGGGACGCTTGCAGTTCGGCCTTCCTGCCGAAGCCGTAAACGCCAAAACTTTTTTTTTTTTAACAAAATTAGGTATACACAGCAATGTGCTGTTATCCTATTCTATATGAGATATTATGGTGTAGATAAAAAAAACTAGCTATAGGTTCAACTAATATTCTCATCTCACAGGATAGTCATACATAGAATTAGGGGAGATAATACCTGCCGTAATACAAAAATAAACCAGCTCCTTACCTTACCTTACCTTGAGGTGCTTCCGGGGCTTAGCGTCCCCGCGGCCCGGTCGTCGACCAGGCCTCTTGGTTGCCGGACTGATCAACCAGGCTGTTGGACGCGGCTGCTCGCAGCCTGACGTATGAGTCACAGCCTGGTTGATCAGGTATCCTTTGGAGGTGCTTATCCAATTCTCTCTTGAACACTGTGAGGGGTCGGCCAGTTATGCCCCTTATGTGTAGTGGAAGCGTGTTGAACAGTCTCGGACCTCTGATGTTGATAGAGTTCTCTCTCAGAGTACCAGTTGCACCTCTGTTTTTCAATGGGGGTATTCTGCACATCCTGCCATGTCTTCTGGTCTCATGTGATGTTATTTCTGTGTGCAGGTTTGGGACCAGCCCCTCTAATATTTTCCACGTGTAAATTATTATGTACCTCTCCCGCCTGCGCTCAAGGGAGTACAGTTTTAGGCTCTTTAGTCGGCCCCAATAGTTTAGATGTTTTACTGAGTGGATTCTAGCAGTAAAGGATCTCTGCACGCTCTCCAGGTCAGCAATTTCTCCAGCTTTGAAAGGTGCTGTCATTGTGCAGCAGTACTCCACTCTAGAGAGCACAAGCGTTTTGAAAAGTATCATCATCGGTATAGCATCTCTAGTGTGAAAAGTTCTTGTTATCCAACCTGTCATTTTTCTTGCAGTTGTGACGGCTACTTTATTGTGTTCTTTAAAGGTAAGGTCTTCCGACATGAGTACACCCAGATCCTTTACATTGCCTTTTCGTTCTATGTTATGATTTGCCTGAGTTTTGTACGTGGTTTCCGTTTTTATATTTTCATTTTTTTCCATAGCGCATGAGCTGGAACTTATCTTCGTTAAACACCATATTATTTTCTGTAGCCCATAGAAAGACCTGATCTACATCTGACTGGAGGTTCGCCGTGTCCTCTATGTTGCCTACTCTCATGAAGATCCTAGTGTCATCTGCAAAGGATGATACAGTGCTATAGGTTGTGTTCTTGTCTATGTACGATATGAGGATGAGAAAAAGTACTGGAGCAAGCACAGTACCCTGGGGGACTGAGCTCTTCACGGTTGATGGGCTGGATTTTATTTTGTTGACTATTACACATTGGGTTCTGTTGGTCAGGAAATTGTAGACTAAAGCTCTGACTAAACAACTAGCTATAAGTTCATCCAATACTCCCATCTCACAGGATGGTTAGTCATAACTACTGGGTTTTAAAATACAGCTAGAAAAATCATCAGGGCAAATGGGGGGACATTTGACAAGCCGCCGACTTCCTGTCGTCATCGAGGCCACTAGTCCCTCAGGTAAATTTAAGTAAATGTTGTTGTTGTGGTTGATTTAGGTGCGACGACGATCGTGGGATCGGATGCGCCCCGGCGTACCCGGTAAGGATTAATCGCGAAGCCCGGAAAGGTGAAACGCCAAGCCTAATCGCGAAACAAGTGACGCCAATCACTGGAAACTAATATGCCATGTGGCAAAGAAACGCAGACATGCAGATGATTAGGAAGCCCCAGGAGTCCCTCAGGGTGACAAGCCCACCCCTACACAGAGAACACTGGGTAGCAAAACCAAAACTCTGCCCCCAACTAAAACGCAAAAGTCATCCAGTGTCCTCCGGCAGAGCAGAAGCCAGCCGCCCATCACGGCTGAGGGCACATCAGAAGCCCACCACGCCTGAGGGCACACGTACCATGCAGAAGCAGACCACGGCTGAGGGCACACCAGAAGCCCACCAAGACCTGCCAACCCCCGGCACCTCTCGGCCAAGTCGGCGCCGGACATCGTCACCCTGCCTTGAGAACAGACACGTAAAAAATAAATTTATCCTGCCAAACTTGTCAAAAATTTTTGAAAAACTAATCTATAAGCAGCTTTACTCATATCTAGCCAAACTCAATATACTTAGCCCTTGCCAATATGGCTTCAGACCCAAAAAAAGCACTAACGATGCACTTATTAGTATGTTTAACTCGATTCATACAGCTCTTGATAAAAATGAGTTCTCTGTTGGGTTGTTTGTGAACCTGCGTAAAGCTTTTGACACTGTCAACCACCAAAACCTTCTTCTTAAATTACATCATTATGGAGTCAGAGGACACTCCCTACAATACCTCAAATCCTACCTTACTGACAGGCTCCAATATGTTTCTGTGAATAATACAATTTCTCCCACCCTACCCATCAACATTGGTGTTCCCCAGGGCAGCATACTTGGCCCTCTCCTCTTTCTCATCTACATTAATGACCTTCCAAATGCCTCCCAACACCTCAAACCAATTCTATTTGCTGACGACACAACCTTCATTTACTCCAGTCCTGATCCCCTTGCTCTAAATGCCACAGTAAATACTGAGCTAAATAAAGTCCATCTGTGGCTAACTGCCAACAAACTCACCCTTAACATTGACAAAACCTTTTATATTCTGTTTGGCAATAAATCCTCTAATCAAATAAATCTCAAAATAAACAATACCCAAATTTGTAACAAATTAGATGGCAAATTCCTTGGCATTCTCATTGACCACAAGCTTAATTTCCAGGGACACATTCTAAACATATCAAAAAAAGTTTCAAAAACTGTGGGCATTCTTTCTAAGATCAGATATTATGTACCACGCCCTGCCCTGGTGACTCTCTATTACTCCCTTATCTATCCATATCTCAACTATGGTATTTGTGCTTGGGGCTCTACTACCCAAAATCACTTACGTCCTCTAATTACTCAACACAAAGCTGCTATTAGGACAATATCCAATTCTGGCCCCAGACACCACTCGGTACCCCTACTTAAATCTCTGAATATGTTAGACATTAAGTCACTGCACATTCTCTCATGTGTATTATACATATATAAAACGCTAAACTATAATGCCAATCCTGATCTCAAAAGCTTCATAGAAGGTTGTATCAGAACCCATGAGCATCACACCAGAAATAAATACAGTTTTGATATTCCTAGAGTACGACTTAATCAAACTAGAAATGCTCTACAAATCAAGGGGCCCAGAATGTGGAATGACCTTCCCAACCATGTTAAAGACTGTACCTCTCTCAACCAGTTTAAGTTAAAAGCGAAGCTATACCTAATAAATTCCCTGTAACCTACCTTACCCTTCTATTGTCAACCAATGTCTGTTTTTTTCTTTAAAGAGCGCTGTTTGTCGACATAATTGTATTTGTGCTGCTTTTTCATCTATGTTTTCATTTCTTGTTTTCATTCTACTCATTATGCTCAATTAGTATTAAGCTTGTCATTTAAGTTTATCATGCCCGAAACGCTTTGCGTAATAGTGGCTTTAGGCATTGTATGTACTAGCTATACCTATAAGTTAAACAATCCTTGTAAATATTTATTGTATGTATGTACCTTACCTAAATAAAATTGTATTGTATTGTATTGTATTGTTGTATCAACAATCCCGTGACCCAAGGCGATATGTGCACCAGGCGTCGTACAACCGGACCGTCGAAGAGGGATGCCAAATGGCAGTAGCAAAGGTAGCAATCGCTGGAAATTAATATGCCTCGCGGCAAAGAAACGCACAGGCAGATGATTAGGCAGTCCCAGGTGGGAATCTTTGGGTAAACAGTGTATGATGTAAGCAGAGTTAGACAGCTGCTATGGGCTGCTTCCTGGGGATGTGTGAGTGAAAATTAGGATTAAGGGCTTGCCCGAAACGCTATGCATGCTAGTGGCTGTACAAGAATGTAAGAACTCTTGTATAAATAAATAAATAAATAAATAAATGTTGAGTTTTATTACATCTATTGGATTAATAGTTATTAAGAGTATGCGGATTCTCAGGATGTTCGTGACGGTTTGGAACTCCCGAACGCTGCTAGAGTAAGTAAACAAGACCAGACTAGGCTGGGCGGGGCGGGAAGCTCCTCTGTTACCCGCTGATGTAAAAAAACTAAATAAGACTTAATGTAGACTATACGTGTAAGATGTCAAGTGGTGTATGTGACAGTCGCAGGTCGTATAGAAACGTTGTAGGAGAGCTTATTTTTGTAAATGTCCTCATGAGCCCAGCTTCCTGTAACAATCGAGCACTGGAGGTCAGTATATCTTCTACTGGTGTATAACGCTGTCATGGGGAGGAGACCTGTTTGTTTAATACAGGTCCTCCTTATCAAGGTTATGCTCTCTGTATAGTGACTCATCCAATTACTGACTAAATTCAGTGGTGGTTAGATGTGCCTGGCCGAGTTATCAACAAATACAAATATTTATTCAGGTAAAATACATACATACAAGGTATCATACAAGGTATCAAGGTATTATCCACCACTATCCACTGCACAACATTGCTAAAGTTGTAATGTCCTGAGCCCACTATTCTTGTAGTTATTTTCGTAGACATTTCACATGTGTTTACTATGTTTTGCTCGATTTCCAGATGGTGAGGTGCATATGATGGCTCTTGGCTCTTGTATTCTGTAATGTAAAGTAAATTCCGGTAAATATAATACCAGTATCAAATGTGAACATAAATTTTTGAAGGAGCAAAATTAGCTCATTAATTGATGAAATAAAAAATCAGAGAACATCAAGTTGCATCGAGCTTGATGGGGTTTTCTTGTATCATTTAATGATGTTACCAATAACCCAAATGAAATACAGTATAAGAAACAAGTGTGATTTACCAGTTTGAAAAATCCAGTACTATAATAAAGTTGCGTCCTTAAACTAAAAAAAAATTCTCTGTTAACTGGCGTTTGAGCTATATTATTGAAGCTGCTCATCTTCTAGAATGATGGGAAATATAGTCTATTAACTGGAAACATGTTCATTATACCTGGAGTATACCTGGCGAGAGAGTCAAGAGTTTGTCTACTCCCTGAGCCCAGCCTGGGGCCACAATATATGAAGGGTGGTATATGCAGTCCACATTTTATGCTATTGCCTTTTGTTTAAATTGTTCAGAGAACAAAATTTAAACAGGAAAAAAAAAGTTACAACCTAACATTGTTCTTGGAACAAATGTTGACATTTTCAATAGCATAAAGTGTGGTATGTTATCTGTGTATCCATAAATATTTTGTACATATACTTCCCTGTTGATACAATTATATGTACAGTGCTTTCATTTTGAAGGATGAGTAGTATTAAAACATAATTTTTACAATAGAAGTTGCCTGGCTATTTTTGTATTAAGCCTTTTGTTAAATTTACGTTGGATTTAAATATTATTTTCCATCAGGTTTGTGTGAGTGGAGGACGTATTCAACTCCTACCATGGCTTGGATATACAAGCATTTTGGCAGTGATTGCCTTTATCACGCAGTTACACACACTACACTTAGCATGGCTTATTTCGGCTGTCATCGTGCAACTAGCCACTCTTGCTTATAGAGTTCGTGGAAAAGTTGTTTCAGGTTAGTTTTGGTGTAATATGTAACAAGATGATTGAATATCACTAAATTTTCATTGGAATAACTAAAAGTCACACCTGGATGTACATTGTGTTTTATTTAACATACTGTATTGTTCTATACATGGGTACCTCGATTTAAGAGTTTAATCCGTTCCTGGAGATGGCTCGTAACCCGAAAACTCGTAAACCAAAGCTAATTTCCCGATAAAAAATAATGGGAAATGAATTAATCTGTTCCTAATAACCCAAAAACCTCACTTCAAACTAAATTTTATACCTAATTCATCAAAATCTACACTACAAAAGTATGTTCAAGTTATTACTTACCCTTGTTGATGACTGCTGTTGGCGTATGGAAGATGGTGAGGAGGGGGAAGGAGGAGAGGTGTTACTGTTTGGAAGGGGAGTCCCCTTCCATTATAACATCAGGCAGTGAGGACCTCTCTGGGGTGCACTCTCTGGCACGTTTTGCCTGCATACCACTAGGTCCTGGTTGTAGCTCACTGCTCGATTTTCTCACAATAAAACGATCTGTTAAAGATTGTTTTTCCCTTCTTCGCAAGATATTTCTGTAGTGAAGCATCACATTGTCATTGAAAAGATTAATGCAACGGCCTACTACAGCTTTCTCTGGGTGATTTGTTTCAATAAAAGTTTGCATTTCTTCCCACATCTGAAACCACTTCCTAATGGTTGCGGAAGGGACATCCTCTTCTGCCTCATCCTTTTCCACTGGAGAAATAACATTTTCTTTGGCAACATGACATGCCCCAGACAATTAAATACATAGATTAATAAATAAACAAGTATTGTACTATATACATATTGAAAATTATATTTATGTAAACTTTTCAGAAACATTGCTGGTTGTGGCAGGTATTGGTGTGCAGACTACAGCAACATTTTACACAGGCAAACAACACACACGATTTATTCCATGGGGCAATATAATTGATGTTATTATTGCTGAAACTATATCCCTGGTGAGTATAAATGTTTACAGTAGTACTGTACTGTATATTTATTTTTCTTACATAATATTACAGAATAAATATACTGTATTTATCCATTGCCTTAGCCAATACAGTACAGTGGAGCCTCGATTAATGAATTTAATCTGTTCCGGCACCGAGCTCATCATGTGAAACACTTGTCTTGCAAAATAACAACAACAAGACTGTTGTCGGAGGCGTCCGAGAACCAGCGGGAATGCTAGAAAGCACTATGTGGTTTTTTTGTTAATCAAGCGAAAGCTCGTCAATCTAGAAAAATTTTCTGCGAGTGGCTCGCTCGTTACTTGAAATGCTCATAGATGGAGCTGCTCGTCACTCAAGGTTCATCTGTATATATTTAGCTTAGTAGCATACGTAGAAGTCAACATTGGCAAGACATATATAATTGCTATTTCATTGCACTGTCACATTGACTAGCTTCAAGCATTGAATTTGTAAAGACACTGGCTCACTAGTAAAGGAAAGGTAAATGTATTAAAGTACAATATTCCTTGTATGAAAATTATTACTAGAACCACATGCTGGATATTATTTTAATTAACATTTGAATTAATGTATATTTAATCTAGAAATGGTGGATAATAATAATAATAATGACTGATAATGAAGATTTATCAGGATGCAACTTGTGGATATGGGCTTTGTTTGTAATTGAGTTTTCAGGCCCAGAAGGAATATGTAAAACAGATTACGCAATAGATAAGAATATTTTATTTAAGAACACATTAATGGTAAAGGTAATAGAAGTATCACTGGCATGTTATCTTAGTAATAAGGTACTGTATGGATAGTAACTGGCATAAAGATTTGAAGTAAAACAATGGGATCTCCGTCATCCAGAGTTCCAATATGCAGATTTCTGCATTATTCAGAAGAAGTCTGATCTGGTTGTGTTTCTGATGTACAGTATTTTGATAAACGACAAATAGAGCGAATGGTTTCATATATGACTGGATGATCATGGCATCACCATGTACTTGTATGAAAATACAGTATAACAAAATAACCTAGGTCTAACTTAATCAGCGGAAACTGTCAAAGCTTTCTGATCCAAAATAAAATGCAAGCTGGAAAAAAATACAATGTTTATTAATGGAAAAATACAAAAATAGCATGGGAAAAGTTGCGTATCAGATTTTGTTTTTTTCAGGGATATTCCTGCACGGGGCCCTAAGTCTCTGGCTGGCCCACTAAGTGTTACTTGTTGTTTCTGCTCTGTTGAATCAAAGTTAAAGTCTTATTGGGTTTGTAACTGTGCATTGTGTTAGATAATGTTCTGGTGGTCTGTCAGACATTTCTCCAGTGTGCTGACATTTCCTCTCATCTTCTAAAACCTGTGAGACTATTTCCCATACACATGGGTATCCAAGCCTGATGCGAAGCAAGTGTACTTTTGTTCTACTGCTCCCTTTCATCAAAATAAATGGTTCGTAGTTGGTAGAATTCTTCTACTAACCTACAGATTGTGATGTTGCAGCAGCTGTATTGTGGTCACTGTACATTTTCTGCATTTATAATTACTTTCTTTATCTGTGATAGACTCTGTGGTATGTAAATGTTTACATGTCTTCTCTTAGTTGAAAGTTTTGCAGCTTCTTCTGTAATGTCATTTCCTATTATTCCCACATGACTCGACACCCAGTTGATAAGTACCTGATGGCCTTGACGTTTGATTGTTTGCATTAATGCTATGACATTTGTGATCAGATGGATGTTGTCACGTATGTGTTCTTGTTGCAAGGATTCAATGGCAGTTCTTGAATCTGTATGTATGATAACATGTCGTCAGTGTTCAGCAAGAGCATTTCAAATCCTTTTGAATGGATAGCATCTCTGTTTGTAAAGTTGAACACCCATTTGAGAGTCTCCAACTACAGTGGTACCTCAGCTTATGAATGTAATCTGTTCCCAAAGACGGTTCGTAACCTGAAAATTCGTAAACCGAAGCGAATTTTCCCATAAGAAGTACAGTAATGTAAATTGAATTAATCCATTCTACACTCCCAAAAGTATTAACTTTAGAGTAAATTTCATACTTAATTCACCCAAACCTTTAGTACTAAAGTATGTACAAGTTATTGCTTACCTTTATTGATGACTCATTTGGAGTATGGAAGACAGTGAGGAGGGGTGGGGCTAGGAGGAGAGGTGTTAGTGTTTGGAAGGGGAAGTCCCCTTCCATTATAACATCAGGCAGTGATGACGTCTCTGGGGTACTCTCTCTCTCTCTCTCTCCTACGTTTTGCTGGAGTACCACTAGGACCTGGTTGTGGCTCATTGCTTGCTTGTCTTACTAAGAATCTGTCTAAAGACCCTTGTTTTTCTCTACATTTTAACACTTGTCTGTAGTGAGACATCACATTGTCATTTAAAAGGTCAATGCGACGACCTGCCACAGTTTTATCTGGGTGAGTTTTTTTCAATAAAACTTTGCAGTTCTTCCTATACTTCACACATTTTCTTAATGAGGAAAGGACATCCTCTACTGCCAACTATTTTCTTAGGTTGAACCTTACCACTGACTTTCTTGGAACCCATGGCGAGATATGTAATAATTACTTTAATGTTAAAAATTCTTTACAAAGAATTCAGGTACGATTGTCACTAGGCAGGAGGCACTGGTAAACTGAGGAGCGGTCACCGTGCCACCACGTGCTAGGTCGGCCATATGCGTATCAACAAACTATGTTACCCAAGCAAAGTTTGTAACCCGATTCGGATTTTACAAAGAAATTGGGCTCGTAACCCAAAAAGTTCATAAAGAGGGGCATTTGTAAGCCGAGGTGTCACTATAACTACAGAATTTCCTGCTCTAACTGCAGCTCCAGTTTCGTGTCCCTGATATCAGTGTTAGCGATGGGCTACCTCCCACCAGTTTAGAAATGGCTGCCGACCATGTTATAGTACTTAAATTTTAATTTTTTCACTGTAATAATATTTATTACTGTATTATCCAATATATATAATATAATATACAATATTATCCACATATTTAAGTATTAATATACTGACACTGTTGTGTCAGTGCAAAATGTCAACCTATCTTCATTGCATGAGACCTTAACCAGGATTTTGATAGAATTGTGCCTCGGGAAGCGACTAAATGGAGTAAACCCAAAAGTTAACATATCCTGTTAATAATTAATCTTTTACCATATTATTCTTTGTAATGTTATGAATTTCTCTCAACAGCAACGAGTCTTGTTTTATATGGCACTTCTTGTGAGAGGAGAGAAACCAGTTCCAACTCCAAATCTAATACCTCTATTTTTGGTAAGTCATCCTAGACATAATTGTAATTAATCTCAGTCTCCACTTCAGCTTAAAATAATATATTAAATTAAATTTGTAGTATTGTGTATGCATTCCAGCCTAAAGTAAAAATTTCTGTGGAAGTTGGTGTCATAATTATTTGCATTATAAACATAGCTTAACTAATAGGTGAGGGGTGAGAGCCAGTCACAATTGACATTTGGTCAATATATAAAATAAATTTCACTCACGCAGGCATGCATATGCTTGGTGTACTTTTATTTTTTTAAATATCTCATATCTGATTGTTATGCTGCTGCATCCATGAGGTATAGTAGTGCTCTGCACTTATTCAAGATCATAACTTAGTAAGGCAATACATGCCAACCCTTAGCCTAAGAATTTGGTCTCAGACTGCCACAAATACACTCAGAACATATGAACAGTTTTTATGGAAGGACAGGGCCTGTCCTACAAGTCCAAAATATATAATTAACATTCTCTTACAATGTACTGTTCTTCCACAGAACACATGGCCACGTTTAGCATGTCTGCAACACATCTATTGTGCCTGCCAAGAAGTTCTTGTCACTAAGGTTAAGTGATACCAAATTAATTTATGTTATTTTATAATTGCAAACCAAATGATTCTCATTTTTAAGTATTAAATATACAAAGTCCTATATTAGGGCCTAGTCACTGGTGTTTGATAGATAAGTATGTATTGTAACAGTAAAAGTTGTCAAGGACCAGGCTCTCCAATCATCACCTTTAATGACATTGATAGACAATCAAGTGAAAACAATTTACAGTAATTTATGTAAAATTATATTTGGGTAAATGTGCATTGGCATTTTAGCAATTATAACAAAAACATTTTCATATTTTAAATTTTGTTTATAATTTAATGTATGCATATACAGTATGATTATTTTGTCATTTTAAGACTGACAATTATTACATTTTCTTGTACAGTACTATATTTATGTTTAATTTTGTGTTGACACAGTAATTTTAACATTGTTATTAGGTTTTGATAAATGACTTAAACTGTTTTTTTAAAAATGAGTTAACCACAGGTGAAATGCAAATTACAAAATTTGCAGATTGAAATTAGTCTGGATGGATTTTTAATTAATACACTAGCCTCTTTGATGTATAATATTTTGTGGACTGTCCATGTCACAAGGAACACATCCATGGGAGTGGATCATGTAGTTGCTCACATTCATTCTCATCACTCTTCAAAGCAATTTTTCTAGTTTAGAACTTATTCTACTGTCTCACACTAAACTAGTCCAGAAACTCCAATTGTTCGGACTTTTCTACCAGTGAATTAGCATTTTTACTCCTTTTTCTCAGGTAATACATCTTTAACTTTATTAGCAGTCACAGTCTTTTCTGTACAGCCTTCATTTCAGATTACTATACTGTACAGCTCCAGGCATCTCCAGTAGGGACTCCTTACACTTTCATGTTTTTTCTTACCTCAAACTGCCAGATAATATCTTGAAAATAACTCACTATGTTATGTACAATCATGAACCTGAGCTTCCTTTCATTACTGGACAGTATTGTGCATTAGTAACTAGGATTATAAAACCAAGCTGAAAGGTTCCAGGTTAAATTTCCATACAAAGACAAGCATTGGGGCATTGTTTTCTTTTATCTGCTCCTTCTGGTCATTTAGTAGTAAATAGGTACCTGGAAGTTAGGCAACTATTGTGGGTTGCGTCCTGAAGGAAGGTCAGTACCATAGTTAGCCTTGGGGGACCTGAATAACAGCCTTCCTGTCACCAACTATTGGAAACTAAAACATAATATCTCAGGTTCATACCAATTATAAAGAAATTAGAAGGGATAATTCTAAAGAGTTCAGTACCAAGCGAGGGAACAAGACTGTCACCACATTCTCTGTTAACTGCACTCGCCAACTGCCAATTTACCTCTACAGCAATCATTCGGCCTTCCTCCTCCCTACTCACTTCACCACGTACCTACCCATACCCTAGTAAACCACCCATACATTCTCTCTTGATATACATGCCCAGATGTATATCAAGGGTACTTGAAAGGAGAGTAATTTTATATGTACAGTAATAATATTTCATATTTGTATCATGAAACAATCAGAAAATGTATTTATATGAATATTTCATAATGATGTTTGTAATACAAGATATGACCAGGGATGCCCTTCTAAGTGTAACCCCCTCCCCGCTCAGCTCGTTGTCGCCGTGTGGGGGCTTGGTGGGCGGCTGCCGGAGTGTGATGCTCCTTGGGACAGTCCTGTCCTTTTCTAGCCTTGTGCTCCTGCTGCCGTCCTCTCCAATTCTGCTGGGCATCTTTTCCTTTTCCTTCTGTTTCGTTTTTCTCCCCCCTCTTCTCCTATCTGCTTGCCGTTTCCTGCCGACCTTTTGCTCGTTCTGGTTCTTCCCTTGGACTTCTTCTATTTTGACGCCCGGGTGCTTGAGGAGGCATACTCTTGCACCCGTAGAACTGCAGTACCCGACGTCGAGAGCGAGGGGAACCTTTTATTGTCAATCCCCACTTCGTCACTGAACCCGATCTCGACGGACTGTCGGTTTCTTAAGGTGGCGTTTGTGGGGCGTATACTCACGACGCACCCCTAGGAGGCCCCGACAAGATCGGCGATAGCTTCTTGTTGGGTGTCCTGCCTCTAATTGTGGCTCCATGGTGGGTGTGGGGGCACATTCGTGAGTGAATTCTTCTTTCGTCAAGATGATTACCCCTGCTTCGGCTTCTTCTGGTTTACCTTCTCAGGCTCGTGGGGTGGGCGACCAAGCCCCCGAGTCGGTCCGTATTGGAAGACCGGGCTCTGTAGCCTCCGCTGCATTGGGCCCCGACCTTGCTCCTCCTTTGGCCTCTCTGACTCCTTCCCCTGGCTCCCCTCCCTCCTCTGTGGTTGGGTCGAGCCCCAAGCCCCCAGTGGTGACTACCTCGTCCCCTGGCGCGGCTCCTTCTCTCGTTGTTACTACTGCGCCTTTTAACCCCTCTCTCTCTGGGGGTTCTCACCGCCGTTCTCGTCACGGCCGCCCTCGCTCGATTCCTTCCAGTTCTGCTACCTATCAAGCCTTGTTTGGTCCCGCTTCGTGGGCCAAATATTTTGATCTCCTCCCTCTTGATTCTGCGCCTCCTGACGATTTCTCCCTTCATCGACATCTCATTGATTCCGTGGATGCCTCCATTACTTTTAACCCCACTCGTCTCGGTACGCGTGTCGTTGCTGCTCCTTCTCAGGATGCTGCTTCCCGCTTGGCTGCCTTATCCTGCCTTGGCGAGACCCCCGTTCGGGTCTCGAAGAACGTCCAGTTGAATGCCAGTGTTGGCACTATTTTGCTCCCGCCCCATGTTGCGACCGGTGTTCGGGACCTACGCGACTGCCACGACGATATTCGACATATCCTCGCTGCCCAGGGCCATTCTATTCTCCAGGTGGACACGTTTACTCGTCCCCCTCGTGGTAGTCGCCGTCAACCCCTCCGGGTTGTGAAGATTACCTTTGATGGTAGGACCCTTCCACCCTCTGTCATTCTTGCTGGTGCCAGGTGCTCTGTCCAGGAGTACATTCCTTCTCCTCGGCTCTGCAACAAGTGCTGGAGGTTTGGGCATGGTGCCCTCCGCTGCTCCGGGACTGTCTCTCTCTGTCCTTTGTGTGGTGGCGAAGGTCACTCTAAGTCGGAGTGCGCTTCTCCCCAGGCTCGTTGCCTCAACTGCGGTGAGGCCCATCCTACCTTCTCCCGTGCGTGTGTCCATTACAAGCTTGAGGCAGCCGTCCTCAACTTGAAGCACCGGGAGCGTTTATCTTTTCCTGAGGCGAGGCGCCAGGTTCGCCGGCTCCCGCCTTATGCTAATATCTCTTATGCTCGCGTGTTGCGCTCTTCCTCTCCTCGTCCTTCCCGCCTTCCTCAGACTCACAACCGTTTCCAGGCCTTGGACCCTGATGCGCCCACTGCCCCCTCCTCTGTCCCTTTGGGTTCTCTCCCGAAGGATCCTCCTCCTGGTCCTCTGTCTGGGGTTCCCCTTCCTTCTACCCGGTCTGTCGTGTCTTCTGTGTCTCCTTCCTCGTCCCCCTCCGATCCTCCTTCCCATCCTCTTCCTCCATCTATCGGCTCTCCCCGCCGCCTGTCGGTGCGGGCGGATGTCCATCGCTCTCCTAACGGCCGTCGTGTGTGCTCTCGTTCGGCTTCTCCTGTTGAGACACTGGAATCCGTTGCCCGGTACGTAGTTGCTGGGACACCGGTCCCTTTAAGTCAGAAGCGTAAGCCTGGCTCCTCTCCTTCCTCTTCCCCGGCGGGTAAGAAGGCTTCGCTTTCTTCCTCAGCTCCTCCTTCTGGCTCTGTTGCTCCTTCCACTCCCGTTTCAGTGCTTGCGCCCCCTGTTCCTGCTATGGAGGTTTCTTTGGCCCCTGCTTCCCTTTCGGTTGCTGCTCTTGCTGGGGTGCTCTCCTCTCTTTCTACTCCCCCTCTTCCTGCTGCTGTCCTTGACTGCTCCTCTCCGTTGTCTCCTCCTCCTCCTCCTCCTCCTCCTCCGGACCCTGCCCGCCCACCTCTGATCTGTTCTCCCGTTTCCTTCCCTCCGTCTTTGCTCAGTTTACCCATGCCCCCTAACCCTGACTTTGCTGACCCTGATCCCGACCCTGATATTCTTTAACGTGCTCTGTTGGTCTTTCGCCTTTGTTTCTTCCTTGTTCTCTGTTTTTGTCCTTTCTCTTCTCGTCGTTGTCCATTCTTCAATGGAACGTTCGAGGTTATTACGCCAATTTCCTCGAACTCCAACTTCTGGTTTCGCGGTTTTCGCCCCTTTGTGTCTGTCTCCAGGAGCCGATGCTTGGTGCTCGTCCTGGTCGTTTTCGTGGCTATTCCTTTCTCTCCCCCCCCCCAGCCATTGCTGGGGCTTCTAATTCTTCTGCTCTCTTGATTCGGGCTGATGTTCCCTTTGTTCCTTTACTTTTTCCTTCGCCTCTCCATTGTTCTGCTGCTCGTATCTTTGTGGGGAAATGGTACACAGTTTGTTCCATTTATCTCCCCCCGAGTGTCCCGCTCTCTCTTCCTGATTTGAAACACCTCCTAGACTCCTTGCCGGAGCCTGTGCTCCTGCTGGGTGACTTCAATTGTCGTCATTCTCTTTGGGGTGACGTTCTGACGAATACCCGGGGTCGCCTCCTTGAGCCGTTTCTCCTCTCTTCTTCCCTGTCTCTTCTGAATTCTGGTGAGCCCACTCATTTGGACTCTCGAACTCGCACCCTTTCTTGTCTTGATCTTTCTCTCTGCTCTTCTTCTCTTTACTTAGATTTCACATGGCAGGTTCTTGATGACCTCCATGGAAGTGATCATTTCCCCATCCTTGTTTCCTTTTTCTCTTTTCGCCCTTCCCTCTCTTTCCCTAGATGGCAGTTTGCTAAGGCGGACTGGACCCTGTTTTCCCTCAGTGCTACTCTCTCTGACCTCTCCCTTCTGCCCCTCTCTCGCGCTCTCCTCCTTTTTCATGACACTGTCTTCGACGCTGCCCTCCGCTCTATTCCTCGCTCTTCCTCTCGGGGTCCACGGAAGTGCGTTCCCTGGTGGAATGCGGACTGTGCTCGGGCTGTCCGCTGTAAGCGTGCAGCCTGGAAGAAGCACCGCCGTAGGCAGACGACCGATTCTTTTCTTTTCTTTCGGAAAGCGAGTGCGGTGGCCCGTAGGGCCATCCGTACGGCTAAACGTGAATGTTGGGCTTCTTATGTCTCGACAATTACGTCCGAAACCCCTCTGGCCCAGATCTGGAAGCGTATCCGCAAGATAGCGGGTAAGTTCGTTCCCGATGTTTCACCGGTCCTTCACCTCCATGATACTCTTGTGGCGGACCCGTTGCAGGTCGCTTCCGAACTGGGTTCCCACTTTTCTTCTGTTAGCTCTGGTCTTCATCTTCCCCAATCTTTCCTTCTTCGTAAACCTGTCCTTGAGTCTCGTCCTTTAGATTTCTGCACTCATCTTCAGCTTCCCTATAATGATCCCTTCTCTCTCTCTGAACTTCGTTCTGCCCTGGCCCTCTGCGGTTCTACGGCGGCGGGCTCCGATGGTATTCATTATGAGATGCTTCGCCATCTCCCTCCGAGCACGTCTCAGTATTTACTGAGTCTGTATAATCGGATCTGGGAGTCGTCGTCAGTCCCTGAGGACTGGCTCGATGCCGTTGTCCTCCCTGTTCGCAAACCAGGGTCTCTGGGTACTTCCCCTAAGGACTTTCGCCCTATTGCTCTCACAAGTTGTGTCTGCAAACTCTTTGAACGTATGGTTAACGTTCGTCTGATGTGGTTCCTGGAACACCATCACCTCCTCTCCCCTTCTCAATTTGGTTTCCGCAAGTGCCGCAGCACGACAGATGTCCTGGTGAACTTGGAGGTCTATATACGTACTGCTTTTGCTGCGAAGACCTCCGTTGTTGCCGTCCTTTTTGACCTAGAAAAGGCTTACGACACCACTTGGCGTTATCATATCCTATCTCAACTTCATTCTTTTGGCCTTCGTGGTCATCTCCCTCTCTTTCTCCGCAGCTTCCTCTCTCGTCGTTCCTTTCGGGTGCGCCTTGGTACCGCTCTCTCTCCCCCTTTTCAGCAATACGAAGGTGTGCCCCAGGGTAGTGTTCTGAGCACTACTCTTTTTCTGGTTGCCCTCAATGGTCTTCTTTCCTCTCTTCCTTCTGGTGTCTTCTCCGCTCTCTATGTCGATGATCTTACCCTTTGTTGTCAGGGTGATGATTCGCCTCTCCTTCAACGCCGGCTTCAACTTGCGATTGATGCCGTGTCGTCTTGGGCCACAGGTCATGGCTTCAAGTTCTCTACTTCTAAGACTTGTGCCATGACTTTTACGCGGAAACGGGTTGTTCTTCGTCCCTCTTTGTCACTTTATGGTCATCCCCTTGAATACAAAGATTCCGCGAAGCTTTTAGGGTTATTCCTTGACACTCGTTTGTCTTGGTCTCCCCATATCTCTTACCTCCGTGTTGAGTGCTCTAAGTCCCTTACCCTCCTTCGGGTCTTGTCCCATACTTCTTGGGGGGCAGATAGGCGCACTCTCCTTGCTTTACATTCCTCTCTCGTCCTGTCTAAGCTCGATTATGGTTGCCCTGCTTACTCGTCTGCTTCTCCTTCTACTCTTCGCCGTCTTGATGCTTTGCACCATACTGGGTTGCGCCTCAGTTCTGGTGCCTTTCGTTCGACTCCCGTCCTTAGCTTGTATGTTGACACTGGCTTCCTGTCTCTCCAGGACCGCCGTGATCGCTACTGTCTTCGGTATCTTGCGCGGTCCTTGCAACATCCTTCCTCTCGTCTCTGTCGTGCTTTAACTTTTACCCCTCCTGCGGTTCCTGTTCCTCTTCACCACCTCCCTCTTTCTGTCCGGTTATCTCGCCTGCAGGATTCTCTTTCCGTTCGTATTTCTGATGTTTCTCCTCGTGTTGTTCCTTCTTTGCCCCCGTGGAGGGTCCCTCTTCCGCGGTTTTGTACATCCTTGACTCGCATCACTAAAGCTTTTACCCCTCCTACAGTTCTCAAACGCCTTTTCCTCGAGCACTTTTCTTCTCACTCCCGCTCCGTTTCTGTCTTCACCGATGGGTCTAAGTCAGCGGACGGTGTTGGCTACTCTGTTGTTTTTCCTGATCGCACTTATATGTGTCGCTTGCCTCCGGAGACTAGCATCTTTACAGCGGAACTTTATGCTATTCTCTATGCTCTTCGTCTCCTACTTTCTCGTTGTCAGTCTTCCTTTGTAGTTGTTGTTGACTCTCGTAGTGCCCTCATGGCTCTCGGGTCCTTTAATCCAGTTCATCCAGTGGTTGTCGAGATCCAGCATTGGCTGTTTCTCGTTCATAGTAAATTTAAGTCGGTTGAGTTTTGTTGGGTTCCCAGCCATATTGGTGTGTCTTTAAATGAGCGTGCGGATGCTGCCGCCAAGGAAGCTGTCCGCTCTTGTCCCATCTCTCGTAAGGGCATTCCGTATTCCGACTTTTACCCGGTTATCCATTCCTCAGTCCTTACCCGTTGGCAGGCTTCTTGGTTGTCTGTTACTGGTAACAAGCTACGTACTCTTAAATGTTGTGTTTCCTCGTGGCAGTCCTCCTTCCACCGTAACCGGCGGTGGGAAACAGCTCTGGCGAGGTTGCGTATTGGCCATACTCGCTTAACCCATGGTCACTTGATGGAGCGCCGCCCTGCTCCTTATTGTCCTAGTTGCATTGTCCCTCTTACGGTCGTGCATGTCCTTCTTGAATGTCCTGACTTCCAGGACGAGCGTATGTCTTGCTTTCCGACCGCCCCTCGCGGTCACCTGTCCCTCGATAGAATTCTTGGTGACTCGGATACTTTTGATATCGTTCGCCTTATGCGTTTTTGTTCTCGTATTGGCATCCTTGGTGATATTTAGCGCCCTCTGATTATTTTGCGTATTTGATGGTGCTACATAGCCTTCCCGGTTTGGTGCCTTCTTTTGATAATTACTTACTTACTTCTAAGTGTAACCCAATAAAAATATCTGGGTCTTCCAGTATCCTCTGATTCCTGTGACTCGCTGCTCAGGGTAGCACTAGGCACAAAGTAGCAGCAGCTGCATCTTTCACTCTCGGATGTTTTCCTCTCTACTACTTAATTGCACATAGTGACAATTTACACAAAATTCCTGAATGATTCTTGGGTGAATAATATACCTTTACTCAGATATAAATTGTATTGTACTTTTAAAAGTATTGTAAAAGTATTGTACTTTTACTCAGATATAAATTGTATGTATACATATGTACAGTCTATAAATTAAAAGGTCACTTGAACTATGTACTGTATGTATATGAAAGTAGAAAAAATAAGGACAAAGGGATTCTATAGATACACAGTGACAGGAAAATGAGAGGCAAGAAGATAATAGTATGAATGAAGAGAGCACAACTGAGAGTATATGAGGAGTTAAGGCAACAACTAACCAGGAAGCACTTGTGTAAAAATGTAGGGAAGTGGATAAAGGAGATTGGTGGAATAGCCAGTGTAAATTTTAGAGATAACCACGGGAAATTGTTAATTGAAGTAGCAGCAAGATATAGGTGGAGAAAATACTTTGAAAACCTGATGAATGAAATTTGTAAAAGGAGTGAAAATGTCAAAATGATTGGTTTTTAGGATATGAGATTAGTGCAAGATATTGCTGTCGGTAAAATGTGGGATAGTTCCAGGTGTCGTTGATATTGTTACATAAATATTAAATGTGAAGAAAAAGTATTATAATGTGGAGAATTTGACTGGTGTGGAAAAGTTGTACAGAGGCTAACTGGATATACACAAAATAAAACTGAGATTGTATCATTGTATTAAAATAGCATTAATAAAGGCACTAATCTACTGTGTTGAATAAAGTGTGTAGCAAAATATTGGTTGGAAGAATACAGAAAATAAGCAAGAAGTTGGTTGTTGATGAAAAAGGTGGCTTCTTTGGTGGAAAAGACCGTGTGGATCATATATAGAACAGTACTGTATTTGCTTTGAAACTACTATTGGGGAAGGCATGTGAGAAAGATTGTAAGGTATACATGATTAAAGTTAATAGGGAGTCTGGAGAGTGATGAGCATGTATGGAGTTGGTAGAATTGTTATATGAAGCAAAGAGTTAATGAAGAAAGTAGATCATGTGAAAGAGTTAATGGTTAAATCAGTGATGGGTTTGAAATTAATGGCAGGGTTGTGTAACATCTTAATGATTAAATATACCTGTATAGTGAACAAAGTCATGAGGGAGGTCAGGCTTAAAATATTAAGTGTGTGAGCTTGGTGCATAAATGTGATAGATCAAATTTTATGTACATAGATGATGTTGGTCTATCAGAAAGTTAAAGATTTATGTAGGGTAATTTAAGTTTTATTAATATTTCTAAAAAGTGTCAATTACAGCTAACATTACTTAACCCCTAAACTGCAGGAATAGACAAAAGTATTAAAAAATCTAAGGGAGAGCATTAGTTTGCAGTCATACATAATAATATTTTTCCATATAGCCATTCAGGATTATGAAGTGTTACCTCTGCCATTAGTGGATGGCTCTGATGCTCAAATAAGCTACCGAATACAGTCTTAATTTTCTTTGTTACAAGTATAGAGGTAATGGTTAGCTTGAAGTTTTTTTTGTAAATAATTTATTTTAACTTTGATATCAGATAATATATTTAGTTGACAATATACCAATACTTGCGTAATAATGTGTATATACTGTACGATCAAAGTATACGTACAAATGTACTCTCCAACGTGGGCGGGTGGCAGAGGCAATACTTGCTTCTGAGCACAAATTTTGTGTTTGCTAGACTAATGCTATGGCAATTAAAGTATATTTTATGGAATTCCAGAAAATTTATATTACATATTGTTGTTTTGGCCATTGGGGAGGGAGGGTGATACAAGTTTACAAGTCATACTGACTTCTCATAATTCAACATTCTTCATAAATACAACTACTGTATATTATTTGCCAAAGCCACCTTGACATGCAGGACTGCATTCTATTTCTTGAGGTTCCTTTGCCCACTGAGCAGGTGTTCGTGCCTGAAAAAATATGCAAATTTAAATATTTTTGTACTATAGCACTTTTGTCATTTCCAAGAATGTATTAGAAACAAAAATATGTAAACTGAACTCATAGATATTAAAAAAATCATTGGATTGAGAACAAATACTATATGTAATTAAATTGTTGGAGACTACTTGTTTAAGTAATTTTGTTTAACTTACTCACCAAATCCTTCACCATTAATAGATGTCTGACATATTAACCTTCTACATCCAAAGATGTGCACTGTATTGTACAGTAATTGGCACTTGCCAAAACAATTTATATTGAAATTTGATAATTTTGCAGCCAGAACATCACAGAACATACATCAACAATGCCACACTTTCTAACAAAATTTATAACATGAAAGTTAATATTCTCACATGCTGCTAGAAAGATATGATAATCAAAATTGTTCTGTGTGCAAGTACTCGCAACAAATAATTAGTGTATACTCTTCATATACAATGTAAGCCTACTCAATCAGAACCAGTTTCTTCAAAAACGTTATTGTGAAAATTGTTGACAATGGTTCTTCCAGAAAACATACTGTAGATAAGATCTGGCAAGCAGTTCACGAATACAGCTGGTGGCTGTATTCTCTAAAAGAATCTAAACTCAAACTCTAAAAGAGTTTGTGTACATATTACCCGATGGGAGTGGCACAGTAGATTATACGTTTATCACTTGCTCAGCAAGTTAAAACACCACTTAGTCTGGCCAGTAATTGGTTAAATGACCACATATACAGCCTTACTTTTCACGACAGATTTTTATATGCCTGATAGGTTTTCTATTCCCAACGATGGGAAACCTAGGTCATCTCTATTTTTTGTCACTTTTTTTCAATATGTTCAAAAATTGTGCCGAGAAAGTAACCAGGCTTAAGAAAGATCACTTGCAAAGGTTCTTACTTATTTGACTCATCTGACAGTAACAAGGTGGGTCTCCAGCAGGACTCATTAGTAGAGTATGTAGCAACAATATACAGCATATTTTTTAAGTTCCCACTACTGGATACAATCATATCACTCCTATACTCTGCCATACATGACTGCTGCTATCTTTCTTTCCAGGGGGGTATGGCAGGATTATTAACAAAAGTCTATCTCATGAAGGTTGAGTAATATACTGAGCTTTAAAAAAACTGGTTCTCTCTTACTAACCAGCATAACACTTACTACAATAGACAGTGCATGGACTCCCTTCTTGAGCTCTTCACTCAGTGTAGCATTCACGAGTCGATGACGCTGCAATTATGAAAGCAATGTAATTTAGTTCAACGTGCATATACCTATCACTACACTATTTTTTTGCTTAGCATTAACTTCATTACTTATTTTCAATATAAAATATCAAGAGCACTTCACTCTGGCACTGTAGATCATAAATAGGCCTTGCTCACCACATTCTCTACAGACCATCTTACTAGCACATCTTCAATGTAATAATAAATAGCAACAGACAAAGAATTACACGTAATTTAAAGAGAAGATTTTTATTATACCTATAAGTATTTTATTGAATAGTTATACCTGAGATATGGCAATGAAAAATAATTATTATTCATCTTCTGATTTATAGGCTATCAAGTTAATAATGTTTAAAATTGAAGGAAAGTTGTTATTCCTTTTGCATATGTTGAGAAAGTTTACTGAAGCACATTTAAAACACTCGGCTACTAATTTTACAGCAAGATACAAAATTTACCTTGATCAGAGATAAGTCATTGAATGCTTCAGACACCACTAGAACTTTGAAATGGGTTTCAGAGCCTGGTGGTACATTGTGCATATAGGATTCATTCATAATCTCTATGTGAGTAGGGTGCAATGCCTCTTCCAATTTATTCCTCAGAGTTGATTCTACTGGACCACCTGGACAAAAAAAAAAAAATATATATATATATATATACCTAAAAAATTAATAATAAAGATAAAAGTACTAAACATCAGCTATTACACTTGCCCACAACCATTTTCCCACTGTAATTAATAGTCATATATACTATACAGTATTAATTTTATTATATATATATATATATATATATATATATATATATATGTCGTACCTAATAGCCAGAACGCACTTCTCAGCCTACTATTCAAGGCCCGATTTGCCTAATAAGCCAAGTTTTCATGAATTAATGTTTTTTCGTCTACCTAACCTACCTAACCTAACCTAACCTAGATTTTTTTGGCTACTTAACCTAACCTTACCTATAAATATAGGTTAGGTTAGGTTAGGTAGGGTTGGTTAGGTTCGGTCATATATCTACGTTAATTTTAACTCCAATAAAAAAAAATTGACCTCATACATAGAGAAAAGGGTTGCTTTATCATTTCATAAGAAAAAAATTATAGTAAATATATTAATTCAGGAAAACTTGGCTTATTAGGCAAATCAGCCCTTGAATAGTAGGCTGAGAAGTGAGTTCTGGCTACTAGGTACGACATATATATATATATATATATATATATATATATATATATATATGTCGTACCTAGTAGCCAGAATACACTTCTCAGCCTACTGTGCAAGGCCCAATTTGCCTAATAAGCCAAGTTTTCCTGAATTAATATATTTTCTCTAATTTTTTTCTTATGAAATGATAAAGCTACCTATTTCATTATGTATGAGGTCAATTTTGTTTTATTGGAGTTAAAATTAACGTAGATATATGACGGAACCTAACCAACCCTACCTAACCTAACCTAACCTATCTTTATAGGTTAGGTTACGTTAGGTAGCCGAAAAAGTTAGGTTAGGTTAGGTAGTCGAAAAACAATTAATTCATGAAAACTTGGCTTATTAGGCAAATCGGGCCTTGCATAGTAGGCTGAGAAGTGAGTTCTGGCTACTAGATACGACATTATATATATATATATATATATATATATATATGGCACAACTCTCCTAAACACGAGAGTCAAGTATACAACTTTAGAACACTTTCCCACCAGGAGACTCGAACCCTAGCCAGCACAGAAGCCTTCCAGCAACTGGCATAACAGGTACGCCTTAACCCTCTCCACCACCTGCTCAGACCCTTAAAAGAGATGGTAATTTCGGAGTATTTAAATACCCCAAAGATCAACACCTCCCAAGAGCACCAGAGCAAGTGAGGGGTCATTTATACGTTAATTTCATCAAGTCCCTGTTAATATGGGGTATTTAAATAATCTTTAAATAATTATTTAAATAATCTTTGGGGTATTTAAATACTCCGAAATTACCATCTCTTTTAAGGGTCTGAGCAGGTGGTGGAGAGGGTTAAGGCGTACCTGTTATGCCAGTTGCTGGAAGGCTTCTGTGCTGGCTAGGGTTCGAGTCTCCTGGTGGGAAAGTGTTCTAAAGTTGTATATATATATGTATATATATATATATATATATATATATATATATATATATATATATATATATATATATATACACTGTATATATATTACATACAGTACAGTATGTATATTAGTACAGTTTAGTTTACAGTATGTATATTAGTACAGTACAATATATATATTACATGGCGAGTACAGTAGAACCTCGAGTGACGATTGCCTCAATTGGCGAGCATTTTGGGTAATGAGCGCCCAGATCGCCGACAATTCGTCTCGCATGGCGAGCGCTCGTATGAGTAACAACAACAACACATGGTGGGGTCGCGCTGCTTCTCGCACATTCTCGGATGCCTCCGGCGATGCAAATAAATTATGTTTTTTTTTTGTTTAATGATGCTGGGATATAAAGGGGTGACTGCTGAGATGTTGCAAAGCATCGAATGTTTTGTAGGAAAAAAAATGAAATTTTTTGAAAAAACAAAAAATGTCAAAAAGGTTCGTTCGGTGTTCGGCAAGTAGACTGCTCCATGTTTTTTAAATAAAAAACAAAAAAAAGGTGAAAGAATTTGAAAGGCGGACAAATGCCATAATGGTTCGTTCAGTGTGTGTCGGGTAGGCTGCTCCATTATTGAGACATAATTAAAAAAGACAAAACAAATTGAACACATTTGAAACAAAGAAAGATTGTCATAATGGAGCAGCCTACCTGACAAACACTGAAGAAACCTTTATGGCATTTATCTGTTTTTCAAATTGTTTCAACTTTTTTTTTTATTTTTCCTTTTTTTTAATTTAAGAAAAGTGGAGCTGCCTACCTGTCAAAACACTGAACGAACCCTTTGCTATAAAACTAATGAAAAAAATATTGAACAAATTTGAAGAAAGAAAATTGTCATAAAGGTTTGTTCAATGTATGTAAGGTAGGCTGCTCCATTATTTAAAACATCGAATATCATATTGTTGTTTTTGGTGGTAGAACGGATTAATTTAATTTCCACTATTGTCAATGGGGAAATTCGTTTTGTATGACGTCCGTTTCACATGACGATCATGGCGCCGGAACGGATTAAATTCGTTATTCAAGGTTCCACTGTATATATATATATATTTCGTTGAAAACGACAAAATTTTAGATTTATGATTCTGGCACGAACTTCTCAATATTTCTTATGTTTTTTCTACACTGAAGCAGAAAGTTGAAAAATTAACTACCAAAAGTATATTTTTACTTTTTTATTGGGATTGACGCCTAATGATGAGTTTCGTAAGGTCACGCCTCACATTCTCAAAGACAAATTCTACCGTGCTTAGAACCTGGTTATATCCTCTTATGGTGAGGTGGCTAGGTAACATATGGATGAATGGGTAACATATGGTCAAATGGCATTACATAGGGGATGTTAAACATATTTCAATATGTTTATTATTTTCATATTTCAACAAAATATGTTTAAAACAAAGGCTGCTACCAAAATATACTTATATATATATATATATATATATATGCAATTGACGATCACAAAACACTGATCATTTTATGCGGAAAATCCACAGAGAAATATGAAAAATGTTGAGAAATATGAGAAATATGAAAAATGAGTCAGTCTGGTGTTGACAAAGGCTTTAACAAAGCCGAAACGTTCACCTCATTTCATATTTCTCTGTGGATTTTCCGCATATATATATATATATATATATATATATATGTCGTACCTAGTAGCCAGAACTCACTTCTCAGCCTACTATGCAAGGCCCGATTTGCCAAATAAGCCAAGTTTTCATGAATTAATGTTTTTTCGTCTACCTAACCTACCTAACCTAACCTAACCTAGCTTTTTTTGGCTACCTAACCTAACCTTGCCTATAAAGATAGGTTAGGTTAGGTTAGGTAGGGTTGGTTAGGTTCGGTCATATATCTACGTTAATTTTAACTCCAATAAAAAAAAATTGACCTCATACATAGTGAAAAGGGCAGCTTTATCATTTCATAAGAAAAATATTTTAGAAAATATATTAATTCAGGAAAACTTGGCTTATTAGGCAAATCGGGCCTTGCATAGTAGGCTGAGAAGTGAGTTCTGGCTACTAGGTACGACATATATATATATATATATATATATATATATATATATATATATATATATATATATATATACAATCTTTGGACAACACCCACCAGTGGGACTCGAACCCAGAAAGCACAACTACCTTCCAGTAGCTGGCATAACTAGTATGCTTTAACCCACTACGCCATCAGACCTTACAAAAGAAGTAGATAGTTCGAGATATATATATCTCAAACATCTCTACCTCCCGAAGGCACCAGATGAGTGAGGGGTCAGTCTGCAATTTTCGTCAAGCCACTGTCAATGTGAGAGAACTCGTGTCCAGCTTATAAGCCTATACTTGCATAAACCACAAGTGAAGATAAACAATCTTTGGACAACACCCACCAGTGGGACTCGAACCCAGAAAGCACAACTACCTTCCAGTAGCTGGCATAACTAGTATGCTTTAACCCACTACGCCATCAGACCTTACAAAAGAAGTAGATAGTTCGAGATATATATATCTCAAACATCTCTACCTCCCGAAGGCACCAGATGAGTGAGGGGTCAGTCTGCAATTTTCGTCAAGCCACTGTCAATGTGAGAGAACTCGTGTCCAGCTTATAAGCCTATACTTGCATAAACCACAAGTGAAGATAAACAATCTTTGGACAACACCCACCAGTGGGACTCGAACCCAGAAAGCACAACTACCTTCCAGTAGCTGGCATAACTAGTATGCTTTAACCCACTACGCCATCAGACCTTACAAAAGAAGTAGATAGTTCGAGATATATATATCTCAAACATCTCTACCTCCCGAAGGCACCAGATGAGTGAGGGGTCAGTCTGCAATTTTCGTCAAGCCACTGTCAATGTGAGAGAACTCGTGTCCAGCTTATAAGCCTATACTTGCATAAACCACAAGTGAAGATAAACAATCTTTGGACAACACCCACCAGTGGGACTCGAACCCAGAAAGCACAACTACCTTCCAGTAGCTGGCATAACTAGTATGCTTTAACCCACTACGCCATCAGACCTTACAAAAGAAGTAGATAGTTCGAGATATATATATCTCAAACATCTCTACCTCCCGAAGGCACCAGATGAGTGAGGGGTCAGTCTGCAATTTTCGTCAAGCCACTGTCAATGTGAGAGAACTCGTGTCCAGCTTATAAGCCTATACTTGCATAAACCACAAGTGAAGATAAACAATCTTTGGACAACACCCACCAGTGGGACTCGAACCCAGAAAGCACAACTACCTTCCAGTAGCTGGCATAACTAGTATGCTTTAACCCACTACGCCATCAGACCTTACTGGTGCCTTCGGGAGGTAGAGATGTTTGAGATATATATATCTCGAACTATCTACTTCTTTTGTAAGGTCTGATGGCGTAGTGGGTTAAAGCATACTAGTTATGCCAGCTACTGGAAGGTAGTTGTGCTTTCTGGGTTCGAGTCCCACTGGTGGGTGTTGTCCAAAGATTGTTTATCTTCACTTGTGGTTTATGCAAGTATAGGCTTATAAGCTGGACACGAGTTCTCTCACATTGACAGTGGCTTGACGAAAATTGCAGACTGACCCCTCACTCATCTGGTGCCTTCGGGAGGTAGAGATGTTTGAGATATATATATCTCGAACTATCTACTTCTTTTGTAAGGTCTGATGGCGTAGTGGGTTAAAGCATACTAGTTATGCCAGCTACTGGAAGGTAGTTGTGCTTTCTGGGTTCGAGTCCCACTGGTGGGTGTTGTCCAAAGATTGTTTATCTTCACTTGTGGTTTATGCAAGTATAGGCTTATAAGCTGGACACGAGTTCTCTCACATTGACAGTGGCTTGACGAAAATTGCAGACTGACCCCTCACTCATCTGGTGCCTTCGGGAGGTAGAGATGTTTGAGATATATATATCTCGAACTATCTACTTCTTTTGTAAGGTCTGATGGCGTAGTGGGTTAAAGCATACTAGTTATGCCAGCTACTGGAAGGTAGTTGTGCTTTCTGGGTTCGAGTCCCACTGGTGGGTGTTGTCCAAAGATTGTTTATCTTCACTTGTGGTTTATGCAAGTATAGGCTTATAAGCTGGACACGAGTTCTCTCACATTGACAGTGGCTTGACGAAAATTGCAGACTGACCCCTCACTCATCTGGTGCCTTCGGGAGGTAGAGATGTTTGAGATATATATATCTCGAACTATCTACTTCTTTTGTAAGGTCTGATGGCGTAGTGGGTTAAAGCATACTAGTTATGCCAGCTACTGGAAGGTAGTTGTGCTTTCTGGGTTCGAGTCCCACTGGTGGGTGTTGTCCAAAGATTGTTTATCTTCACTTGTGGTTTATGCAAGTATAGGCTTATTAGCTGGACACGAGTTCTCTCACATTGACAGTGGCTTGACGAAAATTGCAGACTGACCCCTCACTCATCTGGTGCCTTCGGGAGGTAGAGATGTTTGAGATATATATATCTCGAACTATCTACTTCTTTTGTAAGGTCTGATGGCGTAGTGGGTTAAAGCATACTAGTTATGCCAGCTACTGGAAGGTAGTTGTGCTTTCTGGGTTCGAGTCCCACTGGTGGGTGTTGTCCAAAGATTGTTTATCTTCACTTGTGGTTTATGCAAGTATAGGCATATATATATATATATATATATATATATATATATATATACTGTATATATTTTTTTTTTTAAAACCTAGAAGGGGTACCACCTCTGGTGCAAGTGTAGGGACCCATAGCCTCGGAGAAGAAAATAAAGAGTACTCAGAGAAGACCTTGTGGATCCTCACTGAACACTTTGATATTTTCTTCTCCTACCACCCCTATTCTTTTGGTGTGTATATTTATCTAATTTTATTTGAAAATGTCATTACACAAAAAAAGTTACAATATTGATTACATGCAGAGTACAAGGCTGCTTATCACAAGTTGAACAGCTCCTCCAGCTCCTCAGATGGCGGGCAGGAACCGTGGATGCAGTGAGCATTTCCTCTCTGGATTGCCACACTAAGGCGCTGAAAAAGAAAACTGGCAGCTCTAGGGTCTCTAGTTGTTTCGATTAACATAGACCCCAACTCCTTCAAAAAGCTAGCAGCACTTTTACCCCAGGCACCAAGTGTCTCTGAGGCACTGGGGACAAAATTGTGGTGGTGCTCAAGGTCTCTGTATTTACGTGACTTGGCCGCTTCCCGGTGATTGGCAGCTCCTCCTGCTTGTGTAGCACTGAAGTCAACATAGGTATTGGCTAAAGTTGAAACGCAAGTGTAGTCCCACACCAACTGTCTACCATTCTTCCAGGGGTTCACCGTAATTCCGTCTGGGTGACCGACAGGCTCATCAGAGTTGCGGGACATTAGGTAACGGGGCTCTCTCTCTGCTGGACAACCGGCTGTGGTAAGGCTTCTCTTAATAATGTCATTAACCTCGCCGTGTCTTGCATGCCATCCTCCCGTCCTTTGGCAAAGAAGGCCATGCCGTCCATATCTGTCGGCCTCTGCCTCGCCGCAAATACACCTGTATTCAGTGTGGATTGGGGCAGTGAGGCGGAGAGCCACGGCAATTCGGAGGGCCTGCGGTGTGAGACGGGTGCCGGTTACTGACATTGGGGTTGCTAATAGGAAATCACCTGCATGGGGAGCTGCTACAGCTCTAAGTCGGGCAGTGTCATGTGGTGTTGTTGCAGCTCCTAGCAAAGTTGCAGCTTCTTGGTCGGCAATGGGGCGATCCCAGCTGGATTGCTTATGGGCTTCAGAAGACGGGGCTTCAGATGGGCTTTATATATATATATATATATATATATATATATATATATATATATATATATATATATATATATTATGTACACACACTGTACAGTATATACCAGTCTGCTAGAAATTTGTCGCTTTCTGTATTTCTTTCTGTATTTCTTTTCTGTATTTCTTTCTGTAATCTGTATTTCACAGTGACTGATACAAAATCCAGATGTAAACTAAAAAAATTCAGAATTCCAGAGGGATGATTTGGTAGTAAAATCAGTCTGTTACATGGAGGTCTGGATCTTGTAGGTACCACTTAAAATTTTATGACAATTAGATTTTAGTTTTTCTTATTTCCAGTCCCTGAGCCCATTATGTGCCTCTGTAACCCTTTCCACTACTGCCCACAAGATGGTTATGGTGTGCATAATAAATGAACTAAACTAATTTTTATTTCTTATTAGATTTTCTTGCAAGTTTTTTAATGCAGCATTGTGCTGCTTCATTCATTTACATTCTTGCCAACAGAGTGAGTAGCAGTGGTTAGAGCACCTTCTGTTTTTCTATCCTGGCTTCAGCTGTCTAAATACTGTAGATCTATAGCCTTTCCAGGAACTGTTGTACAGGTAGCTTTCCCAGCAGATAACCATAATAGGCCAGTATCAACTGCAGACCAAAAGGTCTCAATCTCAAAAAGATAAATCAATCTGTTCTTAACCCAAATTAATGATGAAAAATGTATAATGCTCCTCTATTATTAACTTTTTCAACTAGACCTTAAATTCAAAACCTTCCTGTCACTTTATTTGCAGCTTATCATTTTAATTAATGGTAAAACAGGTTCAAGCATAAGTAATTACTTACCTGATGCCATTACATGAAGATGTGCACTGATTTTGGTTGAAAATATAGCAGATGAAGCAAATCTTTGTATTGTGCCTGTAGGAAAAAAACACAATAAAACCAAATTGAATTTAATGAAACAACAATTTCTGGGTGATCCTGGTGGCTTCTTGAAGCTATCTTGCTGAGATGACTTCTCCCTACTGAGTCACAGCTGCCTGAACCTGACCCCATCCCCCTCACTCATCAACTCCTCAAGGGAGTTGATGATTGTTATGATCACCCTCACTGAGAAAGCATCTAGAAAGTAAATAAATCAATACAAACAAACTAATACAAGCAATCATTGAAAATGAAGCACTGAAACAGTCAAATGACTGCAAATGATTCACTTGAAGTGAGCTTGAGCCATCCAGTGTGAAACTATTGGCATCCCAGGAGCTCCAGACTCACAATTCAGCATTGTGCCATTTAGCAGCTCATAGACCACAAATCAGCATACCTGGTAGAGGGAAGGGAATCAGGGAACCACCAGTGGCTCCCCAAAGCCACCTAACAACAGAGAAGATGGAAAACCTGGGACTTACCCATTCCAGAACCACTATGGAGCAGGAACAAGCCAGGATGCATCCCAAAGGACTAACAGTCTGAGCAAAAACAAACATGTGAAGGCCAGAAAGGAGAAGCAAGGAAGCTGGAGAAGACAAAATGCTCTGTAGGACCACCGATCCCAGCAGTTGGAGTCAGAAATAACCAGGACACTATCCCGAAAAGAGAGGCGGTGCACCTGACCATGCTCGAGATCAAGGTACAAAGTCTGTGCAGAGTAGAGGGGAGAACACTGAACCCTACACTACTGGTCCCCCACCATGCCCTCAAAGGGGCAAGTTGTGAAAGAGCTAAGGGGGGAGAAAAACCCCAAGAGGAAGGACCCATCTGCAAGAACTTATGATGAAACCAATCAGAAAAGGAAAGGCCAAAAGAATCAGAAACCACCAGAGGCGCCTCTCAGTAACACAGGAGGAGAAGGGAGGGACCAAGCCAAAACAAGCCTTGGCAAGCATGGACAGCAATGTGAACCAGACAAGGAAAACTGCCAAGCAAACATAAAACCCATTAAGCCAAAGAATGTCAAGACAGATGCCTGCAGGATAGAATCCTGACAAGCATCCAAGCATTACAGGAAGGGAAGGGAAAGGAACTATCAGGGGAAATTGACAAGCCATTACAACTATATAGCACTGGAAAGGGATCAGGATAAGGATTTGGGATGAAAAGTGGGAAGGAATGGTGCCCAGCCACTTGGATGGTCAGGAATTGAACGCCAACCTGCAAGACTGTCGCTCTACTGTCCAGCGCAAGTGGTTGGGCGAGCATTGTAGGAGCCATGCAGAAATACACAAAAGACAAACAAAGAATGTTTGGAAGCCAGAGGAAAACTGGAACCCCACAAGTGACTGCAAGAATAAACTTGAAAGAGGGCAGGGCCAAAGGGAAGCAAAAGCCAGCAACCATAGGAGCTGTAAAACCAATCTAATAAAAAACAGAAGGCAGTAAGCAAGAACCCTATGGAACATGATGCAACCAAGGACACTGAACAGGACATAGAAGTAAGACCTAGAGAGAAGCAGCCAAGAAAATGTGTTTCAAATATAAAGGAGGATAAGAAAAACCCTACCAGAGTGGAACAAAACCCCCACAGAGGGAAGCAGAGACCAGGAAAGTTTGAAGGCCACCCAGGGACCCACCTTGAGCCACTGCCATCCTCTGAAGTTCACCATGAAGTCCACCAGAGCTGAGCTCTGTGCTTGATGTCAAGACAGAGGGAAAGGCATCACCACACTATGAAAGGATCCAAGCTAAATACTATCTCCCTCCCAAGACCCTGGTGAAAAGCAATGGGTCAACTGTCTCGGATGTTGAAGCAGAAATGTGGGGTGGACCCCTGGAGAAGGCCGAGCTACGTCCATGACTTCGAAACCCTCAAATGTCATGTAGCCCGGAGCAAACAAAAGAGGGGTGTGAATACAGGAATGGTCAGCAAAAATGTAAAACAGACAGAAAAAAAGAAACAGAAAAACAAAAATCCACAGTTCAAGGTCCCAAAAATCTAGATAACAAAAAGGACCAACTCCAGGTCAACCACTTGGGCAAGCGACCCAAAGCAGCTGCCACTTGTGGAGCCTCATCATTACAAAAAAAAATGAACTCATTCAAGAATGAACTTATAGTTATCTTAGCGATAAAAAATAAAGTTAGAAAAAATATTTAGTGGGAAGACAGTAGAGCTAAGGTGAGTCAGTGAGTTAAGGGTGATGATGGAACTTGCAATATCCCCCTAACATGCAAACCAATCCCCGGAATGGAAACCAAATGAGTCAATATCCCCAAAAATCTAAGCTAATTCTCATTGCAGGCTCCAGCCACCAACAATAGGTACCTACCCTGGCAGAGCAAGAGCCTGAAGCCTTCCATGCCCAGAAATCACACACAGGAGCCAATCCTCGACACCTCTTGAACAAACCCGCTCCCTGCTCGTTATCCCAAAGATCTAGCTGGAAATTATCCACAAAATCTATCAACTTCCCTGGGATACCAGGCGTTGTAACTATCTGATCTCTTGAATATAGTTGCCTTACGGTAAAAACAACCCTGCTGGCAGCAAATGCAACAAGCTTCCTGGCGACCCGTAAGTGGCTCAGAAGCTAGGTGTTCACACAAACGTCAAGGTTCTCAAAATTCTTGATTCAGGAATCCCACAGAGCACAGTAGATTCTTCTTCTTTATGGTACGTGCAGTGTGCGTGAAGGTTCCCACCTCCAGATGACTGCACAGAGCAGAGTCGGCAGAATGAGTACTGGGACCAGGAGGCTGGGGTGTTTGTTGATGGTCGCTTCTACTCCGGGAGAGGTAAGTTTATATTTTCTATGAGCAGAGTTGAAGGTTGCCTCTGAAAAAAAGTTTACATTTCTAAGTATATACACCTCTGTTTTGCCTTTAGTCCAATTTAACAGTTAGTTTAGTTCATTTATTATGCACTCCACCCCATACCCATCCTCTGGGCGGTAATGGAAAGGGTTACAGAGGCACGTAATTCAGTCCCTGAGCCCATTCTGTGCCTCTGTAACCCTTTCCACTACCGCCCACAGGATGGGCATGGGGTGAATAATAAATGAACTAAACTAAGTGTTAAATTGGAGTAGAGATAAAATAGAGGTGTACTTACCTGGCTGTCTTGCTCTTGTTTACAAGAGCAAGACAGCAAGGTACCAATGTTTACAGCACCTTGAGAAAGGATGTAGGTTGCATCCGAAATTTTGGTTTCAATACACTTGTGTATTTGGTCTTTCCTTCATCTTCATTAAAGTACTACGGCATTGAAGTAAGTTTTTCAAAATGTATCAGCACAAAATAGAAAACGAAACAATTGATATAAATTAGAAAACGAAACAATTTATATAAATTGGATAAATTTGGATTTAAGGTCACCTTGGCATCACGACACTTCATGGCCATTAAGATACTCACACAAGAAGGACCACTCATCATTCGCACAACATACATTCGTCCAAATACTGGCCTACCAATGCAAGAACTAACAAAACTCTTTAATGACACTAACATACCTCTCATTATGATGGCAGATCTCAATGCATAACATAATACATTCGACCACAACAGCTACATTAACTATACCTTAAAAAATAACTCATTACTTTGACCTGACTTCCTTACATCTTTTTCACGAACTGACTCTAGAAGACCTGATACGAACCCATGACATAGCGCTCGCGGAACGCCAGGCGAGTGTCTTACCACTACACCACGGAGACTGTATTATTATAACAGATTTTCCACTACACAGATACGGCCAAGTATTATGGGACTTAAAACACTACAAAATCACATTATAACTAGCTTAGATAGTGACCACACTAAACAATGGAATCATCTCATAGCTCAAGCGGAAAACACAGGAAAACAACTCCGCGAGAATTTGGAAATTCGTCAAAAAGAGTCAAAAGGCAACACGTACACATAATGCAAACACATCATTCACACCAGTATAAATATAAATGGCCCTGATGATATTCTCATCATGTTTAACACAACTGGCAAAACATTTTTCATCCACCCAGCTCAACCCTCAACACTTCCTAACATCCACACCCAGCTCAACCCTCAGCACTTCCTAACATCCACACCCACCTCAACCCTCAGCACTTCCTAACATCCACACCCACCTCAACCCTCAGCACTTCTTAACATCCACACCCACCTCAACCCTCAGCACTTCCTAACATCCACACCCACCTCAACCCTCAGCACTTCCTAACATCCACACCCACCTCAACCCTCAGCACTTCCTAACATCCACACCCACCTCAACCCTCAGCACTTCCTAACATCCACACCCACCTCAACCCTCAGCACTTCCTAACATCCACACTACCTCAACCCTCAGCACTTCCTAACATCCACAACCACTTCAACCCTCAGCACTTCTTAACATCCACACCCACCTCAACCCTCAGCACTTCCTAACATCCACACCACCTCAACCTTCAGCACTTCCTAACACTCACACCACCTCAACCCTCAGCACTTCTTAACATCCACACCCACCTCAACCCTCAGCACTTCCTAACACCCACACCCACCTCAACCCTCAGCACTTCCTAACATCCACACCACCTCAACCTTCAGCACTTCCTAACACTCACACCACCTCAACCCTCAGCACTTCTTAACATCCACACCCACCTCAACCCTCAGCACTTCCTAACACCCACACCCACCTCAACCCTCAGCACTTCCTAACATCCACACCACCTCAACCTTCAGCACTTCCTAACACCCACACCCACCTCAACCCTCAGCACTTCCAAACATACGAACAGTAGACACTTGGCTACACCAAACCCAACGACACACTTCTAATATCATTCACCTTGACAGCCTAAACTCCCAAACAGAGCTGCAAACTCGCCTTACTGTAGACAAAGCCAAGATTGCTGTCATGGGCACTCTTCGTAGAGCCCTTGGTGCATCTGGCATCAGTCAAACTCTAGTCAAACAATTACCTGACTCTAATGACTGACTTGTACAACTTTTCTCTCGCCTCTGGATATTTCCCTCTTCCTTTTAAACCAGCCACGGCCATCTCATTCATACCAAAACCAGGAATACCTCACACTGATCCCCCAAACTACAAACTAATAAGCCTACTTTAGACACTAAAGTTTTTGAACGATTAGCCAACAACAGATTCTAAGATCACTTAGAAACAATAAACTACTTAAATATAAACAGTTTGGATTCAGGCCTCACCGAGCCACACAAGACGCTCTTAACATTATAGCCAATTACATTCACATAAATGATCACTAGGGACGAAAAGCAGCACTCATCACAAAAGACATAGAACAAGTACTTGACACAGTCGGGCAAGGAGTAAAATTCAAATTCTAATAACTTTCAACTTCCTCCCATTACGAAAAAACTGCTTTGTAGCTACTGAGACAACAGAACAATGCAAATTAAATTCCTTTAGATACTTTGACCATTTTAACCTGAAGGCCGGAGTACCTGAAGGCTCTGTTCTTGTTCCAGTACTTTACATTCTCTACATAAATGACATTCTTGTCATTCTTGACCCAATACGTCGCAACTCACCATATGCTTCCCTGACGATGTCGCTCACCTCATTACTACGAACTCAATAGATAACTTATCACACCGAATTGGCATAGTAACAGTTCACTTTGTAGTAAATAGGTACCCGGGTGTTAGGTAGCTGCAACCCGTCCTCGACTCAAGTCCATTACATTCAGCGGTCAACCCCACAGACGCATTCATAAATTTTAACATGCTGTTCATTCAAAACAGGAATTTTCTCAACTATAAATTAATATTATAATATATTAGCATATTGTGTATATATAGGCATAGGATAGGTTAGGTTAGGTGTTTAGGTTCTGTTGGCGATTATTTGTATTTGGAGTACGTGGGTGAAGCATTTATAGCGTTGCGATTCGAACAAAATTCGTCAGTGAAGCACTTGTTCCGGATATGTTCGAACGTCAGCAGTTGTGAGTCGTGTGTAAACTGCTTTTCATTCATAAACAGGGGGTTTGGCGGGTGCACGGAATCACTTTTGGATCTTTGTTTGGAGGACGGGCTGGGTAATTGTTGTGGGGTTGCATCCTGGGGAACCTTACCTTGCAACCCGTCCTCGACTCAAGTCCATTACATTCAGCGGTCAACCCCACAGACGCATTCATAAATTTTAACATGCTGGTTATTCAAAACGGAAATTTTCTCAAGTATAAATTAATATTATAATATATTAGCATATTGTGTATAAATAGGCATAGGTTAGGTTAGGTATGGTGTTTAGGTTCTGTTGGCGATTATTTGTATTTGTAGTACGTGGGTGAAGCATTTATAGCGTTGTGGTTCGAACAAAATTCGTCAGTGAAGCACTTGTTCCGGATATGTTCGAACGTCAGCAGTTGTGAGTCGTGTGTAAACCGCTTTTCATTCATAAACAGGGGGTTTGGCGGGTGCATGGAATCACTTTTGGATCTTTGTTTGGAGGACGGGCTGTACCTTGCCATGATTTCGGGGCTCAGCGTCCCCGCGGCCCAGTCCTCTACCAGCCTCCTAGAGGGATACAAAGTACACAGCCTGCCTGTCCCCAACAAAATTATGTATTATTATTATTAGTAGTAGTAGTATTAGTATTAGTATTAGTATTATTACGCAGAGAGTAACGTATGTTCAGTAGAACTTCAGGTTGCAATTATTAAACCATGTGGTGGTCTAGTCACTAGGGGGTGTGTGGGGCGACACCCACCACATAGGTTCGAACCCTCATCACAGCTCCTACGAATTTTCTCATTATTATTATTATGTCAATTTAAATAATTAAATATAAAATAGGTAAAAAGACGTCACAGGCTAGAGGTCGGGTGTTCGAGCCTCCTAGTGCCCAATGTGAAGGAAATAAAATATATGTTTGAATAATTTGTATTAAGTTTAAATGAGTAAAGAAAATAATCTTAAGAACTTATAAAGTAAAGTCAACCATGAAAATATGTCAGTGTCAAACAATTAGCATATATTAACGAAATTATGGTAATTATCAGGCGAAAGCACTAAGCCATTATGACTATAACATTTAGAAGGGATACGAATTTAGGATGGGACGGGGTGGGGGAAGGAATGGTGCCCAACCACTTGGACGATCGGGGATTGAACGCCGACCTGCATGAAGTGGGACCGTCGCTCTACCAGCCCAATGGTTGGACAATACAAGTAAAGAATAAATGCTAACACGTCGACAATTGAGAAACGAGAACATTTGAAGCAAGGAGAGCAGGTACCTGGAGGCGAGGAACCAGCTGTGTATTACAATACAGTAAAATGAGCAGTAATTTAGAGAAAATTACATGACTGAACGGCAAGGAATGTGAACAGTAATAAAAAGTGAGAACTAATTACGAGTGAAGGAATTAAAAGCGAAACGAAATTAAAGAAAACATAAATAAAAAGAGCTTGATAAAACAAGAATACGCATTTTCAAGAAGGGGATCCCACCCAGGGACCGCCAGCCAGGGCGGGTGAGGGATTTCCAGACAGAAGTGACAGGAGAGGGGGGGAGGGATGAGGAGGGCGGACACATCACAGCTGGACTGGGTGCGGGTACCTGGAGGAGGAGTGGCTGCAGGACGGGATGGGCAACTGGCTAAAAGGTACCTGCTTATTAGCAGCTGGACAAAGGTGGGGCCATCGGGGATCTTAAGGTTGACAATGACCTTTGGAAGAACGGATCTGGATTAAAAATCTTCCTATTTGTTCAGTAGTTTATAGTCTCGATGAGATCAGCCCTGCACGTGGACATGTCTGGCTTGTAGTGTTGGTAGCCCTGTGGCCCTCAACCGTGCCTGGTATGAGAGTTGGCTTAGTTCTGGAATGACTTTTGCAGCTGTGTTGATTTTTTGTAATGCAATTATGTCCTTTGAAGGTGAGGTGTCAAAGTTAGGATTCATCTCTGGGTTGCTATACAAGATTTGGTTTTCTCACCTTGAGCTCCACTCGGTTGATAAGAACTTATCTTGTTGAAGGAAATCGTCTATCTCAGTCCCCGGCCCCTCTTTGTCTCAGTCCCCGGCCCTCTTTGTTTTAGTCCCCGACCCCTCTTTGTCTCAGTCCCCGACCCCTCTTTGTCTCAGTCCCCGACCCCTCTTTGTCTCAGTCTCCTGTGTTAGGATGGAAAGATGAAAGAAGGATTCCATAAGTTTTGGCTCGAGGCTCGGAATTGTTCGTAATTGAGAGGATATTTAGAGGATATTGATCCGTATAACTTACAACAAAAGGTCAGATGTAACACGAACAAGGAGCAACGGGTTTAAGCTCAACAAGCCACAATATAGAATAGAAACCAGAACAATTTTTTTTCGCTCATAGGAATTGCTGTCCATGAACTGCTTTTTGCTGAAGCCGTAAATGACAAACGCTGCTGAATTTTAAGATCCATCTTGACGAAATCATCAGGACAGGGGGGGCTTTGACAAGCCGCCGGCTTCCTATCCTCGTCGAGGCCATTAGAGATAGAGTGATTAGATGAGAGAGATTAGAGTGACCCTCAGGTAATATTAGGTAAATGTTATTGGACGACGTAAGTATAAGGAGAGTGTAAACTCAGGAGGACTGTAGAGTGCTGCTGGAACGTATTTACAAATTCCGGAAGTGAGCAGACAAATACTGTTTAGGTTCAATGAACGTAAAGTATTGAAAATGGGAATATTGAGAGGAGACCAAACTGAATATTGCAGCTGAATCCACACCAATAAAGGAAAACAACATTGTCTGCTTATGAGAAATTGACAAACATAAGAGCTGCTTTTAATAGTCTAAACAAAGATTATTTCCATAAAATACACACAACCTACTTTAGATTTGTACTAGAATATGTGGTACCAAAATAGAATACCCACCGCGTGTAGATTAGTAGGCTACTTTAACAAATTTAAGTCTGAAGTAGTTCAATTAAGAAAACTTGGCAATGAGAATAAGTTCAAGAAACTGAATCTAGCAACTCCAAGAGAAGGATCAGAGGGATATGGTCACCACGTACAAGATGCTGAGAGGAATAGGCACAGTGGAATAGAACAGCCTCTTAACTACAAGGAAAATGCGTTAAGAAGACTTCGACGAAAGCCGGCAACGCAAATGAGTAGAAGAAATGTGAGCAGTTGTGGTACTCTGCGAGCGGTCAACAATGAAAATACACTGAAAGAAGTCATGAAGGCCGCCTGGATCCATGACTTAAAAAAATACAGAACTGGAACGTCAATAAATATAACCACGCATCAGGTATATGTAGCATGGAGACGGGGCATGAAGAGCTAAACCTTCATGCCTTCATGCCGAGCTAAACCTTCTAGACTTTAAGTTAAGCACAGATAGGTTCAAGTTGTGCACAGAGCAGTGTAGCAATGTACACCTACTGAACACAGTACAAACTACCATTCTCTACACTTGCTGAGTACAGTACAGTACACAGTATAAGTGCCAAGAGTACAGCACTATAGTATAGTATAATGTAGTATAGTGCCAAGAGTGAGTATGGCACTCACTCTTGGCACTTATTAAAAACAGAACAATATCATTCTTTCTGCAATTGTTGAATATCAGAATATCGCTCCGGAAACTTGTTGAGTACAGAATAATATAGCATTCTCGGCACTTGCCTTTTGGTAGGCCTAAGGGCTGGTGCTGGCTTTGTGTTCCTTCTACAATTTCGCATTTAACTGTGGCCTTGTGATCTCGACAGGCAACTCATCGGCCAGCAGGTAGACGATAATACTGAAGCCTGAGGACAGAGTAGTGCCAAGCCTAGTTGGGACCTGTGTGTATGTTGTCTTCTTTATCACTCTTGTGTTTATTATATTCCTTTCGCAACAGATTAAATGCACGAAAGAGTTCAGAATTATAACACAATCTTTGTTCCTAGGTAATAGGTATTATTTCCTATGGCTTATGCCTAAAAATTGTAGAAAATGGCTATTATTTACCTCAAACTTTGCTTTTGTGATCAGAACTAATCGACATTTTGAAATTTATCTATTTCCAATAAGAAAACGGTCGAATTTGTCTTTTCGTTCACACAAATTCAGAAAAACAACCTATAAATAAATATTAACATGTATTTATTCTAAAGTTATACAAAAATTACCACAAAAGATTTAGAAGTGAGTAGTTTTTCGAGACTTATGATTATACTATAAATCATCAATCAGCGCCCAAATAAAGTGTTACATCATGTTCTCGTTATACTGTCCTTGGTAGTGGCGTTCAAAGGCCAGTATATCCTGGTGGGAGTGCTTGTCTTGCTCCTCCGAGTACGCTCCCATGGTCTCCCTGAGTTTGTCAAGATGAACATCATGAGAATGAACTTTGAGGAACATCCTGCAGACTAATGTGCCGTAGTTGTTCAAGTCAACCAGTTCCACATCATTTTCGGCCTTGTGATTACCCACGAAGCCCCCTAACTACTGCAACAAAATTCCTACAATCCGTTTTCTCCTTAGTGAGCTTTTTGGGGGAATTCCTTGCACTTCAGGATCTTCTTTATCTGAAATCCAACGAAGACACCAGCTTTGATCTTTGCTTCAGGCAGCTTAAGTAAGATGTCTTAACGGTCCCTTGATGATTTATCTAGTCTCCCTATTTAGAGGTGTGACAAATTGTTTCATTAGGACCAATTTGATGTGCAGTGGTGGCATCAGCACCTTCTAAGGGTCTACCAGTGGCTGCCACTTAACGTTATTCCTCCCCACACTAAGAACTCGGTTCATTGAGGCCAGTCTCGCCTGCGGTAGTGCGCCTTGGTTGTTGTTGTTGTTGTTTCAGATTTAGCTACTCAGAACGTTAAGTGTCTTACTAATCTCTCTCATCTCATTTTTTCTTGCAATGTATCTGTTATCATTTTATTAATCCTGCTAGAATTTACCTACTTAAAATTATCTGTTAGATTAAGGACCTGCCCGAAACGCTGCGCGTACTAGTGGCTTTACAAGATTGTAAATGCTATGCTATGTATTCTCACAAACCCAATGTACCTTCTTGTAAATAAATAAATAAATAAATAAATAAATAAATAAATAAATAAATAAATAAATAAATAAATAAGTGTCCATGTAGCACGGGCTATGGAGAGCCCTTGGTGTCACTGCGGTCCCAAAGGCAAAGATAACAGGGAAACTTGGTAAATCCACCTTCAAGACTCATTAATAATGCCCCCATTTTGAAGTGTCCGATGTCCTCCCGGCCGTACTCATCATACTTGAAGGCGTCCAGCAAGGTCTTGATGCCGTTGTAATTCCTCTATGAGATACACCGAGCGACCCAGGGTAAGAGACGGGTACATGTTCCCATTATGGAGCAGCACGTGTTGGATTCCGGATGCATAGTCAATGAAGAAGCACCACTCGTTCGGGTTACAGGCGAAACTGGTTGCCTCGAATAGACTGGTCACAGTGTGCCAGAAAAAGTCCTCCGTGGTGCAGTGGTAAAACACTTGCCTGGCGATTCGCGAGCGCTTTGACCTGGGTTCGTATCCTGGACTGGGAGGATTGACCGGGCGCTAGTCCTTAAACGTAGCCAATGTTCACTCAGCAATGAATGGGTACCTGGTTGTTAAGCGATTTGGCGGGTCGTATTCCGGGGAAAAATAGGAAAAAAGATTAAGGACCTGCCAGAAAATCTATGCGTGCTAGTGGCTGTGCAAGAATGTAGGAACTCTTGAATAAATAAATAAATAAATAAATAAATAAATAAGTAAAGGTAGAATCCATCCTTGTCACAAAACAAGTTAACGGGATAACAAAACAGGGAAATTTTCTTTCTTTATTATGCACCCCATACCCATTCCGTGGGCGGAGGTGGAAAGGGTTACAGAGACAAATAATCGGTTCAGGAGCCGATTAAATGAAGCCCATAGTTCGTTTAGGTAGGGAATCACAGCAGTGTTCCACGCCTGAGGGTAGGCAGCACTAAGAGTATAATACCCAGGAAAAAATAGTTACAGTGTAATTTATCTTGCCATCAAGGTAGCACATAGGGATTGGAATATCATAGAACATTTGTGCCAAATGTCCAATAACATCTGTGCCCAGGTCCGTGGCAGAACAGTTCTCTCCAAGCCCGCCATAGAACTTTCACCTAATGCCTCTGTTCACCTAGCAGTGAGTAGGTACTCAGGAGTCAGTCAGCTTGTTGTGGGGTTGCTTCCTGGGCAGGGTCATGTAATTCGGCCTTGGAGGGGGGAGGGGACCTCAATAAAAGCCAAAACGTGTATGAATACACTCCGGCTTCTTGTCCCCCAACACAGTGAATTATTTGTAGTCTACTCACGACTCGTTTGTCTTCTCATGACTCGTCTGTCTACCCGCGAGTCATCTGTCTACTAATGACTCATCTGTCTACCCAAGACTTGACTACTCATGACTCGTCTGCCTAGCCATAACATCTGCCAACACGTGACTCGTGTGGTGACTCGCCAGTCTACCACATCAAGATTCTAATTTAAACTTTTAATTTATACTTTGGTCGAGATTTTGATTACGAGACAATTGTCATGAATGTATTAAAATACAAAAACATGTTAAATTGGCCAGTCACTCTCAAGGCCGCAAGGGAGTCCCTGAAACTGTCCTTAGGGGCGTAAATATCCCAAGAAGGCAAAAAACGAACTTAATTTTTTTTGTTTTTATGTAGTGAGTAACCAAGGAGAACTGGTTGGAGGTGTAGAGGAAGTTGATGCGTGGTGGAAGCTCACAGTTGACCAGGAGATTGCCAGAGTGTAACCTCAACCTCAAGTGAGTCCCTCACACCTCAGGTGAGTCCCTCACACCTCAGGTGAGTCCCTCACACCTCAGGTGAGTCCCTCACACTTCAGGTGAGTCCCTCACACTTCAGGTGAGTCCTTCACACCTCAAATGAGTCCCCTCACACATATCCTATTTGTGGATGATCATGAAATCTAGCCATCTTTAACTTCTTAAGAAATAACCCTGGGAGAGAGCACTAAATCATTACGACTGTGTAGCACTTGGAAGCGACGGTCTCGCTTCTTGCAGATCGGCGTTCAATCCTCGACCTTCGAAGCGGTTGGGGTACCATTCCTTTCCTTCGTCCTAACCTATGTCCTATATAGTCGTAATATATAGTCGTAATAGTATAGAGCTTTCTCCTAATAATTACATTACCTGATCATAGGACGTGCGTGTCCGTGGCTAGACACGTGCGTGCCCGTGACCAGACACGTGCGTGCCCGTGACCAGACACGTGCGTGCCCGTGACCAGACACGTGCGTGCCCGTGACCAGACACGTGCGTGCCCGTGACCAGACACGTGCGTGCCCGTGACCAGACACGTGCGTGCCCGTGACCAGACACGTGCGTGCCCGTGACCAGACACGTGCGTGCCCGTGACCAGACACGTGCGTGCCCGTGACCAGACACGTGTGACAAGATGATATAGGAAGGAAGAGAAGGGAATTATCAGGGGAAAGCGCCAAGCCATTACAACTATATAGCCCTGTGAAGGGGTCAGATCAGGATTTGTGAGTGAGACGGAGGGGGGGGGGGTAGGAACGGTGCCCAACCACTTGGACGGTCGGGGATTGAACGCCGACCTGCAAGAAGGGAGACCGTCGCTCTACCGTCCAGCCCAAGTGCATACATGGCTCAGTGTTTCCCCAGTTTGTCTCACGGGAGACATCTCCCGTCACGCAGGGTGCAGTCGCACCTCCACAGATCACCAGTATCAACTCTTGATACTGGTAAAGGCTCAAAAGGACCACCACTTACGGGGCTATTCATGCCCGTGCCACCTTTTGGGTAGCTTAATCTTCATCAATCAGCTTGTCTCTCAGTTCTGTACGTAACTTCCACGAGGAACAGTATCAAATGATTTGTGATCATTTAGAACCTTAATCTTGCGGGAAGGAAAATCACGACTTGTTAAAAATGTAACCATTGCGTCTGATAAACATTTAAAACATAAAATGTCAAATACACTTGCATTTGTTAATAGTTTGACAGCTTTCAACAAGTACACTGTTGCTTATACTGGATACCACTTGAACTGGTCGGTGTTGTCACGGTCTCGCTTTTTTGCAGATCGGCGTTCGATCCTCGATGGTTCATGTGGTTCGGGTACCGTTCCTTCCCTCCATCTTATGCCACATTCGCTGGTGGCGTCGCTTGATCTGATGTTTATAAAAGTATTGAACAAGTTTTTGTTGTTAACATAAATACTGAGGAACTGAGTGGTGGTGTTTGTGGTCGACTTCTGTCTCGTTTAACTTGCTTGCGGTTCAACTTGTTTACTTACGGTTTAACTTGTTTACGGTTTAGTTGACTGATGAGTGAGGGGGGGGATGAAAAGCGGGATATATAGTGGGAACTGTTTTAATAAAGTGAGGTAATTGTGAGGTGATGAGACTGTGAGTGAGGTGAATACCATGTTCCTGTGTGTTGTTCCTGGTTCCTGTGTGATGTTCCTGGTTCCTGTGTGTTGTTCCTGGTTCCTGTGTGTTGTTCCTGGTTCCTGTGTGTTGCTCCTGGTTCCTGTGTGTTGTTCCTGGTTCCTGTGTGTTGCTCCTGGTTCCTGTGTGTTGTTCCTGGTTCCTGTGTGTTGCTCCTGGTTCCTGTGTGTTGCTCCTGGTTCTTGAGAGAGGCAGCAGGCAAGAGGGAGTAGGCGTGCGTGCAGTAGCACCTCCTGGCCTCCAGGTCACCTTCAGCGGGCAACAGGTCAAGGGGACTCGATAATTGGACTATCATGCAATTACGTCACGCTGCCACCAACACCACTTCTTGCTTCACATAAGAAAGGCTGAAGACAACGATGATTTTTTTAGCAAGGTCAGGTTTACGCAAAAGTTGCAAACGTGCGTAGAGACACGGATACATACATGGATACATACATACATATACATACATACATACATATACATATAGGTCCTTGGACCTATACTGTTTCTGGTATATGTAAATGATCTCCCAGAGGGTATAGATTCGTTCCTCTCAATGTTTGCCGACGATGCAAAAATTATGAGGAGGATTGAAACAGAGGATGATAGTAGGAGGCTACAAGATGACCTGGATAGACTGAGTGAATGGTCCAACAAATGGCTGTTGAAGTTCAACCCGAGTAAATGCAAAGTAATGAAACTAGGCAGTGGAAACAGGAGGCCAGGCACAGGATACAGAATAGGAGATGAAGTACTTAATGAAACAGACAGAGAGAAAGATCTAGGAGTTGATATCACACCAAACCTGTCTCCTGAAGCCCACATAAAGAGAATAACGTCTGCGGCATATGCGAGGCTGGCTAACATCAGAACGGCGTTCAGGAACCTGTGTAAGGAATCATTCAGAATCTTGTACACCACATATGTAAGACCAATCCTGGAGTATGCGGCCCCAGCATGGAGCCCGTACCTTGTCAAGCACAAGACGAAGCTGGAAAAAGTCCAAAGGTATGCTACTAGACTAGTCCCAGAACTAAGAGGCATGAGTTATGAGGAAAGGCTACGGGAAATGCACCTCACGACACTGGAAGACAGAAGAGTAAGGGGGGACATGATCACAACCTACAAAATCCTCAGGGGAATCGACCGGGTAAACAAGGATGAACTTTTCAACACTGGTGGGACGCGAACAAGGGGACACAGGTGGAAGCTGAGTACCCAAATGAGCCACAGAGACGTTAGAAAGAACTTTTTCAGTGTCAGAGTAGTTAGCAAATGGAATGCATTAGGAAGTGATGTGGTGGAGGCTGACTCCATTCACAGTTTTAAATGTAGATATGATAGAGCCCAATAGGCTCAGGAATCTGTACACCAGTTGATTGACGGTTGAGAGGCGGGACCAAAGAGCCAGAGCTCAACCCCCGCAAGCACAATTAGGTGAGTACAATTAGGTGAGTACATACATACATACATACATACATACATACATACATACATACATACATACATACATACATACATACATACATACATACATACATACATACATGCATGCATACATACATACATACATACATACATACATACATACATACATACATACATACATACATACATACACATATTTGTGACAAGTGTACAAATCATGACTTTGAGAAACGCCAAATAGGTCAGTACTTTGAAAATATAATGATTGGACATTACTTTGAGAAGCGCACAGTAGGTCAGTACTTTGAGAAGCACACAATAGGTCAGTACTTTGAGAAGCTCACAGTAGGTCAGTACTTTGAGAAGCTCACAGTAGGTCAGTACTTTGAGAAGCTCACAGTAGGTCAGTACTTTGAGAAGCTCACAGTAGGTCAGTACTTTGAGAAGCTCACAATAGGTCAGTACTTTGAGAAGCTCACAGTAGGTCAGTACTTTGAGAAGCCCACAATAGGTCAGTACTTTGAGAAGCCCACAATAGGTCAGTACTTTAAGAAGCCCACAATAGGTCAGTACTTTGAGAAGTACACAATAGGTCAGTACTTAGGGAAGCCCACAATAGGTCAGTACTATGAGAAGCTCACAATAGGTCAGTACTTTGGGAAGCCCACAATAGGTCAGTACTTTGAGAAGCCCACAATAGGTCAGTACTTTGAGAAGCTCACAATAGGTCAGTAATTTGAGAAGCCCACAATAGGTCAGTACTATGAGACGCTCACCATAGGTCAGTACTTTGAGACGCTCACAATAGGTCAGTACTTTGAGACGCTCACAATAGGTCAGTACTTTGAGAAGCCCCACAATAGGTCAGTACTTTGAGAAGCCCCACAATAGGTCAGTACTTTGAGAAGCTCACAGTAGGTCAGTACTTTGAGAAGCTCACAATAGGTCAGTACTTTGAGAAGCCCACAATAGGTCAGTAATTTGAGAAGCCCCACAATAGGTCAGTACTTTGAGAAGCCCACAATAGGTCAGTACTTTGAGAAGCCCACAATAGGTCAGTAATTTGAGAAGCCCCACAATAGGTCAGTACTTTGAGAAGCCCACAATAGGTCAGTACTTTGAGAAGTACACAATAGGTCAGTACTTTGAGAAGTACACAATAGGTCAGTACTTTGAGAAGTACACAATAGGTCAGTACTTTGAGAAGTACACAATAGGTCAGTACTTAGGGAAGCCCACAATAGGTCAGTACTATGAGACGCTCACAATAGGTCAGTACTTTGAGACGCTCACAATAGGTCAGTACTTTGAGACGCTCACAATAGGTCAGTACTTTGAGAAGCTCACAATAGGTCAGTAATTTGAGAAGCCCCACAATAGGTCAGTACTTTGAGAAGCCCACAATAGGTCAGTACTATGAGACGCTCACAATAGGTCAGTACTTTGAGACGCTCACAATAGGTCAGTACTTTGAGAAGCCCCACAATAGGTCAGTACTTTGAGAAGCCCCACAATAGGTCAGTACTTTGAGAAGCTCACAGTAGGTCAGTACTTTGAGAAGCTCACAGTAGGTCAGTACTTTGAGAAGCTCACAATAGGTCAGTACTTTGGGAAGCTCACAATAGATCAGTACTTTGAGAAGCTCACAATAGGTCAGTACTTTGAGAAGCTCACAATAGATCAGTACTTTGAGAAGCTCACAATAGGTCAGTACTTTGAGAAGCTCACAATAGGTCAGTACTTTGGGAAGCTCACAATAGATCAGTACTTTGAGAAGCTCACAATAGGTCAGTACTTTGAGAAGCTCACAATAGGTCAGTACTTTGGGAAGCTCACAATAGGTCAGTACTATGAGACGCTCACAATAGGTCAGTACTTTGGGAAGCTCACAATAGGTCAGTACTTTGAGAAGCCTACAATAGGTCAGTACTTTGAGAAGCTCACAGTAGGTCAGTACTTTGAGAAGCTCACAATAGGTCAGTACTTTGAGAAGCTCACAATAGGTCAGTACTTTGAGAAGCTCACAATAGGTCAGTACTTTGAGAAACTCACAATAGGTCAGTACTTTGAGAAACTCACAATAGGTCAGTACTTTGAGAAGCTCACAATAGGTCAGTACTTTGAGAAGCTCACAATAGGTCAGTACTTTGAGAAGCTCACAATAGGTCAGTACTTTGAGAAGCGCACAGTAGGTCAGTACTTTGAGAAGCTCACAATAGGTCAGTACTTTGAGAAGCTCACAATATGTCAGTACTTTGAGAAGCTCACAATAGGTCAGTACTTTGAGAAACTTACAATAGGTCAGTACTTTGAGAAGCTCACAATAGGTCAGTACTTTGAGAAGCTCACAATAGGTCAGTACTTTGAGAAGCTCACAATAGGTCAGTACTTTGAGAAGCTCACAATAGGTCAGTACTTTGAGAAACTCACAATAGGTCAGTACTTTGAGAAGCTCACAATAGGTCAGTACTTTGAGAAGTACACAGTAGGTCAGTACTTTGAGAAGCCCACAATAGGTCAGTACTTTGAGAAGCCCACAATAGGTCAGTACTTTGAGAAGCCCACAATAGGTCAGTACTCTGAGAAGCCCACAATAGGTCAGTACTTTGAGAAGCCCACAATAGGTCAGTACTTTGAGAAGCTCACAGTAGGTCAGTACTTTGAGAAGCTCACAATAGGTCAGTACTTTGAGAAGCTCACAATAGGTCAGTACTTTGAGAAGCTCACAATAGGTCAGTACTTTGAGAAGCTCACAATAGGTCAGTACTTTGAGAAGTACACAGTAGGTCAGTACTTTGAGAAGTACACAACATAACTTTGCCTTTCGTCAGAAAAAAAGACCCCAAAATGCATATGGCGATCAACCTAAAAAAAAACAATAAATGATCTAGGTAACATGTATTTTTGGTCCTAAAATTAAATTTTAATTGAACTTTACTGAATAACTCTTGTATGGGGTTTAATGGAGGACTTTTGTTGTAAAGTGAGAAGCGATACTCAGGAGGTGGTGAACATTACACCAGTCTTGGTTGGCTCACAGTTGATTTGTTGCGTCTTTTTGTGCACTTAGTTATTTTTTGCGTAATATTGTTCATCTGTTGTTCTTTTGTTGTCTTGTTCGCTTGTTGTCGTGTTCAATTGTTCTTGCGTTGTCTTGTTCACTTGTTCTTGTGTTGATTTGTTCACTTGTTCTTGCGTTGTTTTCTCCATCGTTTGCTCCCCTGCCTCCCTTTGGTTTTACCCATCTTCTCGTCTTTCTCTATCTATCCACGTGTACCTATCTATACATGTGTACTTATCTATCCTTGTTTCCCTATCTATCCATATTCGCCCATCTTTAGATCCACTTGTCTTGGAGGCAATATTGATCCCGGTGGACTTAAACATACCTCCTGAGAGAGAGAAGGTCGTAATCACGTTATCGGACAGTTGTTCAGCACTATCGGTATCTATTGCAGGTGGCTGCAGGTAATAACCCCCCCCCCCCCCCCCGCCCCAGTGGTGAACATTCCAATTGTAAACTATGTGAACAAGAGCTGGGACATACTCTCCAACACTATATCTGTGACTGCTCTGTTATAAGTGACTTCAGATCAAATGGTATGAGGTACTTTGAGCTCAGTAATTACTTCATACACTCAGGAATATTGGAAGATATTATTTTGCTGTACCCAGAGTTTGCTAGTGGAGGCTAATAGATCAGCCTTACATTTCATATTCTCTCCTGATTCCATGTATGACTGACCATCCTGTGAGATATGAACTTATAGCTAGTGTTTTTATCTACACTGTCTAATCTTTCATATAGGAAAGGGTAGCAGCACATTGCTGTGTATACTTAAGCATGTTAATAAAAAAAAAGTCAACACTGACTCATACGCAATACACCTATTATAAAGTTCAGTTACATGCTCCCTGCGGGCAACGTATGTGCCAGCTATACGCTAGGCTTCATGATGTAGCCGTGGATGTGCGGGTGTAAAGCGTTGATTATTATTATTGTCTTTTTTTATACAATTTTCAATTCTGCTTATTCACTGTGCACTCTGTTTAGTCATGGCTTAATTTTACACCTGCATCACTAACTTGTTTTTATGGACAAGGCCCCACCCCGTCCATCTACCCCCCCCCCCCCAACCCACCCCAACGATTTTTTTTTGCAGCCCAGCTTGCAGCCTCCTAAAATAAAAGTGCTTATAGTAACTAAGTGGTCGAAAGTAGAAATATTCCGTGATCGGCCACCACAAAGTTCACCTTTGTAGTACTGAATTTGGACAAATCGGAAATTTTTGTATAATTTATGTTGCTAATAAAACCTAACCTAACCATCCAAGGCCTAATGCTCGCTATCTGAGGCCTATCATAGTACATATATGTGATATATGATGAGTAGGAATACTGTATTTATGTTTGATTTTAAGCTTTATTTTTTCCGGTCTCTGAAAAATAGTACAAAAGGTGGCTTACTGGGGCTCCATTCCTACATATTGGTACTTTCAACCACATAGTTACAAACAGTACCACCATTTCAGGAAGATGTGTTGCACATCTTCCTGAAGGATTTTTTACATGGGTTGACCAGTACAAGAGATGCGGTGTTGGTCATAACCTTCAACACGATGCGTTTTTATCAACTGACTGAAGCTCAAGGTGTAAAAACTGAATCTTGTAAAACAACCCAGAGGTGAGGCTATAGCACCAGGCTTAGCTGGGGATTACTGGCCCCAGAAGCTGTTCTCCCAGCACCAAGCCTAGTTGGTGAGGTTGGCTATTTTTGTTGTTAATAGGTTTATGAAGATAATACTGCATTCATAGCTTATAGGTCTATATGAAGAATTGCAGAGTGTAGGTCAAAAGCTACCCTTGGTCGCCTCATATCCCCCATCTTGCATCATGGTTGGAGAAACGTTATGTGTTAGTGGCTTTGCAAGAATGTTTTATTGAATAACCAAAATCTGTACGCTCACAACCCATATGTCACATTTTTACATACGTTTAAATGAATAATAAGCACATAGGATGTTAGTTTAATCTACTAGCTTGCACTGGCACTCTTTAAAATATATTATGAGAATATTTTCTAATATCCGTGGGTGAATAATTTAATTTTGCCCGGAAGGGCTAGTTTATTGGGCAGCGCCAATCATAATAGTTACAAAGGTATCTGATGTCATTTGGCTTAACGTTATTGATAACTGAGCACTTACTAATTTTGTGTTGAAGTGTATCAGCCGTTGCATATTGCAGTACAGTTAGATTTTGTCAAATAAGAGTAGAAACATAGTATTGCCATACTTACGAAAGTATGTAAACTCGTCTAAAATTCATCACGTTGCACTATTTCTTGTTTTGTTTTAATGGATTGAGGCCGGGGAACTCCGAACACGTCACAAACGTGTTCCCCTTGAGGCCCTCTGAGACTGGTGTGGGGGTTCCCAAGGATGGTCTCAGCCCCACCCTCCAAGGATGGTCTCAGCCCCACCATCCAAGGATGGTCTCAGACCCACCATCCAAGGATGGTCTCAGCCCCACCATCCAAGGATGGTCTCAGACCCACCATCCAAGGATGGTCTCAGCCCCACCATCCAAGGATGGTCTCAGCCCCACCATCCAAGGATGGTCTCAGCCCCATCATCCAAGGATGGTCTCAGACCCACCATCCAAGGATGGTCTCAGCCCCATCATCCAAGGATGGTCTCAGACCCACCATCCAAGGATGGTCTCAGCCCCACCATCCAAGGATGGCCTCAGACCCACCATCCAAGGACGGTCTCAGCCCCACCATCCAAGGATGGTCTCAGCCCCACCATCCAAGGATGGTCTCAGACCCACCATCCAAGGATGGTCTCAGCCCCACCATCCAAGGACGGTCTCAGACCCACCATCCAAGGATGGTCTCAGCCCCACCATCCAAGGATGGTCTCAGACCCACCATCCAAGGATGGTCTCAGCCCCACCATCCAAGGATGGTCTCAGACCCACCATCCAAGGATGGTATCAGCCTCACCATCCAAGGATGGTCTCAAACCCACTCTTCAGAGATGATCTCAGTCCCACTCACGCATTTATTTATTTATTTATTTATTTATTTATTTATTTATTTATTTAAAACACAATTAACAATGGTTCATATAACAATTTTGGTAATGATTTACGTTCTTCAAACGCCAGGAACACGCGTAAGGTTTCGGCCGTCTTAAGACTAACAAGTTATTTTATGTACATCTTGAGATTTTGTAGTGATTTGTAAGCTAACAAAAGTACAGATTAACTTAAAGTAATTAAAATTAGTTATTGATATATGACACGAGTTGAGACTGAAACGTCGTCATTTCATCTGTTTCCATATTTCTGGGATGGATATTAACGACGTTCTCTAATGCACGCCGCATTGTGACGTATACTTGACTTAAGGCCAAAAACTGATGTACAAGAAAATGGCAGCGGCTTCCGAAATTTACATAATGTCCCGTTTTCTGTTTATATGTCCTCTGGTTAGGTTAGGTTAGGGCACCTTAGTACGATAGTTTCTTGACGATGGGAACGCTCGCAAGAACGGACTGAATTTTCAGCCGCGTTATTGTGACTTGCTGTCTGCATGCATGTGTATATTTAGAATTTGCAGTAAGTAAATTGCTTAATTTAAAATACAATTATAATTGCTGATATGAAAGTCTGCGTTAAATATGGTTGTTGTTTCCTCAGAGTTTGAGTGACAATGTTGGCGGGGAACACCCTGGTGTCGGCGGGCCGGGGGCTGATGATGGCGGGGTTGGTGCCCCTGGTGCGCTTCCTGCTGCTCACAGTCGTCAGGGACGCTGACCACCGGGACTACGAGCTCTCCGGCCCCCTCGCTCCCCAGTACGACTTTATCGTTGGTAAGTTACTCTACACTACTAAGTTCCTCAAGAATTCTTAACATTGGTTCTGACCCTCATTTTCTTTCAGCTTTTGTCAATTTTGAAATTCACCAAATATTGTACATTTACTGTAATTATAAGTCCATATAGTGTACTGTAGCGTCTCTAAAGTATTTGGGAAGGTAACACACGATAAACTGTGGTCTAGAAACCACAAGCCCTTGGAGCCAATTGTAAAATAATCGAATGAACAAAACAGTTGGTTAAAAGGCAGATCGCAATTAAGGCTCGTCCTAAATGGAAAGGAATCTTTACTGGATAAATATTGCGAGAAAGTACCTCCTCAAAGTCCCATTTTAGAGCCAACCATTTTTGTAACATGTATCGACGACATTTTAAATTTGTCATTTTGGGGCCAGGTAAGTAACACAAATGAGAACTTGCTTGAATGTTATCAACCTTTAATCTAAAAAATTACTTACTTGCTTGAATGTTCACATGTGAGGTGATTCGATGAAATATTTGTGCCCAAAAAGGTTTCACCGAGTGCTGTTGGGAATTGGGTTAAGGGTCTGACGACTTCCAATTCTTTTTAAACAGGCGTTATGACATAGTGGTGAAAGTATTAGACACGCTAAGATGCATGGAGCCCCTGGCTGTCTGGGGTCAAATCCTTCAGGGGAGAGGAGTTTTCTCTTGTATATTTGCTTGGGGATCATTCAAGCTTGTTCGCATATATATAATATATATATATATATATATATATATATATATATATATATATATATATATATATATATATATATATATATATATATATATATATATATATATATATATATATATATATATATATATATATATATATATATGTGTGTGTGTGTGTGTGTGTGTCAACCGTCTCTCAACTGGTGTACAGACGCCTCTCAACCGTCAATCAACTGGTGTACAGATTCCTGAGCCTATTGGGCTCTATCATATCTACATTTGAAACTGTGTATGGAGTCAGCCTCCACCACATCACTTCCTAATGCATTCCATTTACTAACTACTCTGACACTGAAAAAGTTCTTTCTAACGTCTCTGTGGCTCATTTGGGTACTCAGCTTCCACCTGTGTGTGTGTGTGTGTGTGTGTGTGTGTGTGTGTGTGTGTGTGTGTGTGTGTGTGTGTGTGTGTGTGTGTGTGTGTGTGTGTGTGTATTGAATCACAAGATGTTCAACAGGGTGACCCCCTTGATCCTTTTCTTTTCTGCCTATTCATCAAGGAAATCACTAATAACCTGTTCAGTGAGCTCAATATTTGTTTTTTGGACGATGGTACCAGACTCCCCAGCCTCCCTCCTGGATGACATACGAATAATTCAAGAGCAAGGAGCAAGTCTAGACCTCACCCTGTAATCTTCCAAGTGCGAAATAACCTCCACCAACCAGTACATAATAGAGCGAATAAAAGTTATTTTGCCTGATATACATATAACCAACCCTGAGGACAGCACACTCCTAGGAGCTCCTCTTGGAGGAAACGCCATCGACGAGATCCTTGGTAAGAAGATCACTGACCTGAAAAGGATTGAAGACATCGATGCTGATGATGCTGGTGCACTTTGCCTCATCACCAGATGCTTGTCCTTCCCCAAGCTGACCTACTTTCTTAGATGTTCGCCATCTTTCAATAACATTATATTAGAAGAGTACGACAGCCTGCTGAAATCAATGCTAGAAAATGCCCTCAACCTTTCTCTCAGTGACTCACAGTGGAAACAAGCCTCCCTTCCTGTCAGACTCGGGGGCCTCGGCGTTTGCACAGCAACACAAATTGCTGTACTAGCGTTCCTGTCCTCTTCAGTGGCGTCTGACAACCTGGTGAACGAAATCCTACCTGAGTACCTAGTTCAACAGGCAGGGGTACATGATCCCAGCTTTACGGTCTGCAGCACCAAATGGGTCTCTCTTGCAGAACCAGCACCCCAACCACCACCTTCTGAAGCTCACAGGCAATCCAGCTGGGATCAGCCCGTTGTCGATCAAGCAGCTGCGACATGCCTAGAAGCTGCGACCACACTACAAGACACTGCCCGTCTTAAGAGCTGTAGCAGCTCCCCATGCAGGTGACTTCCTATTAGCAACCCCAATGTCAGCAACCGGCACTCGTCTCACACCGCAGGCCCTCAGATTTGCTATGGCTCTTCGCCTCGCTGCCCCAATCCACTCCGAATACAGGTGTATTTGCGGCGAGGCAGTGGCCGACAGGTACGGACGGCATGGCCTTCTCTGCCAAAGGACAGGAGGATGGCATGCAAGACACGGCGAAGTTAATGACATTATTAAGAGAAGCCTTACCACAGCCGGTTGTTCAGCAGAGAGAGAACCCCCGTTACCTAATGCCCCACAATTCTGATGAGCCTGTCGGTCGCCCAGACGGGATCACGGTGAACCCCTGGAAGAATGGTAGACAGTTGGTGTGGGACTGCACTTGCGTTTCAACTTTACCCAACAGTGCTGCCAATCACCGGGAAGTAGCCAAGTCACGTAAATACGGAGATCTTGATCACCACTACAATTTTGTCCCCCCATTGCCTCAGAGATACTTGGTGCCTAGGGTAAAAGCAATGCTAGTTTTTTAAGGAGCTGGGTTCGAAGCTAATTCAAACAACTAGGGACCCCTAGAGCCGCCAGTTTCCTCTTTCAGCTCCTTAGTGTGGCGATCCAGAGAGGAAATGCTAACCGCATCCATGGTTCCTGCCCACATCTGAGGAGCTAGAGGAACTCTACAGCCTGTGACAAGTAGCCTTGAACCCTTTTTGTAGTGTTGTAACCCTTTTTGTATAATGAAATTTTTAAAATAAAGTGACTATATATGTTATATATATATATATATATATATATATATATATATATATATATATATATATATATATATATATATATATATATATATATAAAACATATATAGTCAGATATGTTAGTATATCATGGTAGCAATCTTTCTTGTAAACATATGTTGTTGAAGATGACCGAAAAGGTAAGATTAATAATTCTAATACGAATTTTCTCAATATGTCTTATGTTTGTCTTCACTGTTGAGGGTAATTGAAATATCAATTCTCCAAAATTCATTTTTATTCTTGGTCTAACGTCTGAACACGTTTCGTAATTCTTATTACATTTTCAAAGACTTAGTTTACACATAAAAAATTCATCATACTTATTATACTCGCTTTGGGTGAGGTGATATGGCAGAAAAGTTTTGGGTGAGGTGACAAACACAAGACAGAACACGAAACAATGGGTATGAAATCACTTTTTCTATCTACTGATAATGAATTGCAATTGGCAGTTGGTGCAGGAGCAGCTGGATGTGCTGTGGCAGCCAGGCTGTCGGAGGAGGCGGGGTGGCAGGTGCTGGTGGTGGAGGCCGGCGAGCCACCAGCACCAGAGAGCTACATCCCAGCTCTCTGGCAGTTCGCCTACCTCTACGCCTACCCCCCAACATGGGCATATAGGTCCACTCCACAAAAATACGGCCTCCTCAACGTTGCTAACCGGGTAAGTCACTCAAAATTAATAGGGATATATATATATATATATATATATATATATATATATATATATATATATATATATATATATATATATATATATATATATATATATATATATATATATATATATATATATATATATATAACAAACTGAAAACTCACACCCCAGAAGTGACTCGAACCCATACTTCTGGGTGTGAGTTTTCAGTTGCATATAGTCCTGGGGATCATTCAGGCTTGTTCGCATATATGTGTGTGTGTGTGTGATATTTTATCATTGATATATCACAGTGGTGTGACATATCAATGAGAAAATCATTTGGGGGCAATGGGGTGACTCGAACCGACGTTTTGGTGATTCCTAGATACCAGCCTTAACGCACTGCAATAGGACAAAAGCTAATCAACCCAAAACGCTACTGAATTCCCTTCACCACCAACACAGACAATGTCATTACAGCCCACAAGATACATTACCAGTACTCAACTTACCATTCATGAACAGGCAACGAAAACAGATATGACTCTTGCTAACCTGAAAATAAACGGAGGACGGGATCCCCATGTCATCATTTATACCTAAGGTAAAGGACATATAAAGCTAAAACAATAAGGAAATAAAATACTTTTAACGTATTGAACATAATAAAGAAACGGGTACTAAAATCGCCTTCAAAAAGTAGCAAATAGCTGAATTTATTTGCCGACTAATGCCATCCTTGGCATTAGTCAACCTTGGCATTAGCCATCATTGGCATTAGTCTCAGATTCACAATAGTTCCCATAAACTATGTTTTCTCACATATAGATTAGTAATTAATGTATATTTAAATTTTTAGCACAGTTAGGCCTAGGATAGGTATGATATCCAATATATCTTCAGTCACGTTATTGTGTCTCGTCGTCTGCCTAGGATAAGTAGGTTAAGTGTTTTTGTTATGTTGGTTATTATTTATATTTGTAGTGCGTGGGTGAAGCATATAGAGGGTCGATTCCAACACAGAAACAGCAAAGAAAGTTCGAACGTAATAAGTTGTCATGTGTAAAGTTTTTTTTATACATATATAGAAGAACGAGCCCGAGCCAAGTTGAACTCGATATGAAAAAGTAACATGAATTAAGATCTGCATCTGGCCAAGGACAGGGACCTGCCCGCGCACTGGCGGACCTTGGCCAGCCGACCACTACCACAATTCTTTCATAATTTCATTCATGTTTATTGAAAATTGTACCTCCCCCCCCCTTCAATAATAATAATAATAAACTTCGTTAACATTGCGGAACGAGGTCGACTTTATATGATGTTGAATGATATTAATTTGCCACGTGATAACGGTTTTCAATGTAATAATGTTCATGTAATACAATATAATGTGAACACGTCTTCCACTCACGTCATATATATGCTGACACACATTTATATGAATTTAACACGTCACTGACGAGCCCTGAATGAGGTTAGAACATTCATCTATGATGAGACCATTTAGCGTCGTGTTTACACTCCGGTGTGGTGCAGCGCCTTCACAACTGATGAATAAAAAATTATTATATACCCGCCTTTCTAATTGTAATTTATATAACAGGAATCCGGCTCTGTTTTCCTGATTGGTGGCCATTGAGTTTGATAACATGTAATGATGTAACAACTACCTCCTGCCATTCTTGGTCTTGTGGTTACCCATCATGGCCCAGTGATGAGAGCCTTGGTGTGGTGTTCACACAGTTGTGTTACTGCAGCCTACGGCGTTCTCTCTACAGGAGGCGGTCCTGACGCAGGGGCGAGCGCTGGGGGGCGGCACAGTAATAAACGGGTTGGTGTACAGTCGCGGCAACCGACGAGACTATGATGGTTGGGCAGCCCTTGGTAACTACGGCTGGGACTACGCCTCCGTCCTCCCTTACTTCATCAAGTCAGAAGACTACCGCGGCCCGCTGCTGCCTAGTACTGGTCCGTAGTGGTGCCCACAGATTATGTTTTTTTACCTATTGGATAGACGTATGCTTACCTTTATGAGATATAGTTTCAAACAACTTTAATTTAGTGTGTTAACTTCCTGTTGCAAGTTATGTCTTCCCTGTAAATTATTGTTCACAATTTTTTCTTGACAAGCAGTATATAAATGTTCTTATATGAGCCACTTTCATGGTGGTGTTAAAGGGTCTATAGTGCTTAGTCTCTGTGATCTTCAAATGTGTAATTTGCTTTCAATAATACACCTTATATACCAGCACTGATTAGCTATGAAAGAAAATGCACAATATCAACCTGTCCTCAGGGAAGAGGTGCTCCTGGAGATAATCACTTCGAAACCACTGTGTAACTAGTGTTATTTATTTATTTATTTATTTATTTATATATTTATTTATTTATTTATATACAAGAAGGTACATTGGGTTTGTGAAAATACATAGCATGGTACAGTAATTGCACTCTTGTAAAGCCACTAGTACGCGCTGCGTTTCGGGTAGGGATATTATCTACTCATACTATTATCTACTTATTTCATTGAATATGACCGCATATTGTGGGAACCGACCTGTGAGATTTATATTTATTTAATTTATATGAATTTATATTTACGTTAATTTATATACTTCGATAGCAATTTGTATAATGATAAGTGGACTGTATTTCTGCAATAATCTCATAATCTCACAAATCGATCCTCTACACATTAGGGGGGGTTTATTAAATTAATATATATGCAGCCAATCAAACTACAGAATTAACTACATACATTGAAGAGGTTCCTTATCTTATAGTACAGCAGGTTAGTCCACCAGGTATAACTAGGGTGTAGACACCAAATTATCCTCTTTGAGGTAGCTTCCATCACCCAGTAACTGGTGCACAAAATCTTGCTTCCTCGTCTTGACCTGTCAAAAGTGCGCTAGCTGTGAAGCCAGAATCCTATATATGACAAGTATTTCAGAGAAAACTGTACATGGAACATGAAGACCTGGCTTAATTACCTTTAGTTTGAGGCTTCCACGTGCTCTAACCGGATCACCCTATATAATGACATTAATGGCCATAAATGAAAGATACATGGGTTTCGGAAAGAACTCTTAACTTGAATTGTAGACATCGTGTTGGAGATGGTACCTTTGGTTTCCATAACACTACGTCCAAGTAAAATTAACAGGAGCCGAATTTGCTCCCGTGTGAGCCTCTGGTCTCAATATAAACAATGGCTGTTTAACACTCCATACTATTGACGTTACTGGCCGACATTGTCCAGATATGATAGGAGCCGAATTTGCTCCACACGTCTAGGAGGTGACACAACAATGGCTCCCTCCTTCCTCCCTCTCACGCCTGGCTTACATTGTCCACATGTCAGAAAGTGATAGAAGGGTCACATTTACTCTACTTTAATATTGATAATTAAGTTAATTTATATAAGATGTTTTTATGATGGTAAAGTCCAAAGACTAATGTATTTAAGAATAATTCCCAGCAGAATAGCTGGTGAATTTATAATGGTATGTGGTGATGATATCCCGTTTTCTATAGACGGTAATTCCACTACAAGTTACGTTTTCTATGGGTAACTTGTTTATACAATACAGCTATTATCTGTATGATTATTAAATGGTGTCGGATTTTCCGACACATATTCTGTATTTATTATTTTCTGGTTTAGGGCTTCTATCCCTCTAACTATTTTCTTAGCATCAGGGCTTAGTTGAAATAGGAGTTCTCCAAAACTCATTTTCGTACTTTTAAGGTGAAGAAAAGAAGTGATTTACTATAGAGTGTATTACACTTATTTATACAATTTGCACGTTTCGAACCTCCATGGTTCATTCTCAAGTGAACAGATATCTACTGTGAATATTATCTGAATAATATTATCTACTTATCTATATCTAGTAGATGTTATTATCTACTCTCTGTCAATGGTTAGGTTAGGTTAGGCTTCATTATATTTGGTTATGTTAATACAATGTATTTTTCGCAAATATGTAAAATATGAAATTCGAAAACTATATGCATATCCTTAGAATTTTATTAACAGAAAACCAAATTATTTGGACTGTTCAAAGAAAACGAATTAAGCCTAGATTTTTATATTTTAAACAGACGATTTATAATACAACAAAGTTATAACGTGAGAATATTCTCTGTTTAGGACAAAGGTACACTTCCCAGTGTACAAGTAGACTATAATTTAATCTATAATATGCTTTCATACCATCACAAATATTTAGATAACTATCTAATTGGTGTTACAATGAGTTTGATGTCTCGTGATAATTATTTTACCCTGAGGACACGCTCATATATGTGCTATACTAGGCCGAGGGATATTTAAGTTTGGCTTTTAGCTTAATTTTATCGGACTATAAAAAAGTACAAAAATTGACCTAATGGGTCACTATTACTACATATTTGTACTTTCAACCACATACAAAAAAGTACTATCATTTCAAGAGGATGAGCTTAATTTATCCCTCCCTATCTTTTACATTAACATTGACATTTGCAAACCTGTTTTTTTGTAGAATAATATTCAAATTAGAAATAACGTGAAAATCTCTGTATCATATATACTATATGATATGGCCTTATACTAACGTTTCAAGGTTAATATTAATTATTTTCAGCCAAGTACCACGGTAAGGGAGGACCTCTGGGAGTCACAGCCAACAACATGGTGGCCCTTAACAAAGCCTTCGTCCAAGCCGGCCGCGAATTAGGCTACCCAGCAGTCGACCCAAGCGGGCCTGAGCAGTTAGGTAACATTTGTATTTATTGGTATTAATTTATTTATTCACATACAAGAATATACAATGTGTTGCAAAGCACATGTTGGTGAAACGCCACTAACATACACAGCGTTTCGGGCAGATCTAAATCATTATTGCATTACAGACAAATTGGCTTCATTATTTTTGCTTGTCAGGGGAATAATTAAGGCAATGTGTAGGTGTTTTTCTCTGTGCATACTACAATTATTTGGTAAATATATATATATATATATATATATATATATATATATATATATATATATATATATATATATATATATATATATATATATATATATATATATATATATATATATATATATATATATATATATATATATATATATATATATATATATATATATTATAATTAAAATTTTCGTCTGTAATTAACATTTTATTGTAAATTGTATTACTAATTAGGCATATTAAAAGTAAATGTAACATGTCATTTAGCTTTATTTTATTAAGAATTGCATAATTAATTTAAATATTTTGTAGCATAATTATTTAATGATATATCCATCAGAGTGATTACATCACCAATACGAAGGATACAAACACCGAGAGGTGTACCCAGCTTTTCGGTGTACTGTTCAACTCTTGACTATGTCCAGAACTATAGTGTACATACTGGTCGGTCAATAAGCACTCGTGGTGGCCGTAATAACCCTCCAGAGGTTGATAACCTTTAATCCCATCACCGAACGAATCATCAATAGAAGAGAAACACATAATCCGCTTCACAATGTTTACGTGCATAGGATTTACTCAATTCCTGGTCTTTTTTCAGACACTTAAATATGCTTACTGGTTAGACAGTAATTAGAGTAGCCGTGATAACAGTGATGATATACTTGTGTGTGTTCCAGACTTCCCTTCTTACGGCATGTATACTTGTGTGTGTGTGTGTCAGGCTTCCCCTCCCACGTAATGTACACTTGTGTTTCAGGCTTCCCCTCCCACGGAATGTATACCATCCGTGACGGGGTCCGCAGCTCCACGGCCGAGGCCTACCTCAGACCTGCCTCCTCTAGGCCTAACTTCCATATACTTCACAGCGCCACTGTCCTCCAGGTGAGTACTAAGGCCTCCAATTACCTATATCAACCTCCAGTGAGTCTTGAGGCCTCCGAGTTCCAATAGTTCCTTCCACGTGAGTTTCTGAGTTCCTGTACCAACCTCCAGGTGAGTCTTGAGGCTACTACTGCTCAACTTTCAAGTGAAGTTAGTCTTGAGGCTACTTGGTTGCTGTCTGAATGTCTAGTGTGGGTCCTGCCTCAGTCTTCATTAATATTATTAGCGATATTAATGTTTCAGCCTTCATCTATCCAATAATAAAAGGTATTAATCAATTCAATACTTTATGAATAACTGTAACAGTGAAATAATATTCAGAACGGCATTACAAAAAATATGTATGGTATAAAACAAAATGAAAATACATAAACAGTAAAGTCGCTTGCTAAATATAGGTACGTAAATATAGATATGATTCTTGGTGTTAATAATCTTGTATTTAACAAAACATAGACCGTGATTAACTTATTTGTATGATAATTAAATGATTATTTCTTACTTCTGATTTAGGTGTTGTTCGACGACCAGAAAAAGGCAGTGGGGGTGAAGCTGGAGCACAAAGGAAAGGTGAAGCTTTCTTTCTCTTGGTTGAGGAGGGACTCTCTCATTCTTTCATCAGACCTAATTGATGGAACAATTGATCAATTAATTTTAAGTATTAATAATACACTGAAGATTCGCAGATGTTAGAATCATTTATGTAGCTAAGAGCTTCACAATTGAGCAAGGACAGGTGGCTGAACTGAGATAATTGGTGTCAAACTAAACAACACTGGAGGAATTTTATATTACTAGAGATGAGGTAAAAAAGCAGCTGCTGGAACTGGACGTGACAAAGACTGTGCTGTTGAACCAGATAGAATTTCACCATGGATACTAAAAGAGGGACCAGAAGCTCTATGCTTGCCGCTTCTTTCTGTGGTATATTAAAGATCAGTGGAAACAGGAAACCTCCCAGAATATTGGAAGACAACTAATGTAATCTCAAAATACGAGAAGGGAGACACAGAACTACGAGCCAGTGTCCATAAATTGCTTACCATACAAGATACTGGAGAAGAATGTGATAAAATAGTTAATAGCATATTTGATGAGTAAGGACTTTGTAACACACCACCGGGAATAGTAAATCTTGCCCCACAGGTTCAATAGAATTCTATGCTAAGGCGACAAAAAATTAGACAAGACAGGGAAGGATGGGCAGACTGTATAATTTTGGATTGTCAAAAACCCTTTGACACCGTACTCCATAAAAGAATAGTGCTTAAGTTGGAGAAGGAGGCAAGAATGACAGAGAAGGTGTTACCAAAATAAGGGAAGACAATGAGTTTCCATGATCAATGAGATCATGGAGTGGGAAGATGTCACCAGAAAGAATTTTTGTGTAAAGTTATTAACAAACGGAGTGCATTTAGATGTGAGGTAGTGGAAGCAAACCCCATATACTATTTCATAGGTAGATATAATAGAGCTCAATAGGTTCAGGAATCTGTACACCAGTTGAGTGGCGGGACCAAAGAGCAGAAGCTTAATCCTTGCAAGCGCAACTAGATGAGCGCGCACACACACACATCTCTGATTCAATATAAATATCCATCCCACACCGACAAAATTGCTGATATATTGCATTGTCTTGTGACGCAGGTGGTGACAGTCGGGGCCCGACGGGAGGTGGTGTTGTCCGCAGGGGCATTTCGGTCGCCCCACCTGTTGATGGTGTCAGGAGTGGGACCCAAGCACCACCTGCAGCACCACAAGGTGAGTCACGAGAACATTATAGTCGTCCCACCTGTTGGTGTCAGCGGTGGGACACCCCAGCACCTCCTGCGGAACCACAAGGTGAGTCACAAGATAATTATGGTCACCCCACCAGTTGATGGTGTCGGGGTGGGACCCCAGCACCTCCCGCAGCATCACAGGTGAGTGACAGGGTGGTGGTACACACTAAGGTGAAGTACTGGTGTCACACACACAGGTGAAGGTGGTGGCAGATGTACCGGGAGTGGGCCAGAACCTGCAAGACCACGTTGTTATCCATGGCCTCAGTTGGACCACCAAGAAGGGCGTTTCCAGCTCCACCATTAAAAACACCTTGAACTTCGCGTCCATCAAGCAGTATATTGAAAATAGGGGAGGTGAGTATTCTCTGGCGTTTCAACCAGTCAAGGTCGTTTTCGGCCTCTTGCCGATGACGACCTTGTTCTACATTTACATACCGCTACATCTGTTCGAATAATAATTATGCAGTCGTTCTCAATCCATTCCCGTGAGCGTATTTCCTTCCTGAGGACAGATAGCATAATTTTATTCGCCAGCGAATAAATTTGACTACATATTCGCCAGCCAATGTGTAGTCTTTAAAATATAAAATAAATTAAATAAAATATATAAGGAAGGAGGGGTGGTAAGACAAAGGAACATGGAAACCGCATTGGGAGGGGGTGATACCTAAAAATCTTTGCTAATGCTTTGTGTGTTTTTCTCAGAGGCTGTGGGTCCTCTTTTAGCCTAACTTTTACCTTATTGTAGGAATATAAATATGCATATTATATAATCGGTTAAAAATAAAATAATGCAAATAACGTCTTTTATAAAAGGTAGGAATATGACTAAAGGCCATAGATGGTAATAAAAGGGGAGACTAATTAAGATCATCCACACTAGACAATCTGTAATGTTTCCCTGTTGCACATTGCCTGTCAGGTCCTCTGGGAGACACGCTGTCAGGAGTACACGACGCCTGGGTGAAGGTGTCTGAGGGCGGGGACCCGCTCTTACCAGACATACAGCTGCTTTTCGCTCCTACAACATCAGCCTACGACCTGGGTGTGTTTACACCAGGCATTCAGGGGGCTGATCACAACGTGAGTGGTTTACACGGATCATGAAACTTTTGCTGATATTATACCCACATTCTTGAATCAAACACAACTAGCTATCCCTCTCACTTGACAGTTGTAGATGGCAAGTACGCTATCATGTCTCCCTTGGTACCAACATAACACTCGTTCACATTACAGAGCTTCAAAAACTACATGAAGGAGATCTACGGGCTGGACGGGTTCAGTATCAGACCAATCCTTCTCCGCCCTAAGAGTCGGGGGTCAGTCATTCTTAAGTCCAACGACCCCAAAGAATTTCCAGTTATTGACCCCAACTACCTCAGTCACCCAGATGACGTCCAGACCCTGGCTAATGGTGAATATCATGCTGGAGTAACTGTAAATTAAAATGTATCCTTTTGGTTTGAAATCACTTTAGCTAATTTGACATTGTTTAGATAAAATGTTAAGCTCTCGTGTCAATCTGAAAGTGATCTGAAACCTTTGTTATGGTTTATAAATAGTTCTGACCTTGTTATTATGTTTGCTTAGTTTTTAATTTTAATGTGACTGCTTAATGGAATAACAATTATCTTACAGATTACAGGCCAACTTAAATACCTTAATAAATTGGTCTAACGAATGCCTGATAAATCCTAATGCAAATAAATGTAAAGTAATATACATACTGAAAACAAAAATGGAAAGATAAACTGCTGGATGAGCATTACTGGGTTGATAATTGTTAACGAAAGAGCCCTTGTTAACAGTGCTTAGCTTACTGAATATTGCTGAATAATCTAAACTACGGCAACAGTAAACTTTCAGTGTTACACTGAGACGTTGGACACACTTCTCGGTGTATATATCAATCACCTGAAGCCAAGTAAGCAGTGCACTGAAGCTGTAAATGAAGCTTATGGAATATAGAAGGTTTTATCGACAGATGCTTTGAGTTTCAACAGGAGGAAGTCATTTTCATTCTTTACTATTTACTAGTGCGTCCATACCAGAATTTGCATGCATCTCTGGCCGCCGTACGCGAGAAGGAATATTGACAAATTAGGTGTTCAGCGCCAAGCAACAATAATAATACCAAGACCTAGAAATAAATCACAGGAAGCCTGAATAAAAGAGCTATATTTTTTCAGTCTTGTCAGAAGAAAAATAACAGGAGGTGCAAGTTCAGTATTTAAGATAATTCAAGGGCATTGCGATCTTGACCCAAAGCCACTGTAATTTTACCAGGTCTGACATCACTCGAAACAACGGCTTTAAAATAAAATTAAAAACTTTTCAGTTAAACGAAGCAAAATAATATTTTTTCTTTAACTGAATACTAAAAATATGGAACAGCTCACCACATTATGCATTTCATTGTAATGCCGTGTATATATTTAAAAATATAATTGATATATATACTTCCCTTAAAATTCACGCCCCACATTACTGGAATCATCAAATTTGGATCTAATGTTATGTTGATGTTTGAGTTCGATCCTTTGTCATATTTGTAATCCTTTGTTTTAAAAAATAGTTTTAGCCCTCATGGACCGACTTCATTATTTATAGGACGATTGTTAATTCATTTTTTGTTGATTTGCTATGAAAGAGATAGAATATAAGAAATATGTAAGTAAAACCAGTTTGTTCTGACAGGCATCAAGTTCTCTGTCGTGCTAGGCAATACCTCGGCCTTTGTCAACAACTTCGAAGCTAAGTTTCATGATAAGGTAAGCTGAAATGTTTTCGTCATATAAATTACCTTTTCTTTTTGTGTGTGTGAGACTCTCCTTCCCCCCCTCCCCCCTCTCTCTCTCTCTCTCTCTCTCTCTCTCTCTCTCTCTCTCTCTCTCTCTCTCTCTCTCTCTCTCTCTCTCTCTCTCTCTCTCTCTCTCTCTCTCTCTCTCTCTCTCTCTCTCTCTCTCTCTCTCTCTCTCTCTCTCTCTCTCTCTCTCTCTCTTAAATTTAATTTAAGATTAAATTTAATCTTAATTGGCATAAGAGTAAGACCGCTCGCTACTATAGTAAATGTCAGGGCAAACGTTTGTAGCATTTCATGCCGGTGTTTATATGTGTGTAAGTCATCACGTAATAATGGGTTCAGGTGCTCAAAAGCACAATACACTCCCTGAGATCTGCCAAACGATCTACAGAACTTACCTAAGTGTCCAAAGTCCTACTCTCCCACCCTCGGCAGCTTACCTCACAACCTATTGTTAAGTTTCCTGACCTGTCTTACTACAGGATTCCTCGGCTTTATGGGTCGGGAGCTTTGAAAATGCCACGAGCCTGTAGCCTGAATATAAATTAATCAACAAAAAATATGGAGTCAGGCAAGGCAGGCGTGAATTGTACAAAGCTCAACCCCCGCAAGCACAACTAGGTGAGTACACACATTTATATATTATACCATGACAGAAACTACAAGAGTGTGGCCGGGAGGTGACCAACAGCAACACCTACTGGCTCTGCTACGCTGCCCACATGTCTTCCACATACCTCCACCCGGTCGGCACCTGCAAGATGGCGCCACCCTCTGACCCCATGGGTGTGGTTGACCCCCACTTGAGGTACGTATTAGCCCCCATATTATTATTATTACTAGTGTTGGAGAAGGACCCATGGACGGCAGTCAGTGGTTGAACAGTGTGGTGGCCACCAGTGGTCCACACTGACTGATGGAAGAGTAAGCAGCCACCCAAAAGATGGCAGCACGGGCAGGTGTAGCCAGTAAGGGGTAGATGTTTGGAGTGAATGTGATCTGTTGTTGTTTGTTGTTTTATTTTAGCTACTCAAAACATAAAGTTCCAAGTAGCACGGGCAATGGTGAGCCCTTAGTGCACTTACCTATAGCACAGGAGCCAGGCAGGTCAGTAACTCTGGGGTGAATGTGATCTTTAGTCGTGAAAGGATATACTATGTGCTTTGCGCGCGCATTGAAACGGTCAGTCCTTATTATGTGGCTGCTGTCGCGAGGGAGGATACTTCTTGACAGTATTTATGAAGGTAATCAGAGAAATCACATTATCGTGATATATCAATGGGAACACCCAGCGCATAGGTTCGAACCCTAATCACGGCCCCTGTGGATTTGTTTTATGAGGGTGTCCTGCTGCTGGACACATTTTTTGACCGAACGAGTGGCTGTGTTGATGGCTTCATGGTGGTTACTGCAAGATTCAGGGACTCTTAAAGCTCTTCTAATGTCGCTAGTTGCTTCACATTCCAGGAGATAGTGAAGTAGTGGCTTTTCTGTGATTGTTTGACAGAAGATGCAGTACCACTCTCTGGGTTCACTAATTTACCAGTTGCATCTGTAACCTAGACGTAATCATACAAGTGAACTGCTCTTTCCCTGGATTCCTTTCCGGATATTTAACCTGTCTACCTTGGTGGCCTGAAGATTATTGCAGAGAGTGAACCTTCTGCTACACTCTGGTGTAGATGGGCTTTGTTGAGGTGTGAGAGGTTTTTGGTGATGTATTTTTATGTACTCTAGGCTGGGGTTGGATTGTTTTGTGGGTCACTGGATGACGAGTTGCCAATTGAGCAGTTTCATCGGTTCTCTCCTTTAATGGGATTCCAACATGGGATGGAATTCAGTTTAGAGTGATGTTGAATCCTTTGCCTTTAGCTACTGCTCCAAGATACAAAATTTTGGTAATTATTTCCACGTTGTCTTTCCATTGCTTTTGACTGATAATAACTGGTATAATATATATATATAACAGGTGATATAACACTTGTCCCCCAACAGAATCCAGGCTGCAGGCGGTGTCGGCTCTAATATAACACTATCTTGTCGATTCCTTTGTGTACTATAGCTTGTTCTTCAACAGAGTCCGCGGGGTTTCCGGGCTGCGGGTGGTGGACGCGTCCATCATGCCAAATATGGTCTCCGGCAACACTAATGCGCCCATTATCATGATCGGAGAGCGGGCCGCTGACATCATTAAACAAGACTGGAACACTAACGGCTAGCTGACTCCACGTGTGTGAAACCTTCCCTGGAAACACAAACCGAAACTGTCTCTATTTTCCGCTTGATACAACTTGTAATAAAGTTGTTACATCTTGGCTTAACGTGTTTATGACGTATTAGAACGTTGGTACAACTTGCTATATTGGTTGTTATAACTGGTTAGGAGGTGTTAAAACTTGTTCAAACGTTGTACCAACGTCGTAGTTTCGGTGTGTGTTTGGCGGGTTGTGACCATCTTCATATATTAACACCACTACAGTCTATGCTAGAAATGATTGTTCGAATTCTTCGCATTGTAAACAAAAAAATAGAATAAACGTCATCCAATGTACCGTAAACATCACTAACACTATAATCGCAACATCGACCATAAACTTCACTGCCAACAGAATTTACCAATGCTCACTACCTCAGCCATGCATACATCCTATAAGTCACCAACCCCTGATCACAATGTTTCCTTACCCATCGTAAACAGACGTCAAATGAGCCCCACTTGTAATGCTTGTGATGAACATTGCTTCCCTTACCCTATGATTTTTTGCTGACTACTGAGATTCCTGTTAACTCATATAAGGCAGGAGAGCGCAACTCAACGGTCACGGAGTACACAACTAGACACAATAAAGATCTTTGGCACAAATATCATAACATTTGTTTATAAACTCCTCTCAACTAATGCGTCTCATTTTGTACGTTATGGTCCCTAACGTACACATTTCAAAATACTATGAAAAGAAGTGTCTCATAAATATCTATTTTCAGTAAGTTAGGTTAGGAGGCCTGTTGAGGTTCTTACGTTTCTGGTTAGATTAGGACTTTGTAGTTTGTACGTTGTGACAAATCAAGAGAACGGTCTGTAAGGCTGTTTGGAACTTAAAAAATGATGATATATCAGTGGGCCTAATGATAAATCACTTTTTTCTACACATAATGAAACTTTTCTCATTTTCTTCCATAATTTTTTGCTGCCAATAAATTTAATTTTCTTGATTTATTTAATTTAATATAATTGTAAACATAAGTAATCGTATAGACACAAAGCACATTATAAAGGCTTGGACACACCAATTCTGACAAGAGTTAACTATTGGAAAGTTTTATTTATTTTATCCTATAAATATGTGCTGTACTCTAAGATTTGTTTTGGATTTCTTTCATCTTATTGACTTGTTAAACGCTGTACTCTCAAAGGGGATAAGATAAGATAATTATCAGTAGAAAGCACAATCATTACGACAAGCACTTCACTAGCCTTCACTAGCAAGCCCTCCCGTGGACACTCCACCCTCAGCCTTCATTAGCAAGCCCTCCCGTGGACACTCCACCCTCAGCCTTCACTAGCAAGCCCTCCCGTGGACACTCCACCCTCAGCCTTCACTAGCAAGCCCTCCCGTGGACACTCCACCTTCAGCCTTCACTAGCAAGCCCTCCCGTGGACACTCCACCCTCAGCCTTCACTAGCTGTCATGATTGAATATAATCTAAACACTTAAGCTGAAGCTACTCGTTCCACAGGAGACATCTCCCGTCACGCAGGGTGCAGTCGCACCTCCACAGATCTCCAGTATCATCTATTGATACTGGTGATGGCTCAAAAGGGCCACCACTTACGAGCTACTCATGCCCTTGCCACCTTTTGGGTGGCTTAATCTTCATCAATCAATCTGAAGCTACTATTACAGACGATGAGTCACAACAAGGTGGGTGAAGACATGATGACCACACGTCAGAAAATGAAGAAACGACGACGCTTCGGTCGTCCTGTGCCATTATTTTTAGCATTAAATATTTTCTTTGATTTGTTTACTGCCTTAATAAAATACATTAAAGTTAAATGTTTGATTTACTTTCCTGTAAATTTGAAAACTATCAGCATGATAGTATTATCCTTTGGGAAGCCGCCAGTTTCCTGTCACCGCAAGATGGCGACCTTCGGGTAAATTCTGGTAAGATCTACCACTAACAGAATGAGTACAGTTAACTATACCCATCACCACCTTATAATAACACCCTAAGTTACCGCACAGAGGGTAATTATGGGGTGCACAATAAACTTCCACACACAGGATGAGGATGGGGTACACAAACTACCACTCAAAGGATAATTAAGGGGTGCATAATAAACAACCGCTCACATGATGAGTATGAGGTACACATTAAGTCACCGCTCACATGATGAGTATGAGGTACACATTAAGTCACCGCTCACATGATGAGTATGAGGTACACATTAAGTCACCGCTCACATGATGAGTATGAGGTACACATTAAGTCACCGCTCACATGATGAGCATGAGGTACACATTAATATTTAATACATAATATCTAATACAGATATGTGAGGGAAAGGGTGATTGGTCGGTACTTTTCTCTTGATCTCGTTCTGCCTTTTTTTTTTTTTTTTTGAAGACAGGGTGACATTTTGCATACTGTAGTTCCAATCTAGGGGAGGACTGTTCCTTGTCGAGAGATTTTCTGAATAAGAATTTCAGTGGTAGACAATTCGTCAGCTAGCAGATCCTTTACGATTTTGGATTGATATTGGGGCTTTAGATTCTTTTAATTTGTCATTGCTCTTCCTGAGTGTTTCGCACGTGATGGGGCATACTGTTACATATGCTCTATAGCATACTCTTATTTCGTTCTCCTCATCTGCTTCAAACATTTGTGTGGGTATTTGGATGTTGTCTAATCTTTCTAGGGTGAATATTGATGTAAAGATAAACATTCATGTTTACGTCAATGTGTTCATGAATGAACACTGAACAGTCATTCAGTATTGGCTACCTTTTTTATCGACAATTATAACTTGGTTGATCTCATCTCTCAAGACTCCTACGGAGTGAGAAAATCCATAGGAGCCATGATGAGGATTCGAACCTATGTGGTGGGTAGTCCCATGCACACGCCCAGACAATTAATCAGGCCACGACATGGTCATTTGTCTTGGTTTTATTTCTTATACAGTATAGGAATAGAAAGACGGGATTTTTTTTAATGTTTTGATCAAGCTTTCTTTCGTAGTTTCTTATGTCTGATCTGTGTAGCTGAATATAATGCCCTTGTGTATATTTCACAATCCATGATTTCTGAAGAACTCATGCCTTACTCTGTACTAAGTTGTTAAAGCTTTTTATTTTCGCCTTTGCCGTCCATCTTTTCTCTTTCGTTCCCCTTTTCTTCTTAGCGCGTATTTTTGAACATGTCAGTGATGACTTTTGTAATATTTTCCCATGATGTTTACTTGGTCTCCTATTAACGTCCTCCTGAAGGTCCTGGACCTCTTGTGTTGGTAATAATAATTGTGTTTCATCTTAAATAATTATTAAAAAAAGACGCCTAACCGGGGAGACTATGAAGCACATAGTGCATCTTGAGATATAGTGGTCACATAAAGGGGTGAGCTTCTTCCCTATCTGGATTTCATGTTAGCACAAGATTTAATATTCTGTTATATTGCGTGGGCTCTGCCACATGTTGTATGACAAATGAGTCCTGTACTAGGTCCAGAAATTGTCCCCCTTTCCAATCGTGATGTTAAATTCACCCAAACTACTGTCTCGTGGTTAAAATCCCTCATTATAAGAGCTTGCGCTCCAACTGCGGCATTTAAGACATTATATAGATTTGTAACTTCCTCTACTGTTGCTGTGCCTGCCCTATAGCATACTCACACTGCCTGCTATCATTCTTAGCCAGTATATTGCACCATATAGAGTCTGAGTATACCATGTGTTTAATTCCTCATGTCTTGTTGCAGTCAGGTCTCTTTCATAAAGTTTCACGCCACTCACAGGATGAACATGGGGTGTGCAAACTACCACTCACAGGACAGATATGGGGCGCACAACAAACGCGCTCAAAGTCTTGGTATGGGGTGGATAATAAACTAGTCGTCCGTAATGGCAACACTAAACAAATCGTCTCCGAGAATCGAATCATAGACATTTCGGTTGTGAATGGGCGGCGTACTTAGTGGGCTTATAAAATATAATATACTCACTGTAATGTACATGTTAACTCTATAATATAAACTTGAGTATATTTTGCACTCAAACTAAAACCTGTGTCTAGGAAATGAAGATGTTTATCTCTCAGAATGTTTGGTAATATGTTTATTGTTTGTGATGTGTTTATATGTATGTATTAACACGATGTTCTGAACGGGGTGAAAATAGCTTGAGCTACCTCATCCCTTTGTGTGTATTTTACCTCAATAAACTCATTTCAATTTCAATTTCAATTTCAAAACCTGTGTATGGAGTGTGACAAGGGAGAGGGGGCCGGGGTGTTAGGGGTCCGGGAGGAGACGACCACCGACCACTGCCAGTTCCAGACGCCACAACAAACAATATTGGTGACCCGCACTTCATTCCTGCTGATTAATCGAAAAATATTCGTGATGGCACGAGAAGGAGCATTATGGATGGGTGATGTAAGTTTTCCCAAACTATACTTCGGGAAGTAAAAGTGGATGGACCGCATAGGAATCTTTTTTTTTTATTTATATATATGTGGAATTGGGAGTTATTAAATGTTAGACCGTGTGTCGGCCAGGTGGTCTTGTAAGGAAGTCATTATGTATGCTTGCGTTATACATTCCTTCCCGACGTTCTTGTGGTAACCACTGGTTAAATTGTAATTAAAGTATGTTGAGCTATAATTTCTCATTATAGATGACTGGGTTTGTTGTTATAGTGACTATTGCCACGGATCTTTGATAGTACTGTAAATGCCGCATATTGGTGAACATTTAGTGGTTGATGCCGCTGTGTAGGTTTGTATTATTTCCAGTATAATAATAATGCTTCATAATTAATACTATATTACAATATAAATTTTATGTATAGGTAATTATATATTTAATAATACCACTAATCACTTGCTGGTGACATTTTGTACAGTTTTGGTTATTAATGACATCTTAACTCCTTTTACAACACCCACTTCTAGTTACATAATAATTTAGATTTTCTGTATATATCTTAATCTGTGTTTTCTTTCTGGATTGAGACCTTTTTTAAAGGTTTTGCTTAGGGGTTAGAGCTTTTTTTTACTGCATGTGTCACATCATGTTCCATCTCTTTCTTTCTCCTCCTTACCACATATTTTTTGAATAAGTTCAATGGTGTCCTTTTTTAAATTTTCCCATGGGGCTTCTATGCCTTGATTTCCTATTAACTCCTTCTAGGTGTTGTTTTGCAACTCCTCTCATATCTTGATAGTCTCCTCGAGGGTGGTCTAGAATGTCGTCATCTTGGACCTCAATGTGGGTTTCTATAATTGTAGTCCATCTTGGAATATTGTGATCACATAAAGGGGCAAGCTTCTCCCTTATCTGTATTTGATCAATCATGCCCTATTCTGATATTAGTACAAGATCTCTATTGTCTCTTGGTTGCAGTGCCCTATTATTAGGGCTTGGATTTCAGCTGCAGCATTTATCACTATGTAGATCAGTAACTTCCTGTGCTGTTGCTGTTTCTATAATGTAGCATACTGTACTCCCACTGTCAGTTTGCTTCCATTTTGAGCTAGTATGTTGCACCATACAGATCAGGTCAAATGGGGGGCCTTTGACAAACTTGCTTCCTGGCTTCCTGTCCTCATCGGGAAGTGGCCCCTCAGTTAAATTAAGGTAATACTGTACCATGGTGTTCAATTTATCATTAAGTTTTTCACTGAAGTTCTCTTTTTACACATCGTTTTACAATTTTGCATAATTTTACTTTTGTAGAGTTCCAGTAAAACAGCCGGGTTCGTTTTTGACTCAATCAAGAATTCCCGGTTATAATCCTGGGCGTGACAGAAATGGTCATGTGTGTGTTTCCTATCACCTAATGCCTCTGTCCACCTAGCAGTAAATAGGTACCCAGGAGTTAGCTTATGGCGTTGCATCCTAGGGAGGGTCAGTAATTCGACCCTAGGGGTAGGGGCGCCTCAGTTACATATTACAATATAAACATGTATAAGCGTAACATGTACACTATATATAAACTGGCTGCCTGTGCCCCAACACAATGTATTATTATTATTATTATTATTAATATTACTGTATTATTATTATTATTATTATATAGCATTACACTACCACCTCTTTTGTTCTGTCCTTTCCCAGAAGATGAAATTTCCTTTCAATTATGTCTTTATCATTCCCATGTTTTGCTGATGCTAGTGATGTCAGGATTCTTAGTAATTTAAACTCCTGACTTTGTTCCTTGATGAATGAGAGATTGCACACACATTCTGCACAGTATTATTCCATACACGGTTTGGTTTTGTGCCTGCATGTTATTTTAGATATACAGTATAAGGTTAGTTCTCCCTGACTCAGTGAATGACTGTCTTCTCCATCTACTATCATGGTCACCTTCCCTATCTTTACATTTAGGCTTGAACCTTTGTATTGTTCTGTGTTTCTTAACCCCTTTGGTTTGTCTCTTAGTTCTTTTTCATGTTTTTTGTAGCTTTACTGCGAGGTCTGGGGACATGTAGGCATTGTTATACCTTCCCGGTTCTATTAGTTTTTTGTGCGTTTATGAGTATCTTTGTCTGTGCTCAAGATTTACAATGGTTATGAATACCAAATTTGTCTGAGGCTTACCTAACCTCCTTACTTGGGAAATGCTTAGATCCTCCTCCTTGCCTATCAGTTTTTCTATCATTGCCTCACTGATTTCCTGACTATTCGTATCATCTTGTTTTTGCAAGGTATTATTTAAGTACAATAATTCTCTTACATGTTAATTTTTTATTACCTGGTATACTGTATATAGTACATGAGGAAATAGAGTACAAGCATGCCCCCAAAAAAGCGAAAAGCATTGTAGTAAAACATTCTTGCCAAATAAACTGCAGATAATCATCTCTCTTCACTACTTTGGCAAAATAAAATGATAGAGTACAGTATGTTACTTATTTACCAGTACTGTATTATTTTGTAATGTTAAGTGTATATTTTCCTTCTTTGCTTGTTTTTATAGAATAATTATGTAACCCTTGTTCTGAATAAAAAAAATTGCTTGTACTGTAATATCTTCTTGGCAATCTCTTGTTCTTTGTATTGATTCATTATTAAGTGTGTTCAAAAAAAAATGAGTAACCTTTGTTAAAGTTTTACTTGACATTCATTCAAGGCTTCTTTTAAATTTTGTAATTTATTTACTGCGTTTCTGATAAAAAATCATTTTATATACCTCTACAGCTGGCAGATTACATGGACGAAAACTTCATTATTGCTGCTTTCAGGGCCTTGGGTGAAGAAAATGTACAGAATGTAAAGGTAAACTTTTGTTATCAAGTAAATTTGATTAGGAACAGTTATGAAATAGACGGGGATTAAAGTGCCTGTCTTAAAGTATTATAATCATAAGTGTATGCAATGAGTTAATAGTGAAAAAGGAGGTGGAAGGGAAAGACTAACTTATGTACTAGAGATGTAACAATACCAATATCTTGACTAATACTCATTCTGCCTTATTGTCCAATTACTGATACTGTACTCTGATACCAATACTTCATATTTTTTGTAAATGTTAGAATTTATTAAGATGCCATTACATCTGATCTCAGCGTTTGCAAAAAATGATATAGTAAATTAGTTATACTGTACTCAGTACAGCACTGGATAATTATGATGGTAATCAAGGTGCCTATATTCCTGCTGAATCCACTTAATGAAAATGAGTTTAAATGACTCCAGCAGTAATTATTACTACAACCACTATTACCATCACTATCACAGCCCCCACCATTATCACAACCATTGCCATTAATCACAGCCATCACATTAATCATAACAGTTGCCATTATCACAACCATCCCCCATTAATTATAACCATCACCATTATCACAACCAGTTACCGCCATTATAACAACTTTTTTTTGCTCACGACCACATACAGTTACCATTACTACCACCATTATCACCACTACTATTACCACCACCTGTGCTGAATCCTGTATCCTGAGATACATTGGCCCGTATCCATATCCTGATGTTCATTGACTCACGGCTACCTGTCTTGAGCGATACAGTCACAATATATCTCGCTGTTTAGTGTCATTTACCATTTATATTTATTTCTTATTTCTGCTCTCATTACTTTTCAGGTAATGAAGAACAGGTATACAGGACACCCAGCTGGATACTGTTTTGTCAACTTCTCCTCAGACCAGGCAGCTTTGACTGCTATGCACAAACTCAATGGGAAAGTGATTCCTCACAGTCAGCCAGTGAGTTCATATTGCTATTATTTCCTTTCAACACCAGCATGAGGTTTTCCCTACATTGGAGAGTTCTGTTAAAATGGATAAATATTTACTTTTTTTGCATATGTTTTCTGGTGATTTATTTCATTTGTTTAAATATTTATTAGTTTAGGTGTAGGAGATATATGTTCAGCAAAACCAGGTAAATATTTAAGAGATGTCCAAATCACATTGATTCTTTCAAAAATTCAAAGATTATTGAACCTCTAATAGATTTTTAAAATATGGTATTTAATTTGGAGAATAGAATTTAAAATAACATTCTGAAAAAGAAAATTGTGGATAAACGTATTTAGTTCCGATAAATAAATTGTTGAATAAGACCCATCATTTTCTTCAAAAATTTCACTTGAAAATCTGTACAGTAATTTGAAATATAATTAAAAAAATTTAATTTTTCTTTTTAAAAGCTAGATATAAAGACCGTAATACTGTATGTAAAGTTCACAAAAATTGGTTCATAAACAACAAAACTGAATTTTAAAAACACATTCGTTCATTTGAGTAAAACTTAATCAATATTTGTGCCAACAGTAGATGAGGTAGACTGTACAATATTCTTCCAACTTCACATGATTATTGTTAGGCTACTGTAACGGGGGGTGGGGGAAATAGCTCTATCTTGTCCATTATTCCACCCCCCCCCAGTTAACTAACGAGGCCGGGGGAAACAGCTCTCTCTAGTCCGTTATCCCGTCCCCAGTTAGCTAACTATTCTAGAGCACTCCCAGAGATCCTAAGGCAACCTCTCTCGTTCAACACCTTGTAACCTAGGTATTTGACTACCTAGGTGCTAAGACTACAAGGCGCCGTCACTTGATCAGTTACCCGAAACTCTAGAGAGAACTCTAGAATACAGAATCATTGCCACAAACGTATAAGAGAAAACGAAAGGAAAGAAATGAATAGTGAAGTAATTAGTGAGGGTTTGGGGTGAGAGGGAGAGAGGTGGGAGGAGCGAGGATGGTCATTAGTTGAAAGTGAGAGTTGAGAGAGGGGTGGAGGGAGAGGTGTAGATAGGTAGAAGTAGAAGAGTAGATAGTAGGAGTAGAAAGTAGATAGTAGAAGACGAAATGCTGCCACCATCCATTCATGATCATTACATACAAGACAAGGAATGGAACTTGCCTGTATCACAAAATTCTCAAAAGATGTTATCATGAGTTCATTATTAGTATGTTCCCTCTGTACCATGTATCAACTCCAAACATGTATTCATTAATATCATGAAACCAATAACCACAGAGGCTTTCTCACCTCAACTCAAAGCTCTAGGGAACAAAGTTAAACACAATTTAAATAATAAATTCACAATTATATTTCCCATGAAGTATCATAATTTAAGCAATCCAATTAAAATGTTCCAGTTTAATATGCAAAGTGAGTCATCATCCAAGAATTCGAGAACCCTACAACTTGACTGCCCCTGATCATCACACAACATATGTAAAACACGACCAAGTCACCTTACTGTCCACTCACCGAGGACTGAGTCTAAGTTGAATAGAGAGGGGGGGGGGGGGGTCTGTAGCTTGACAGAGACTGTCTCGCCCCTGCCGGCCGACAGCCTCCCTGCTAGGGACGTCGTCTCTGCTCTCGTCTGCTGTTCTGTCTCTTAATGCTCTTTGCTCGATAGTTCTCCGAGTATTTATTGGGGAACCTAGTAGCTAACTCCGCCCACAAGTAGATAGCCTCCGGCACTACCAAGCCACTCCTTAAACGTCGGCATGTTTGAAGGCTACCAGGCTCCAATTATACGCTTAGCGGAAGCAAGGTGAAATTCTCATGATCTGACCTCAGGTCACTTGGGGTCATTAATGCTTTGAGGTGTGAGATCTCAGGCAGACAACTGGCGCCTCTCAGATCCTTGTCTGTGACTCATGTACTCTATGTATGTATTAAACTTAACCAAACACTTTTACAGTGTTACATCTCCCCTTCTCCCTGAAATAAAGTTTTTGCAACACTGCTAAAGCAAGCTAGCTGTGTGCAACAACTTTATTAACGAAAAAAAAAAATACATCCTAGCTAAACAAATATACATCATCCTACTCTAAAAAATGAAATATATAGACAGACGTCCATTGTCTCTGGCTGGGCGACGTCACTGCTTGGTCTTGTAGATAATCCTGTACCACATTTCTTCAACACAACTGCCTCCGTCGCTTCTCCGTCGTTAACGCACAACAACACTTGGTCAACCCGAGAGCTGTATCCCACCGCTGCCACCATTGTAACGGGGGGTGGGGGAAATAGCTCTATCTTGTCCATTATTCCACCCCCCCCCAGTTAACTAACGAGGCCGGGGGAAACAGCTCTCTCTAGTCCGTTATCCCGTCCCCAGTTAGCTAACTATTCTAGAGCACTCCCAGAGATCCTAAGGCAACCTCTCACGTTCAACACCTTGTAACCTAGGTATTTGACTACCTAGGTGCTAAGACTACAAGGCGCCGTCACTTGATCAGTTACCCGAAACTCTAGAGAGAACTCTAGAATACAGAATCATTGCCACAAACGTATAAGAGAAAACGAAAGGAAAGAAATGAATAGTGAAGTAATTAGTGAGGGTTTGGGGTGAGAGGGAGAGAGGTGGGAGGAGCGAGGATGGTCATTAGTTGAAAGTGAGAGTTGAGAGAGGGGTGGAGGGAGAGGTGTAGATAGGTAGAAGTAGAAGAGTAGATAGTAGGAGTAGAAAGTAGATAGTAGAAGACGAAATGCTGCCACCATCCATTCATGATCATTACATACAAGACAAGGAATGGAACTTGCCTGTATCACAAAATTCTCAAAAGATGTTATCATGAGTTCATTATTAGTATGTTCCCTCTGTACCATGTATCAACTCCAAACATGTATTCATTAATATCATGAAACCAATAACCACAGAGGCTTTCTCACCTCAACTCAAAGCTCTAGGGAACAAAGTTAAACACAATTTAAATAATAAATTCACAATTATATTTCCCATGAAGTATCATAATTTAAGCAATCCAATTAAAATGTTCCAGTTTAATATGCAAAGTGAGTCATCATCCAAGAATTCGAGAACCCTACAACTTGACTGCCCCTGATCATCACACAACATATGTAAAACACGACCAAGTCACCTTACTGTCCACTCACCGAGGACTGAGTCTAAGTTGAATAGAGAGGGGGGGGGGGTCTGTAGCTTGACAGAGACTGTCTCGCCCCTGCCGGCCGACAGCCTCCCTGCTAGGGACGTCGTCTCTGCTCTCGTCTGCTGTTCTGTCTCTTAATGCTCTTTGCTCGATAGTTCTCCGAGTATTTATTGGGGAACCTAGTAGCTAACTCCGCCCACAAGTAGATAGCCTCCGGCACTACCAAGCCACTCCTTAAACGTCGGCATGTTTGAAGGCTACCAGGCTCCAATTATACGCTTAGCGGAAGCAAGGTGAAATTCTCATGATCTGACCTCAGGTCACTTGGGGTCATTAACGCTTTGAGGTGTGAGATCTCAGGCAGACAACTGGCGCCTCTCAGATCCTTGTCTGTGACTCATGTACTCTATGTATGTATTAAACTTAACCAAACACTTTTACAGTGTTACACTACATCCTCAAACACAGGTTAGTTTCAGGGGAAATTGTGTCAAAGAATGGAAAAATAAATTATGGAAGTCAAATATAAAAAAAAGTATGGGTACATTGCTATTTGTATAAAGTGTAGTATGTGCACAATATTGACACTTGTTACTAAATTTGATAAATATGGATAAATAACAATGATAGTAAAGCCCCCCTCTCACTTCATAATGTCCAAAGAAAGTGGCATGCAGGTGAAGCTCTTGCTATGCCAACATCACTGATTTGTTGTGATCCTGCTACACCCTGAGCAAGTGTTAAGTTAGCAGTCACTAGGCTTGGTTAATCACTGTTAACAAAAACCAAGAGCAGATCTGCTCTGGTCAATGAGCAAATCACTGAGACACACACCCCCCTCCATGCATGAGCCTTAAATGTACTGACAGTGGCTAGCAAGCATAAACAAAATATATATACATTAATATTAATTTCACATATTTCGGTAAAATAAGTATCTGAGACAGCAATTACAGCAGATACAGTGAGATAGTTTGCCAAGGGTGATATTGCTTGCATTATTCATTTGTGCGTCTGGAATAATATTGAATGGGGGATATTATTTCAAAATTAATGATGGGTAAGTGATACAGTATACTATACTGTACTTGAGAAATTGTTTATTATAATTATTGCATATACTGTATTGTATTTTCCGCCTTTTGCAGATTAAGCTTAAAGTTTGTGAACATTTTTGGACGAATATAATTCAATTAGTTTGCATTTCATAAAAATCCTGTAATTATTTATTCTTTCACTTTGCTTTGTATATTTTTTTATGTATTTTAAATTTATAGTTTTCTGTGGGGAGCCCCGTCGGCTTCCTGAAGCTATTCAAACTGACGTGTGCCATATTAATTTGGTGTCATCAGTCCCTAGAGTGCTGAATGCCTACCGGGGACCACGAGCCAGAGCCTGGTCCCCTCAGAGAGGCACAGGGAGCAATGGCCATATGAGCGCACTACATTTAGAGTTTGTCAAGTCTGCCATTGACCGAGGATACCAGCAGAAAGGTAAGCGAAACAATACAAACCCTCTACTGGCGAAAATTGCAATCCACGTACGAACAGAGGCAAAGAACTTCCTCGAAAGAAAATAAGCAAAAAAGCAAATCGTCGTCCAACTAGCAGCGCCCGCTCGTTAGTGCCCCTAGGGACCTTACAGCTGAGTGGACAGCACTTCGGACTCGTAGTCCTGAGGTACAGGGTTTGTCCCCGGTGGAGACGGAAACAAATGGTCAGTTTCTTTCACCCTGATGCTCCTGTTCACCTAGCAGTAAATAGGTACCTGGGAGTTAGACAGCAGCAACGGGCTGCTTCCTGAGGGTGTGTAACAAAAAGGAGGCCTGGTCGAGGACCAGGCTGCAGAGACGCTAAGCCCCGAAATCATCTCAAGATAACCTCAAGAGAATCCTCTCAAGACAGGGGGAAAGGGGGGAGCCCACTCAGGTAGGCGGCTGCTCCTCCCCTCAGTTCGTGACTGATGTGACTAGTGTCTACAAGTCTCCTCTGACCTTGTTTTCCTGTCTGTATTTTGCCCTTGTGGCTGTGCCAGCTGTGTTTAGGGTGTTGGCCAGGTGTTCTCTGGTACTCTGGGCTGCATGCGCCTAGGGGTTTCCTTCCCTAGGTGCCCGGTAAGTACTTCCCTTGCTTTCTAGGGTTATCTTCCCTGGGACATTCAGGTCTCGCTCCCATTTGAGGGCTTCGTCGCTTGGCGTTGTTCTCGCCTTTGGGGTACATTGGGGGTCTTGGGCTTCCCGTCTTGCCCTGGGAAGGGAGTGGGTTTTGTGCCCATGATGAGGAATTCTGGTGCTCTTGCTGCTGTTTGAGAATATGTCTTGGGTTGACATTTGGGCATGTGGGTTTTGGAAATCAAGCTGGGTCCTGAATGCCAGATATCTTGTGCATGTTCTATGCCCACTCCAGCCTTGTGTGGCCTTGGGACGTCTGGAGTCTCATCTTCGTCTTGAGCCCTGCAGTCCTGCCACCTCCTGGGTTTGTCCCTACTTTTTTTTATATGTGGGTAGTTAGCTTCAGAGAGCCAATGGGACTCCCCACTGAAAACCAGCATTGAATGTAATGAAATGCCATTTTGTGGGTGAGCTCCGGAAGCTTCCCTGACACCCTCCCTCTCTCCTTCAGGTCGGCAATTTTCATCAATCTGCAAACTGAGATGTGAAGTGGCCGGCTCACCTAAGCAGGCTCCCCCTTCCCCCTGTTGGGGAAGGGGAGCACTAACGAGCTGGTGCTCTATTTGGATGACAATTTGCTTGTTTGTTTTCTTCTGGGGGAGTTCTTTAGCTCTGTTTGGATGTAGGTTGCAATTTTCGGCAGTAGATGGTTTGTATTGTTTCGCCTACCTTTCTGGTGGTATCCTCAGTTGATGGCAGACATGACACACACTAAATGTAGAGTGCTCATATGGCCATTGCTCCCTGTGCCTCTCTGAGGGGACCAGGTTCTGGCTCATGGTCCCCGGAAGGCATTCGGCACTCCAGGGACTGATGACAACAAACTAATATAGCACATGTTAGTTTGATAGCTTCAGGGGAGGCTTGCCGAGAAAATGGCATTTTATTACATTCAACGCTGTTTTTTTTTTTTTTTTTTTTTTTTTTTTTAGAATCATGTGTTCAATTTGTATTTGTAAATGGTTTCTCATATTTTCATATTCAACTCTGTTTCTATTATTTTAACATATTGTTCGTGCACTGATAGACAACCTGGATATGTCTGGAATCTTAGCTCGTGCATACACTGATATACAACACTACATATGTCTGCAACCTTCTCCTATATTCATATATTTTGCCAGTTTAAAATCTCTTAGTGAAAAAAAGCTTCCAGAGTCAAGTGAGGTTTCAGGAAAATACAACTCTTAAGTTAGATTAATTAGATGTATACATGTATTTGTATTTAAATGCAAAAGGTAATTATAATAAAGTACAACAAATAAATAGACATTGTACATTTTATTGTGGTCCTCTGCATCATAGTTATCTCTCACACGTACATAGTTATCTCTCACATGTACATAGTTATCTCTCACACGTACATAGTTATCTCTCACACGTACATAGTTATCTCTCACATGTACATAGTTATCTCTCACACGTACATAGTTATCTCTCACACGTACATAGTTATCTCTCACACGTACATAGTTATCTCTCACACTTATATAGTTATCTCTCACACTTACTGGATAAAAAAATGCCAAGTCGTAATTGGTAACATTATCCCTGTTCATATGTATTAGCATATTCATATTTGTCTTTCAGTTGCCTTAAAATCATTTCCCCCTACATTATACCTTTAGTGAGCGTTTCATAAACCTATAGGAAATACCCATCTATCTCACTCTTATCTATTCATTAACAGTTCTGTTGGACCCATATGATGTCATATATATATACAGTATCTTGGTTTCTTATTTACAAATTTTTATGACTTTATTCATCATTTTATATTTTTAAATTGGATACCTAATGGTTTTGTCTTGTTCTTTTTCTTCTATACTGTAATATTATACTTCTATACTGTTCTATATTATCAGTGAACTCTTGTTCAAGGTCAGCTTAACATTGATCTCCCACATATTTGGCTATAGTCATAACCTTTTTGTTCTGGTTGGTATTAATGCAGTATTTTGCTTCTACGGTATCTCGTAAGTGGGGAATTGTAAAATAAATTTATTTTGGCTGTTGCATTTTTCAGAGCCATGATTTATATCTTTAGAGTGTACCATTACATTATTAAACTTGCCAAATTTTTCACCAGCCTGTTCGCTTTAAGCTGAACCATAGCAGCACAAGAGGCAATAACACAGATAAGGAATATTCTCTTTGGGTAGGAGACCTCACACCAGATGTTGATGACTTTGCCCTTTACAAGACATTTGGCAGCAGATACAACAGTATAAAGACAGCAAAAGGTTGGAATTTTTTTTCTTATCTCCATTATATTTTATTACCTATCACTTATGCATTTCACTACTAAGCTTTACTCATATATATCTTTTTGGATATTCAGAAAGCTTCCCACATCAGACTGAGACAAAGACGTGGAAACACACACATTACCAAATCTAACACAATATGCACATATTAGGAGAATAAAATCAGAATCATATGCCACACTGGACAATGTCCTAGTAGCTTTCAGGAACTTGGATAAAATAGCCTTCCAAAAACTATATACTGTAAATGAACAAATCCACAAGGGCAGTGACGAGGGTTCGAACCTGCGTCTGCGTGTGACTATATACTGTACTGTATGAGCCCGATTATCTGAAGCACGTTGAACCTGATATTTGATTTATCTGGCCAAAATCGCATTTTCTACCAAAATTTTGAGCCTTGTCCCAGGCCGGGCACAGGGAGTAGAAGAACTCCCGAAACCCACTCAAGGTTTCTCTCTTCAGGTATATCCAGACAGAAATCAGGATAACCCATGTCATCACTCTCCATAAAGCGCAACTGTAAAGCTTCAAAGTCATTCGCTTGTAGAAGCTTACATGCATTGCTTAATTTTCTTGACAGTCATATTACAAAAATCCCAACTAAGTAATGTTGAGGTTGGGGAACTCTGTTCCACACGCACATGAACTTGGAAAACACCAGAGGTGAAACTCAAATTGGACAGTATATTACATGTATTTATTTCTCTGTACTGCTGTCAGTGCTGCTACTGCTGCTGCTGGTGGTGTAAACACTCGGCACACACATACCACAAACACACACGGGAATGTGTATGATGGAATGATAAGTGCAATGTTGATGAGTAGATGTGGAAGTAAGCTAGTGCACACACCCACATTGTGGATCAACTAAAGTCACAATGGTAAAGGCAGGAAGACAGTTCACTTAACAGATGATGACTATTATAGTTGTTGGTACAACTTCTAACTTAACTTTAACATGGGCTTCTGTTCCAGGGGCCAGGGGGCCAGATTCACGAAGCAGTTACGCAAGCACTTACGAACCTGTACATCTTTTCTCAATCTTTGGTGGCTTTGTTTACAATTATTAAACAGTTAATGAGCTCTGAAGCAGCAGGAGGCTGTTTATAACAATAACAACAGTTGATTTTGAAGTTGTTGTGTTGATTTAGGGGCGACGACGATCGTGGGATCGGATGCGCCCATTGATTTTGAAGTGTTCATGCTTGTAAACTGTTTAATAAATGTAAACAAAGCCATCAAAGATTGAGGAAAGATGTACACATTCGTAAGTACTTGCGTAACTGCTTCGTGAATCTGGCCCCTGATTCACGAAGCAGTTACGCAAAAACTTACGAATGTGTACATCTTTTCTCAATCTTTGGTGACTTTGTTTACATTTATTAAACAGTTTACAAGCATGAAAACTTCCCAATTAACTGTTGTTATTGTTACAAGCAACCCCCCTGGTGATTCAAAGCTCATTAACTGTCTAATAATTGTAAACAAAGCTGCCAAAGATTGAGAAAAAATGTACACGTTCGTAAGTACTTGTGTAACTGCTTCGTGAATCTGGCCCCAGAACTCTTTTTAATAACCCCGATTCTCAAATCTACCCTCTAATTACAGCATGATCTGGTCTTCAATCACAACACTTGTTTTGTTCAATATGATTGTACATTTTCCACTAGCTTGGATAAATATTTATCTTGCTTGATAAATATAAATATTTATCTTGCCACAAGCTTGCTGAATATTTATTTATCTTATTAGCACTTGAAATAGTAAATATACACTGGTATTTGAAAATCCATGGGTTCATTAAACAGTTTGTTAATCGTCAGAAATTTGTTATTGAAATATAAATTTAAACTTATAACTTGGTTAATTTAGAAACATAGGGAGAACAAATGACTTTCCATGGTAAACTCTCTCCATTAAACCAAGGTAGATTAATTAATTACAAAGCACTAAGTATAGATATGACTTTCAGAGCAGGTTCAAAGGGACAAATGAGAGTAGGAAGTCGGTCTTCAGTTCACTTGGTACATACAGTATATATTTAATGATGATAATTGGAACACGGAACAAGGCACTTGCTCTTATTCAAGGACAAGGAAGCCTCCACCATTAATAATCCACTACAAATTCCTTCTTATCCTTGGCTGATACAAAAATATACACTTCATTTGACTCACAGCCAGACTTCACATTAATCGTCTTAACATGACTGCACCCTCACTACGAGTGAGTGATTTTGATTGTTGCCACTGGAAATGGCTAGTTTATTGTGCACCCCATATTCTTCCTGTGAGCGGAAGCACAAAAAGCATTACAGAGGGCACAAAAGGTCTTTATCAAACATCAACGGAGATTATTACATAAACAATTTCATCTATCCTTCACACCTTATAATTACAATGTCAGCTAGTTACAGAGAATGTTCTATTTCAAGAGCTATATATTTACAGTAAGTCATTATACATACATGGTAGATATTATCGCTAATACATAATCCTTAAATCCAAGGACCAATCATAAGCCAAGTTACTAAATTACCCATATACCCTCTGTCCACTGACAACATAGGTCTTCCCTGGGCAGCCACTTTAGAGTAAACGTAATGCCTACTACTCTGACACTCTTGCAGGTATGTCATGCCATACCACCTTTGGCTGACTGCATAGTGATAAAATTACCACTTGGAGGGGGTGATGAGTGTGTGGGTCATTTGTTTTGCATTATAGTGAGTTGGTTGTTTGATGGTGAATTTATATACTCTGCAATGTCTCCTTGTTCCAGTTACGTAACAAGGATATCTGTATATACTGTGTGACGTTCTTGGTCCTAGAACACACAATATTTTTATGGTAAAAATCTTTGAGTATAAAAAGTGAAGACAAATTATTTTAATTTGTGATTTTTATTTTTTTCTAGTGATATATGATCCTAATGGACAAAGCAAAGGTTTTGCTTTTGTACGATTTTATTCCGAGGATGAATACAAAGATGCCCTCACACACATGAATGGCTTCAAGGGACTAGGCCAAAAGCCCCTAAAAGTTAGCTATGCTGTGCCAAAGAAGCAACATTACCCAGGAATGTGAGTATTTTAATATGTTCAGTTTGTTATACATTTGCAGGTTTCAAGAGCATATTGTGTAACAGTATGTCTTCATTAGATATTTGTTTTCCCACATAATTTCTATAGATTTATATATAAAGTTCTTTAAATTTTTTGAAGCATTGATTTTGGGGTCAGTAGGTAAAAGGTTTGAGTTGGATTTAATATAAATGGAAAACTATCAGTATAGTACATAAAAAGTAAGTATAACAAGAATGTAGCTGGAATGAATGGATGTTTATCCACACATGATGAAGGGAATGTTTATGACATTTTTATTTGTTCTGGGCCACTATCAAAATGAAGGGTTCAGATCATTTTTGACACATTCTAGTCCAAGGTTTATGGCGCCTGACAGCTGGGTGGACAGTGCTTCGGATTCGTAGTCCTGAGGTTCTGGGTTTGATCCCTGGTGGAGGCGGAGACAAATGGGCAAAATGTTTCTTTCACCCTGATACTCCGGTTGCCTAGCAGTAAATAGGTACCTGGGAGTTAGACAGCTGCTATGGGCTGCTTCCTGGGGGTGTGTAACAAAAAGGAGGCTTGGTCAAGGATCGGGCCATGGGGACGCCAAGTCCCAAAATCATCTCGAGATAACTTCAAGAAAGGTCATTGGTACTACAATACAGTTTATTCAGACCTTTATAGTTTCACTATTTATTTATTATTTATAGTTTTACTTTACTAATTTTAGTTTTATCATGCTCATTATCTAAAACCTAATAGATCTTACTAGTTTGGACCAGAGACAAGGTGACAGACAATGATGGTATCCATATTTATATAATTTATACCAGTTTTATGTTAGTCTGTGCAATATCCTAATCCAGCATAAAAGCATATTTGCCTCAACAGCTCTAATTCTCTAAGATTAATTACTTCATGTTACTTGTGTATAATATCATTGATGCCTTGATCACTTTTGTGAGGATATCTTTTCCTGAGGAACAAACCCCTCTCCATCGCGTCACATTACCAGGTTACCCTTTACCTGAGGGATGAATTCTTCATCACATGAGGGAGCCCTTTTTGGGGGTCGATAAATCCTTCATCACATGAGGTTACCCTTTCCTTGAGGAATAAACCTTTCATCATGTGAGGTTACCCTTTCCCTGAGGGATAAACTCTTCAGGGTTAAATCCCTACAGTCAACAGAATAGGGGCATGCCAGTATCAGCTGGGTGCCACATTGCAGAGTTAATTACCAGTGTTTGTTCTTAACCATTTTGTCATTTTGAACCCATGTTCCACCCTGATACTGTATCATTTAACTTGGCAAGCTGATGGTCAGTGTTCCACTTCTATAGTGCATACTAGCATATAATACATTTAGCAAATGGTTAGTGTTGTGATATAGCACTGAAAAGATATTTGATAGGTAAATTTAATAAGTATATTTATAGTTGTGTTCTGAATTGATGGTATCAGTTAATGTAAGAATTAGGTAATGTAAGAACATTTATATACCAGTAGTTTTCAGATATATGTTAATGTATTTTAGACAAGTATACAATTCCAGTAACCTTATTTCAACAGGAACCACATGGGAGGTGACTACAGCCAGTATTATGAACAGTACTGGAACAATTATGCTGCCTGGCAAAATTATGGTACCTACTATGATCCATATGCTTCTTCATATGGTGACTACACCAGTGGCATAGAAGGGGGCAATGGAGATTCTAAGGATTCTTCTAAGGAAGATTTTGAGCCAGTTGGTAAGTACTGGTAGTGTTGATGAGAAGAACATCTTGGCGAATGATAAATAAAATTAATGTTTAGGCAGATTTATGTAATTCTGCTAAGTTTATTTCTGGGAAGGGTTGTTACTTGCTCTATCCCATATACTTTTCAATAAAGCAAGATTGATTGATTGGTAAGAACAATAGTGCAATATTTAATATATCTGGAAATGGTGTTTTATTTAAGAAAAACAGGCGACCACGTGCTTTCCGGACGCCTTGGGACTGAGACTGGATGAATAGCTTGTGTCCAGATAAGTAGTTCATTCTGAAAATCTAAGAGGGGGGAAAATATGATAATTATTTATATTGTATTCACCAGTGTGAGAAGTTCTGATCTGCTTGTTGTTGATGCATAGATATTTCGATGGTAGAGGTAGGTGGTGGTGGATGTTGGTGGTGTTGGGTGGAGTGAAGTAGAGATTAAAGGTGATAAAGTACCCTCACAGGTTGCAATGCTTGGGTCATGTGATGAACCAGGTGCAGGTAGTTCAGTGCCAGCTTTTTTTTTTTGGGGGGGGGGGAAGCCCTTGCAGAAGTCTTTAATTTGAATTTGCTTCATACCCTTTGTTCTTGTTTGCAAAAAATTTATGTACATATTGTCCATGTTCTTCATCTCCTGAGTGCCAAAATCACTGTGGCCTGACCCCTTGAACTTTATACTGCTTTGGAAATATTTCTGAATTTCCTTTATGCTTTCTGTTTTCTCTTCCACTACCTTCCGGCCATCCTCATCCGGGTTTTCAATCTCCTGATTATTGTCTGTAAATCCTTAATTTCACCATCAGTCAGGTTTTGAAAAATTGAGGCATCTTTGTCACAGTCTATCCACACATCTATTTGACATGAAATTCCCAGGTTTTTTCCATGAGCAGTCAGCCTGTCATGAGGTTTTTCTTCTCGCACTTTTGTCTACACCTTTCCCCCCACTACATTATCTGCACTTTGACTTTACTTACTGCTACATATTGCTTTGTAACTTTCACTTTGAGAGAGAAATAGTCAAATATAGTAGATTTAGCTTTAATAATGTCTGAAAGGTGTAGTCTTGCTCACTTTATATTCAGTGTAGACCTCTTGGGATGCCACTTTCCGCCTTCTTTATTAGCTCAACTTTCTTTGCAATACTTATTACTGAGTGCTTACTCTTATGTGTCCTCTTGTAGAAGCTATCACCAACAAATTGCCTGCATTTGGAGCTGACAAGGTGCACTGATGTTCTTAAATGTTGCAGATACAGTTTGTATTGAATATCCTAAAGGAATAATGGGAATGAATGCTCCAGTATTTCACCATGAACCAAAACAATGGGTAGGAGGCACTCATATGGTGCCTAGTATGATCACTGAGCACACTAGGACTATCACCCACCCACTAACCCCCCTTCCTTCCCCACCAATGCTTTACTGACAACATTTCTCAGACAGGCAGCGATGCTTCGTGTCTGGTTGCTCTCACCACTATTGCACATTTTATTCAGACCGCTGTTAACTTTATTCTGACAATTCCAAAATGAGAAACCAGCATATCTGGATAAGTGGTGTCTGGAAAGCATGTGGCTGGCTGTATTTGCATGAGGGCAAGTATAAGCTAAAAGTCTCTCAAGATTTTTTGCTTCTTAACATCCCAACCTAATTTTTTTTTCTCAGAATGGAATGTTCCCATAGATATCAACAAGACAAACAAGGAATATATTGATAGGAGTGAAGAGCTCTGGCAGGCAATAGAAAAGTCCCGATGGAGTTTCTGGGATGATACTAAAGAAGATGAGTGATAAACTATTTTTATTGAATATTTGATTGAATTTCACAGGTATTTGATACCTATTTACACTCAACTTTTTAAGAATGTAGAGATTGTTAGTAAATATCTATATTAAAATGCACCTTTTATATGTAATTTTTTTTTTTTGTTAATTACCAGTTTGGAATATAGTAACTAACATGTACCAGAGGGAGAATGCCCACTTTCTTTATATATATTTCCCTTGAGAATGCTTGTAGTGACCATCTTAAGATTGTTAGTGTAAATAAGGCAGTTTGCTTTGATAACTTAAGTATTCTGTGCACAGTGGAAAGGAATATAAAACTGACTTCAAATCTTAAGAAGTGGTAATCACTAATTTACATTGTCTATAGCCACAAAACTGAACTTTTTTTCTTTGAAATATAGTAGTGTAACCACAGGTATTTGTAAAATTGTTTTATTCTTTTTGTTGCCTTTAATGTGTTTAGGTTGATAACTTAGATAGGAGGATTAGCTAAATGGGGAAGAGCCTTGACATAGCTCAGCTCTGTCTTTCAACCCTGCCATTGGATCACACGCCCATCTCAGGAGCTTCGATTCCAGGAGGTTTACAGTTAAATTATTATTAATCAAAATATATGGGTTGAGAAAAACTGAATGTTGCCAATAATTATCAATGGCTTCAATAAGCCCCATACAGTGACCAGTCATATTATGTGTTATTACCTATTGTATAGTACAATATTAATTGTTGTTGATACCAAGTTTTTCAAGACCAAGTTGTTTTGGAAACTTACCATACATGGTGATATTGCAGGCTGAATCACACGTGCATGTCTTATATGACAGTTTACATGTGAAAACTATCATTGTGAACTTTGCATGTGACCTGGTAGCATTTTTATGTACTGTAGTTACTGTTACTAGTATTAACTGATTTTACTTGATATGGTAATATTTAAGTTATTCCTGTATACTAATATCATAGATGCGCTGCAGATATATTATTTCAACTTGAATTTGTTTTATGATTAAAATATTGCAATATTACTACTACAGTAATTACATTGGTTTCCAAGAATGGTCCTCTTTTTATTTATTGAATAATGAGTACAAACTAAAGGCTTTGTACACATGGTAAATAGATTTGACAATGGTTGTTGAAAGTTATTTAGTAAGTTACATGTATCTATGTATATTACTGGGAACCCTTTTTCCTCCATAGCTTGAGGGGTTTGTACTTGAATAATCATTCATTAACTATTCAAAAGTTGTATTTTCTCATCTGTTTATATATTGTATTTATTACTTGAAATATAGTATGTAGTTTGTAAATAATATATATCAGTTGCTTGCTAGACATACATTTGTGCAGAATTTTTTTTGTACTGAAGTGATATTGAGTTCTGAGTGGGATTGCCTATTTTACTTACACAGCCATCAAAATTTAACCATATTTAGAACTATTGAAGCAACTGTATTTTTTAATCCGCATTATACCATGCACTAGTATTCTATCATTGATTAAACCAATGTAAGATATATTAATGTACAGTATAATTAGGTTTATTTATATAAATCTTTTCAGATGTAAGAGTGTTATATAATTATTTTTAGTTCATAAATGTTTGGTAGTTTTAAGTTGTACACAACATTTCAGGATGATACCAAATCATCCATGAATTTTGTGCCATTTTTTCTCAAATTTATTTATTGTTTTTGATATAACCTGACTTTGTACATGTTTTGGTATATTACAGCACTTGTGTTTTCCTCTGAGTACCACAGTGTGCCCATCTTTTTCATCTACTACCGAAGCAGATGTTGCTAGGTATCAGTTTTCTTTGGTTACTAATTTTTACTGTAAATTTCCACATGTTTAGAATCAATTTGTATAATTAAAATGAGGATTATGTAAACATCAATAAACTTGCAAAGTAACTTTACCAGTGTACTGTTTTAGTTTACACCTTAAATAATAATTCTGTATCTAAAGCAAGATTAGGAAGGATATGTGCAATGTAAAACTTTATTATATACTTAACGATGCTTTGGTGCAGCAGATAAATTTTGTTTATTTTCAGTCGATCATACTTTATGATGTCAGTGTTGCTGTCAAAGCTTCTCTTAATACTGACAACTAGTGTTAAATGGCCCCATTATCAAAGATAAGGTCAAAATTCAATAATAAAAAAGGCATCATAAAAATCTCATACATGCAACAGTGACTAGTGAAAAGTGTCTCGTCTGAATCTTGCATACAAAAAAAATGCAACATACTGTATATCTACAAGAAAGGAATGTCTTAAGTCCTACTTAGTTATTAGTACAGTAGTAGTAGTAGGCATCCATCAGTCTCGGGAGACTATGGAGTTGCGCTCTGGTTGTCGGTCTGGAGTGGCCTCTCCAGTGGGCAAAGCCAGGGTAGGTAGATACAGAGGAGAAGCTGTCTTTCATGCAGCAGGTCTCCCCCCTCTCCACAGTGTCGAAAGGCAAACGCCAATATGATTGGTTCCAGTGCCGTTTCAGTAACTGTCAGAACGAGGTTGAAGGCAACAACGAACTGCCCTAGGGGCTCCAGCTCTGGAGTTTACCATGAAGTTGGTAAAAGAAGTCTCAGTGACTTCTAACCTGGAGACCACCGTGATCGGGGCCTGACAAGAACCACCTCAGCAAGGGCAAGAACTACCCCAGCCTCCTGAAGCAGAGCTTGGGCCGCACGACCCCCAGGAGGTGGACGACAGAGTACTACTGTACACCTACGGGTTCCAGACAGAGATCGTCATAGCCCCCCTTTCTCCTGAGGTCGGCTTCCTTCATGACCCAGCAGAAGGAAGAGTAATAATTATTAATTACAACAATTGTTATTATAATGATTATAAGACAGGATTCTTATAACATATTAGACAATATATTATAATAACAAGGTCCTTATGGATATTATGATTAGTCCAACCCATAGTACAGTGACACCTCAACTTACGATGGCCCCTACTTAAAATATTTTCGAGTTACGATGTAAATTTGGTCGGAAAATGCAACTCGACTAGCAATATTCGTTGATACGCGTTCGGGTCGAACAAGCGACTTCATGGTGGCACGGGATGACCTGCCTCAGTTTATCAGAGCCGCTCGCTTAGTGACGATCACGCTTGTAAAAAAATCCATTATTTAGGTGATTTTTTGTTTTTTGAACATAAAAGTAATTATTATATATATCTCCATGGGTCCCAAGAAAGTCAGTGATAAGGTTCAACATATGAAAACACATGTGAGGATGACCATAGAGGAAAAAAAAAAAAGAGATCATTCGTAAACATGAAGATGGTGTGCGTGTTGTTGATGTAGAGTAGAGGATGTCCCCTCATTAAGAAAATGTGTGCAGTATGGGAAGAATTGCAAAGTTTTGCTGAAAAGTGTCACCCAAATCAAGCTGGAGCAGGCCGTTGTGTTAACCTTTTTTATGACAATGTGATGTCTCACTTCAGACAAATGCTACAACGTAAGGAAAAACAAGTGTTGCTAGACAGGTTTTAAGTGATAAAAACAAGCAGTGAGCCACAAGCTTGTCGTAGTGGTATGCAGGCAAAACGTATGAGAGAGTACCCCAGAAAAGCCATCACTGCCTGATGTTATAATGGAAGGGGATTCCCCTTCCAAAGACTAACACCTCTCCTCCCCTCCTCACCATCTTCCATATGTCAACAAGAGTCCTCATTCAAAGCAAGATATAAATACAAAAGTGTTATTCGGTAACACTTGGGTATAAAATGTATGTTTTAAGTTAAAATTTTTAGGGGTGTGGAATGAATTAATTCCATTATTTCTTATGGGAAAATTTGTTTTGACCTATGATATTTTGACTTCATCTGTCTCAGGGAACGGCCCAGACAGGGCCCCACTGTACCTGTTTAGATAGTACCTGTTGTGATGATGATCAATAGTCACATATTCATATGTTATGTTTTTATGTAGTATACTGACGTAAAAAATTCTTTTAAAATAAATGAAGATTAAATACTCCTAGGCCTAGTATAACACACACACGTACTATATTGGGCCTCCGATATCGTGTACTGTACTAACTTAAGGAGGTTAGGTTAGGTTAGTTTAGTTTGTTAAAGCAACACGAGTTAAAAATAGTTTTTCAGTTTGTCCAACTCAGTAGTTCAAATTTCTACTTTCTAATTTTGTTGTATGTCGGTATATATACTCTGGTCCTCATCTTGATATAATGAGTAGGCATTTTGTGGATATTCACTGAAAAGAATAAGTTCCAGCCCCTGATATTTGCAGCCCTTGAATAGTACATGTACTATCCTCTTGAATAGTACATTGAATTTTGACACATAAATCCCCAAATAGCCAAAAACTGGTGTACTTAAAATCATAATGGCTCAACATTGATGTTATGTCCCATTTTCTATTCATGGGTCCTCAGTTAGGTTAGGCTCGGGCAACTTAGTACATCAGTTTAGCGATATTGGGAATGCTCAAGAGGACGGGCTGATATTTGAGCCCAAACTCTTATTCTATCTGTATCAATGTGAGTATAGTAATGAGGCCTCTATGGTTTATTGGCAGGAGTCTGTGCGGGTATAATTATGGTCTGGATGTACTGAGGATGGCATACATTGACATAGGAATGATGAACTCAGTGGAACAGTTTATTGAAAATGGAGACCATGTAAGTGCACCATAATAAAGATGGAGACTGAGACTCCCACTGGCCCCATATTTATACTGTACCTACTAATGGGGCCTGTGAGAGTATAATAATAGGACCCATGTGTGTTCTGAAACTTACAGGACTGGAATGGTAATAGGATTTGCTTAAGTATAATAAAAAAATAGGATGCAAGTACAGGTATAAGCAAAAAGACACTAATGTTACCCACACATGGGTGTATGCGGGTATAATGATGAAGCCTCTTAAGATTAAGAAGGTATTTGGAGGATCATCTTCAGTTGAAATAAGATATGGGTATTTCAGAGGTAACAGAGTAATCATAAGTGGCCTCTCTTCACTTGTGGAATTGCTACTTCGTTTTGTCATCTTTCTTGCTCATTTTCACACTGGATTTGTTGGAGAAAGTCTCTTTCTGTAGTCCCATCCTCCTCTTGGCTTATGCTTTCTACTACCCTCCTTCAGCTCACTCATTTAGTCATCTCTCTAAATAAAGTTCTGTAGTCACTGGCACTTTTTTTTTCTACTTGTTGAGCAAATTTCCTAGGACCTTCTCTTCATCAACTTGCTATATAATAGTGTTGTTGTTATGATTGTTGTGATGTGATGTGCATTGTTAGGCCTGACATCTGTTACTAGATTTAGACCACTTCTCTAACCCTGTCCATGGAGGACAGAAGAAAATGTATATATGCTGGTTAGTATTGTAAATGTGTGGCCACGTCTGTGGTAGAAAATAAAAAAAAAACTAAATAAATAAATAAAAAATAAAAAAAAATAGATTTAGACCCAAGCATGTAACAATTGTGTTTTTTAAAGGAGTTAAGTTGAATTAAATTAAATGCAAATGGAGGAAATACTCGAGACGAATTATGGTGTCCATTCCACATTTTGCGACCTTTAATTTCCATTGCATTTCTGCTTTTGTTGAGTTGCACTTAAGGAATGTCAAATAGATACTTGTTTTCTGTGTGGTGCCCGGGGTTCTGTTATAGCCCTCTAGGCAGTATTTGAGGTCAGGATTAGTATTGCAGTTCAGAGTTTTATAAATATAGAGTACACTTGAGAGTGTGTGAAATGACTTGATATTTAATATATTCAGGGTTTTCAGTAAGGGAAGCAGAATGCTGCCTGGGACTGGAATTTGTTCTAACTAGTGATTCATGTTGTGTAATAATGGGTAGTAGATCCCTAGCTACAGTAGGTCTGACAGGAATAGATGAGTGAATAATAAAAGTGCTACCAAGGCAGAGTGAGGATTTTAGTATCGTACATAGTATCAGATTTTGGAGGGAATGACTACTATTTCAGAATTGTTTATTTAATTTGAATATGGCAATTGAAATTCAGCTTGTTGTCAATGTGAACACCAAGGGATTTTCCATCTACTTTGCTCTTAAAATATAATTATAGGGGACGTCTTATAATTATAGGGGACTTCTTATTATTAATGTTGGCATCAGAGTTAATTCCTTGTGGATTCTATCTGATATTAGTCTAATGCATGACAGAACTGTTGCTTTGGCCAAAGCACAGCTATCAGAGGAGTTAATTATAAACTTGGATAGTCTATCAGCAGCCTGAGAACAATAACATCTGATTAGAACATTAGATTTACTATCACCAGCCTGAGAACAATAACACACCTAGAACTTCAACAAAACTTTGAGTCTGAGACAAAGTGAAATCTACACTGCTATTCTATGCATTATTACACTACCAAGCAAGAAGAGCCATATCATTAGAACTATGCAAGACATTATACAACCAACCATGAAAGGCATTATACAACCAACCATGCAAAACCACATTATACAACCAACCATGCAAAACCACATTATACAACCAACCACGAAAGGCATTATACTGTACAACCAACCATGCAAAACCACATTATACAACCAACCATGCAAGAGCTACATTATTCAACCAACCATGCAAGAGCCACATTATACAACCAACCATGCAAGAGCTATATCATACAACCATGCAAAAAGTCGTATCATACAACCAACCAACCATGCAAGATAATATATAACCAACCATGCAAAACGGCATTATACAACCAACCATGCAAAACGGCATTATACAACCAACCATGCAAAACGGCATTGTACAACCAACCATGCAAGAGCCACACTATACAACCAACCATACAAGAGCCACATCATACAAACGTGCAAAAAGAGCCACATCATACAACCATGCAAGAAGAGCCACAGCATACAGCCATGCAAGTTGAGCCACATCATACAAACA